GCAGGAAGAGCAGGAAGAGCAGGAAGAGCAGGAAGAGCAGGAAGAGCAGGAAGAGCAGGAAGAGCAGGAAGAGCAGGAAGAGCAGGAAGAGCAGGGAGGAAGCATATAAGAGAAGAAATAAATAGACCAAGTTTGCCAGATTGTCGGGGTTATTCCGAACATGTTTGATGATTCGCCGGTCAGATGAAGAGCTTTAAAAGTCTCGATGGCTAGATGGGCTATGTGTAGTAGCAAACCCCGAATTGTAATTGATCTGTGACGATGGTTCTGGAAGATCCGCATGGAGAGAGTCCAACACCGAAACTGAACTGGGTAGGGGTGGTGTTGCTTTTACAAAGCCGTGTCCAAGGCTAAAGTTTGACCGTTGGTGCATACCTTTTTGACTCTCTGACCAGCTATTGTGACCATTAAATTGAGTCAAGTAGTTTGCCTGTGGCCTGTCCAACGGCAATTGGACGTTCAGACTGGATTCACACCTTGATATGGGTGGTGATGGAAGTTTTGGGGAACGAGATACTATCTCGAGACGGGGTGAGCTTCTTCTTGAATTAGGAGGAGTGATGCGCGAACCTCCCCGGCGAACTTGACAAGTCGGACAAATTTTGACAAATCGCGAGATTAGTTCTTTAGGTACCCTTTGATGATGGTCAACGTATGCTTACAGTCAGTTTTCATTGGCCAATTGATGACTTGGGGTACTCTCAAAAAGATAGGTGTGGAAGATGCAGGCCTATCGTTTGGAAAACAAACAGACGTACCATGAATAGATCTGCCGCACCTGAGCAGATGTCTTATCTCTACCACCGTGTTGGCACTGTTGATGTGCCCTGGTAAGAATCTTGAAGAGTTTCTCTCGAATAGCCACGGGCTTTCCTTCATGACAGATCACTTTCATGCACTTGAAAGGCATATGTGCATCAGCAATGAAGTTATTTGACTTGTTCAGGAGGGAATACAGACATCTGAAGCCCCTGTGCCAACTACTTGAAGTTTGAACATCTTTTTGACCCAAAATCTGATGCTTTCCATTTAGCTGATGCTAATATAATCATTGCCTTGATGAAAGGCTCGAAGTAAAGTAGTAGGGATGCTTTCAGCCGCAGGCAAAGGACAGGACAAATTCATACCGAAACTGGGCAGATTCTACAGTCGTATCTTTTGGGTCTAATAAGACTGTCCTTATGTTTCTCGCCCTTTTAGCATGAATCAACGCTTTGTCTTGCTTCTTAATCGAGAGGTCGTCGACATAACTAGAATAGAATACCCCGTATAAGTAAGAGCTCTCTCCACTAACAACACCAAAGTAAATTCTTTGGACGTGTGGAATACTTACCTTCTCATTAGTTGATCGAACTCCCGTACATTTGGGAACCCATCCAGTGGAGGAATGACTGGTTCCGATAACATCGTATTTTCGTTTCGGGAGTCTTGACTTTCGATATCCGTCTCCCCAAGTGTCTCGCGGAAAGGCAGATACCTTTGGGATTGGAAATAGCGTGACGGTGCCATGTACTGTAGCGACTGATGAGGGTGGTGGTGTTGTTGTAGGGCCGTATGTTCAGGGGTTGATAGCACAGAGTGCACAGGTAAGTGGTGAGAAGACAAATGCTGGTTATGAGATGACATGCCTGAATGGCTATATGGAGAGCTGAACTGGGAAGTATATGCGTTGAAAGACTGAGATGGGAAATGATATGAGCCAGATTCATTTACGCTGAACTCATGGTCTTCCCCTTGGCTATATGGAACAGGTAAGGCAACTTGCTGGTTCACAATATAGCCACCATGGCCCTCATTACTTCGCCTTCCAAAACCACTCATAATGACTTTCGGTTTGGTTTCGTCTCTTGTTGGCAGTCGGGGGTTGGAGAATATTCCAACTTAATGTATGCACAGATTGACACGAGCAATTTCACTGCACAGGGAAGCAGCTCGCACTGCTCGCCCTATCATCCAAATATATACTGAGGCAGAGATAGAGGATGTGATATAGTAGAGGTGAAGTTTCTATAAGCCAAGAATTCTCGAATAGTAAGGATGCGGTTTCTGAGAAACTTGGCGATACAGGCTCTTCAGAATAACGTGTACACTGAGGTGGTGTCGAAGGAAAGGAAATCGCCTGAACACGACAAAGAGAGGTGGAGAAATAAGAGAGGATGGAAAACTTGTAGAAACAGAAGAATAAAAGTGATGGAGGTGCAAATAAAACACAGCCCGTATACTATGGACCCCAATGAGGGCGAGCGGGCTCCGAGTCTCAAATAAGGGAAGCAAAACCTAGGAGCTTCCGATAGAAGGCCTCAGTATGAATGACATATAGAGAGCTAGTAGGTATATATGTGCAAGACCATAGCACCCTACCCTGGAACGATGCAAGGTAACCTCCAAGAAGTCCGAGGCATCGGCGACAGTTGACAGATTCCAGATTTCCTGGGTAAAAAAGAAAATTTGCTTTGAATATTATTGACTTTGGCATATAAAAAGTAACATAAGAAATAACACGGGAGATATAACATTGGGGCTAAGGAAGAAGGAAGTCTAGAGAAGACTCTGTAAGGTACCTCCTGCAGAAGAGAGGAAAAGAAAAAGAAGCAACCATCACGTCGAAAGCAAGATACTGCGAATGAGATTGGCAAATCAGGAAAGGAAAGGGAAGGAAAGGGAAGGAAGGAAGAAAGGAAGGAAGGAAGGAAGGAAGGAGGCTTGTAGATGGTGAGGCCAAATAACTTGTGGAACCGACAAGGATAATCAGACAATCAAAGACCATCATTGAGAATAGGACAATAGAAGATAGAAAAAGGGAAAGACTGAGAGAGGCGAAAAAAGTAGAAAAGAAAAGAAAAGAAAAGAAAAGAAAAAGGCGCAGTGACAGGTAAGAAGGGCAGAATAGGTCGAGCTTTGGAAGTCTCCGTGAAGCCTTTTCCTTCAGTGGCACAGAGGCATTTAGAGGAAATGCATTCTGGAACATAAAAAAATAAATAAAAGAAAATAGAAAATAGAAAATAGAAAATACAAAAAGAAAAAAGGAAAGAGAGAGAGACAGAGAGAGAAGAAAAGAGAAGAAAAAGAAATCAGAGACACATAGGACTCTCGAGGATGTGTGCTGGTGATACAGTTCAGGTCTCGCATATTTCCAGCAGCTCACTTGTAACTCCCCAGGTGCTTGCGTTGCAGAGCAATCAATGGTCCATGCTGTGACTGAGGACCAGTTTCCACTGCGAGGTACAGCTTAGCTGAGAAGTATGTAGGAATCACCTTTATTGGCTGTACTGAAGAAGTCGACCCTTGCTCTCACCTACATGGCGGGTATTTGAGTCTCTTTTCCATTCATTCTCTTCCCTGCTTCTTACGCACCGCTCCTTCGATGCACTCCCTCATTCAGTGTGAAGAGACCAAGAGACAGTGCGTATTATCTTGTCTCAGTAGTACCTAGCAGCGATTAGTCGTCTAATTCTCTTCCCGTGATGCACTGCTCCAGGCTTTTCGCCTCCTATCTGGGCCAATACATAATCCAATAAGATGGTAGCGAAGCCTCTACGCAGAAGCCCGTTTGAAGCCCCTTGTTGGTTTCCTGGAGAGACACCCACGCATCAAGGAGAAAAGCAACCAACTGTGTATGTACGGAATGGTCTCATCGGGCAGCAGTATACGTAATTTCTAGGCCGTGGATACTGTAATGTAGGTAGTACATGCTGGCAGTTAGATTGAACCCGGTGGAGTGAGATATCTGTAGAATATATGTATAGAAAAGGCTTCTGTAGAAGGGATCAAGGTTACTAGAACCCATTTATTGTGCAGGCCCTTTCGGTCACCGCTCCGTATGGTAAGTATTGTATGCTCTGTATATATGTAGATCGCTCAGCCTTAATAGAATGGATGGAGGCCGAAGCAGAGAAATACAGACAATAATTGTAACTACATGTATCCAGCACATGTCTCATCTCTAGGCTTTACTCTGGGTAGGTTATGATTATATTCATGCTACGGAGCAGACTCTTTATTCAATCCTTCTTACCTTTTTAAGTACGGAACAACTTCGGAACTAACGGCAGGGTGTATGAAATAGTTCTGTATGAGTTGGATGTTGCTTGGCACATAACATAAAGACAGTACTTACCCACCTAGTACTACACATGTATCTACTATCTACAGCTTACACTTGGCTGCTTGTGTTTCCAGGATTATCGGTGGTCGAAAAAATGAGAATATCCCTTTCCGTGGCACTACCCGGTATGTAATTCCTCATAATTGGCTTTTGCTTAACAGCGGATGCCTGTACTTCTGTACAGCATACCTGAACACTGTACTACACTAGATTTATTAGGTTTCCATAAATTCATTCACTTGCAGGAAATTCCGTGGGCCGTTATAGACTAGCCACCAGTATAGTTTATAGTGCTGCCATGCAAAGGGTCGGCGATGTCAAGAGACACTAAAAATGTCGAGGAAGAGCTTAAGAGATCCCAGACAGTGACCTGCCTACTTTGGTATGTCTTGTTTGGCAACACCATTTAAGCGCTGAGGTTGTCCAGTGCCACGCATGAAAGATGAACTTACATTCATATCTACGTTATAGCCTAATGATCATTGGGCGGGGGGGGGGGTTGAGGAGGGTAATGAAAAGAAGGAGCAGGAGTAGAAGGAACGTATAGAAACAAGCCAGTCTCTTGGCTTCAATATTACAACAAATACTTCCACCACAGCTAACATTCGCTGCATAGGTTCTGGGAGCTTGGAGTTTGCAACCATGGAATTGAATATCGTAGTACTGAATGTGTGACACAGATGCTGTAATTTTAGAAGTAATTTTTAATTAGATATATCCAAATACAGAGGCATATGTGATCATTGCCATGCTACTCTGGCTATTCCAACAAACATCATACAAGAGTCGTTTCCCTTGTATCCTGTATGCATTAATAGAGACCCTTCTGCAAGTAACCGGGTGAGATGGACGGAGCTCCATCTGTTTGTCTCTCTGTACACAACAATTCAACAGGGGTCCATGTAGGACGCGGTAGTTTCCCTGGGTCTAGTCAATGGGACTGATATCAGTGGCTGGATTTCAGAGCTGAGTTCCCTGCAGAGCCATCTATATATGATATACTATCATTAGAAGTGTGGTGCAAGTATTAGCTTTACTATGGGCTACCACTGTTAGCGTGTAGTGGGTATAATAAAGCATTGACACAAAAGTCTACCAATCTTACATCATCTAAGGATCCTTTATTCTGACTATGGAGCACAGAATTATATGGTTTTATGTGCAATGTGTCATCCTTTGCTCATCTTAACATAGATTTTCCAGTGTACAATCATAACTTAGACACTGGTTGACCAATGTTTTTGCGCAGTCATTACTGTTACCCGCAGCAACGTCAAAGCAATAGTAGAGCCTGTGGACCACTACATTATCAAGAGAGCGTGGGAGGATTAAATCTAGTTAGAGATCTAGAGTGAGTAACTGCGACTTAAATGCACTCTTTACCATAATACTCTACTCTACACCGTGTCCTTAGAAGTAGCAACCCAAATCAAGCTAGGGCTTCTGCACAGGGCCAAGGGGAAGAGTAGTAGTGCGTACCCAGTAAATTATGCTTGACGGAAATTACTATGGTAGATGAAAAATGAGAAATTGGGTGGTCAACTTTGCGGTGAAGGCCCTAGTCGTGGTCTAGAACCCGGTAAAAATAATTACTCTTGAGACTCGCGACTTGGGTATGCTCCGTAGCCCGTTAGTCAGGCATCCAAGTGCATAAACTATATTAATAGCTGGAAATACCGAGTGGGCAATATAATTCTCAAGAAAAGCATTGAACGTCTATAGAACACAAATACATTTGATAAAAAGGGCAGTGCCTATGATGTACCTTTTGACACATATTAAGCAGCTCTAAAGGTGAGACTAATGCCGATGATGCTACTGGGTAGTAGGAGCGACGCGACTATTGGAGCCATGGGTGCTTTGGCCCATGGAAGTCTGCCTTGAGTCCCCTGACCGTTAGTTACTAAACACCCAGACTCCATAGGTGGGTGGATTTGCAACCTATTTGTTGCAAAATCATTGGCCAAACTAAGAGACCAGTTGTCCTTTCGGGTCGGTGTAGTCGATCCGATGCGGTGTCACACAAACAATCGCCATGTCTACTGGAAAGCATCGGAGGCTGGCTGAGGGCTGCTGGGAAGATGCATGTTGTAGGACAGTATCATTAGTTCCGTAAACAGAGTACATCATATAACTAGTTCCCTAATATATCACCAAAGCGCCCTTGTAAGACTTTGAAAGCTAGTACTATATCTATACGTAGATGACCTGGCAATTGTTGCAACCCGCTTAGAAGATTTGGTGCGCGGTCTCTTATGTGTCTGATTATGTTTTAACTCCCCCTCCCTGAACTTCCTTTCTGTTGGCGAAAAGTAGCTTGATAGGTGTTAATAATTTATAGGGAGGTGGAGAGGAAGAAGAATACAGGCAAATGGAGATACTAGTATTATCGTGTACTCTCATTCTCGCCAATTGTTCCCCATGTTTGGATCCGCTAACTAGGGCGATCTTATAAATTAAATACAAACGGAATGGCTGGTGCATAAATGGACATGAACCCTGTAAAAAAGTCTCAATCAGTTAAACGAAGAGGTATATACCGCACACAATTATAAATACATAGAACTCCTGCTTCTTAGTACCACCCATCGATACTCGTATAAGGCACAACAATAGCCTATCTAAAGAAAAACAGACAGAGGAAGATCATAGCATCGACCGGTTCATTAAGGTCAAGGAGTCCATGGCTTTTCGTCATAACCTCATGCAGGATGCCCATTGCAGCTTAACCACAATTAGGAATGTCCCACTATCATGAAAACGTTTCTTACCATCATCAAAATATTAGAAGTGTTGGTGGAGCATTGACCAATGGAGTTACACTCCATTGTCTCCAATGGGTATCACTGCTTCAACTTCTCTTCTACCAATTCTCCCACTCTTCCTTTTTCTTTTGCTTTTTCTATTTCTCTTTCTTTCCCCCCACTTTTGCCCCCCTTCACCTCTCTTTTTTCTTTTACTTTCCAATCGCCCTTTTCGTCAGAGAGAGTGGTGAGAACAGAAAGGTGATGTCGATCACCCACTATTGTGGTCCCATGTGCTGTTAAATTGCACCAAGTCTCGAATAGCCCATCGCCAGCCATCCCCAAATCTCATGCGATCGAAGCTGACCCACTTATCAACTTTACGCCTCCATTTTTCTTCTTCTGCGCGTTGACGCCTGATGAATTCTGGGCCAACATCAAACTCCTCCGTCATAGGCCACTCGTCTGACGAATCCCCACAGCTTCGATCATCGCCGCTCCCACCAAAACCAAAATCGTCATACGTACTCGAGTTTCGCAGTCTGGAACTGCTAGCCTTGTCTTCCAGGTCACCAAGACCGGCGAAAACATCATCATCATCATCCTGGATTGCCACCAGCCCCTTTGTCCCTGGTTGCAGTGGCGCCAATTTAAGCCAGCACATACGCTGGGGATCGAACACCATCCCACCAACTACCTGCACGTTCTGCATCGCACCTACGTTGGTAATAAGGGCGGGCGCTGGCTTTGGTGATTTGGGTGAACTCATTTCAAACTCGCGAATCAAGCCTTCGTTTCCTTCCCAACGGAAAGCAGTAGGATTGTATTGCATGCCGTTTACAGCTAGGTGAGTCAGTCCATAGTCCAATATCCCAAGCAGAGAATCAACGTACATTTGGGCTCCTGGACACCTGCCCCCAAAGGCTTAATTAAATGTGGTTTGCACCCAGCCGTAATGGCCGTTCTACTCTTTCTGTTTCTTATTGTCGAATTTAAAGGAACCCGCGAAACTGTTTGTGCTTTCCAGATTGCGTTCAAAGAGGTAAGCGAGGCATTCTCACGAGCCTTTCCGCTAAATGTCATTGAGGCGATACGCTGCTCTCTTGCGTTTCTTGACGCGTTGGTATCCCGTGCAAATCTGGGAGTGGAGTCATGAGACTTTGAGGCGGTACCTAGTACCGGTTGTTGGGGAGTAGGAGTTTGTGTCCTCGACGGGATGGTGTGGCTTCGATTCAGCCGACTTCGAAGGGACCGCGGGGCTCCACGTCCAGAAGGAAGCTTGACGAATCGGCTTTCTGCTGAAGTAGACGTAGGCAGGTCATCAAATGACGCGAGTTCAGAACCGTCACCAAAGTTACGCCGACGGGTAGGACGGGTAAGCGTCCTCTTTGTGGAAGTGACTAAGGCTTCGGGGCTTGACTCATTTCTGGTATTGCCGAAAGCATCATGTCGACTCGACCGAGACAGACGAGATGGAGCTTGCGAATTGAATGCATCATTGGAGCTATCCGAATTTGTACGACGGGACTGCCGGTAGCTTTTGACGCTGGCATGGTGTGACTGATTTTCTGACGCGCCAGCGGGAATAAACGGTGCATGTGATTTACGGCTCAATGTCCTCACGTCATTTGCGCGATCAACCGGAGTTTTTGGTCGGATGGTAGAAAAGTTCGATCCATCTTGACGAGAAGGGGAGCGTTGGAAAGATGGTGTCGCTGGCTGTTGTGTGTTTCGCATAGATGGCATTGACCGTTTCTTCTTCAGTAGCTGATTTCCCGCAGAAATACGTTCGCTACCGACAGAGCCCTTTGGGACTCGCGAACCGACAAGTCGTCTATTTGGAGCGGAATTAATCGGGGACATTGTTGTAGTTCCGGATGGTATAAGACTAGACAGTGATGAATGCGATGAATGTGAAGAATGCCCCCCCCCTCGTGACGGAGGCGTCCGGAACTTTGATAGAGGAGCACCGCTTTCTGAAACAGTCTCCAGGTGTGTCGAATGCGGACGATCGTGACTAGTAAGACGGGGTATCCGAGTTTTTGGGGAAACTGTTGTATGCGTGAAGGTTAGGGTAGTTGCAGAACGCCTGGCTGGGCTGCCAGGGCGTTCTGTCTTGCACTTGACGTTTGGATTTATCGAGAGCCTCCTTGAATCAAAGACGTCATCGTCCTCGATTTCGAGACCCGAGAAGAAGTTATCTGCGCTGGCCGACTCACGGCTTGGCTTCGCTAGTTTCGGGTGGCTTAGGTTCATATACTTCGGGTCCTGCCGCCTCCTAAGAGATGACTCTAAGTCCAAAGGTCCGTCGGGGATGATGAGGCCATCTAGCCCTTCATCCTCACTCTCCGCAGTCAGGCAACTGGAAGCACTGGGGCTGACTACAGAGACTGAGGAGCTTGGATTCGATCGATGATCTCTTGTAGTACCACCAAACCGGACGCCAATACTGCCTTCAGACCAGTCAACATCTAACTCATCGGGCGTAGGGCTTGAACCCCTCGAGATGACTTGTCGATGTAATAAACGTAAAGGCAGGTCATCCGCCGGCAATTCAAAATCCCGCTCAAAATCCTCTGAGTCATTGTTCTGTTTGTCATGCCTCGAATCGTCAGGGAAACCATTCCTCTGCGGAGACCGAGATACCGGAGCTCTTATTGTAGGAACATCATCGGCATCGTCGACACTATCATCGACCTGGTAACTATCCAAATTTGCGAGTGCAGACTGCAGGTGGGAGGATATGTCATCACTCCAGAAGGGTGAAGCCGACGTTTTCACAGGGCTCGTAGCAGCAGAGCTGATCTGCCGGAGCGATTCAGGGAACACCGACGCTTGTGGACTTTTTAACTCCAAGACACCATCTGGTCCTGGGAACTCCACGTCTTCGGACCAATCATCAACAAAGTTTTGCTTGGGTTTCCTCCGCCCCAGGCGTTTAATAGTGCCCCCGACAAGAGCTGACCTAGGCAAGTTTGCAGGTAAAGGAATTCCTGCGTTCTTAGCAGAAGCTATCGCTTCTTCATTCACACCTTCTTCATTATCTAGTAGTTGAACTTGCCAATCCTCGTCGCCACCCACGTTAGAATCAAGATCGGAACGTCCAGAACGACGAGAGGAAATTGAATCTCGGTGTCCAGATCGACGAATAGACGAATTAGTTACTGATGTGGCACTTGATGCGGTGCGCAATTGGATGTCCTCGTAGCACTGTAGGTCGTCATCATCGTCCCAGCATTCAATTGTTTCTTCTTCACTACGGCGTACTTGGAGTGTTAACGACTCCATGTCAGCGCGGGGTAAATGTTGAACAGAAACAAGAAGTATAGATCGTTTCCCGGAGGGGTAGGTTCAGATTTCACCGGCGTTGAAACCTACTGCGTCGATACAGAAAAGGAACGTCATTCCGTGTGAATGGAATCGGCTGGGTTAGGTGACGTTGCGGGTTTGGCAGGTGGAGCAATCTCTTTCTTGTTCCTGAAGGGTGCGTATTCCTTGAAGCCCCGTCTCCCTTCGTAAAGATTAATATGTTAAAATCAAGCGAATCGTAGACGGGTGGTAGAGTCAAAAGACAAGTCGCGCGTGTCTCCACAAAAGAGAAACGAAACAGGTGACCCGACCTTACGGAGAAAATCGACACGAGGCTGATACTCAGCAGTCGTGCTGGTCCGCGTGTGGAGTGGTCGTGGCCGTGATGGTGGCTGGAGGATTCCTCAAGGAGGAGGGATCGTTTAAACGTTAGGGAACAAGGGGTTGATAAAGTACACAACCATTGGTGGATACTTCCAAACTAGTAGAAAGCCTCAGTCGATGATTTGTAGGGGGTTGCAAAGGGGAGGGTTTGAGTGAAACCCCTGCCTTTTTCTTCTCTCCTTTCCTTCTCGCTCTCTCACTTTTTCTTCCCTTGTCAAGAAGAAAGTAGGTAATGAGTGAGGAATGGGGGTTTTAATTAACAGGAAGGGAAGAAGGTGGACTCGGGAAGAGGCACCTACTACTATTATTTGCTCACTAGCCGCATCTCTAGTTTGGGTTCGGTGGCACTAATCAGTTAGTATAGTATGGTATTAGTACTATTTAGTAGTATTATTACTAGTAGTATTGTTGCACCGATGCTCACTCGGATCCACAAGGCGTTGGATGTGTTCGGCAGAGGTATTTAGGTATTCACTTGAAGTGAGTCGCCTGCCACAATGTGGGCAGAATTAATGGTGGGAGGTTGCTCCGGTAGCTATGAATAAACATTCGATGTGTATAGAGTAAACTACAGGCTGTAATGACGTATCAAGTATAATAAACCATTCTAGGTTCTCGGTTGTGATAGTTCAAGGTAAAATAAATCTAGTATAGTACCAGCCTAACCAAACAAAGCCATTTCTGTCCTAGAGACGGACCTAGAGAACTGTACGGAGTATATATCGTATCTATCTAGTATCTCTAAGCATAATCATCAAAACCTTCGTCAAGCTCTCTACCCAACAGAGAAACCGCCACCTCGGCAGGCAGTGGGCATGGCAATGTTTTAATTTTACTAAAAGTAGTTAAGCCGCGCACTAACTCCGTACTGTTCCGTACACTGCCTGCAGTACTCCGTAGCGTCATCCTCATTCTTAATCTTACCTTTGATGAATTAGAGCCTAGCAGGCAGCTATCTCAATACCTAGCCCGCAGCCTACTATGACCCACCGCGCTCGAAGCTTTAAGATACCACCTTAATAACGGCAACAGCATTAGTACAAATACTCCCTCTATTCTTAATCGTCCCTCACTCGGCCATTTTTGACATCACCCAGTATGTCCTCCGAACTTGGCCTGTCTCCTCGGGTTCTGCGTATACCCAGGACTGACGATCCTGAATCATATGTACTTGTTCATATCACTCGCATTAGCTCGTCTCTTGTGGACTTGAACATCACTGCTACTGAGGGCGAGAACCCGTATATTGGTACCGGTGCGCCGATCTCTTACTTTTTTTAGATTCATTTATTGTTCAACGAGTTAAGCAAGAGCTAAGACAATCAGGGTAGTGCGTAAGTCACACTTACGTGATTTTCGTTCCAAAAACTATGAAGGCAACGACGAGGAATGGGCCCAAATTGTGTTGCATGTTTTTGGTCAGCTGGATGAGTCTGCCGCCAAGGTAAAGCTGTGTGGTATTGAATCGTCGGCTAGTGTCATTGGCGCCAGTGATTCCGAAGACAAGGAGCTAGTGATCACTATTCGAAAGAGGATCCAGACTATAACTGTATGTGCATTTTGCGTGGAAATATGTAACTAAATATTGACAACTTAACATCTTACAGCAAAGACTTGGCTCCGTGACTCTCAAGCAGGATGATCAACAAGCTATCCAGCTCTTTGACTGGGCAGGGATTGCTACCGTCAGGGCGTATACTCTCGAGCAGCGTTTCGCTTCATTACTTGTTCGCTACCACAGTGCCGAGAACACAATCAGGCAACTGAACAAGCAGCTCGAGGAGTTCGTTTCCGCGAAGACACAGCACGAAGAACAACTGATAGTCAATTTCGTCCAGCTGTTGAACGAAAAAAAGCTCAAGATACGCAACCAGCAACGCTTGCTAGCCTCTGCAAAAGTAGACCGGGAAAAAGGTGAGATTAGGTTAGGTACTATCCAGTATGGAATTGGCCGTTAACCTGCAAGTTCATAAACCAGTGTCTTGGATCCAGAATGCAACATCAGATCAGCATCTCCGACCGCAAAAGAATATTCGGACCGCGAAGCGTACCGCTGCGGAAATGAGCGATGGGGAGGCGGAGAGTGACGAGGAATTCGAAACAATGGAATTCAATCAAACCATGCACCCAATTGATTTTGAAGAGGCTAATGAGACGACCGATGAACGATCTTCAACACCCCAGTCACTGGAGGGATGGGGCGAGAATGCCACTGATGAAGGGTCTCCTGCACCCTCAGATCTGATTGGCAGTGAGGACGAAAGGCATATGTTCGAACAGAGATTTTCAGCTGGTCCTCCTGTTATGAAGGAACCGCCTGCTCCCCCTCCGCGAAGAGAGCTTCCATTTGCCAGAAAGGCGCAAACGACCATAAAAAAACCAAATGAACAGGAGAATAACACAGAGGATACTACCGGGGAGACAGATGACGATGAACTATGACTTGTATCAGCGTTTAATTAATGAGCAGTAGTTGGGATTACTTGGCGTATACCACAATTCTGGTTGCACTAAGCACTTGTTACTCTCCAATGTTGTGATGATCATCGTAAACAGGCTGGACACTTTTTAATTTGTGAAATGCAACCAACTTCAACGCTTCATCCACAGGCCTGGCATTATAATGAATACCCGAAGATCCTAAAGCACCTGTATGCGTAAAAGCTGAATTTTACCTCAATCTTATGTACAAGTTCACCGCTACTGGCATCCCATTCTATACCAGAGGGTGATATGGGAGGCATCTTGGGAATGAGGTGGCAAAACATGACTAACAGTTTCAGCAATAAGGGAACAAAACACAAATAGACAAGTATAGGTGTTACAACGACAACGCCTAGACAATAGACAAACAAGGAAAAAGATCTAGGCATATCATGTTTAAATCGCATGTGCTTAGCCGTACAGAGTCTGGGGAGACATTTCACCAGCGGCCATAAAGTTCGTCTCCGGGTTTCCTGTGGCCTTAGCTGCTGAGCATCGGGCCATCGTTGGCGAGCTGTATCTCGATTAGAAACGAATATTTACATGGATGAACGAACTGCAAGGGTACATACCTCCGAGAGATGGAGTCGGTGAAATAGAAGTCATCGATAACCTTTTTGAAAGGTGCCAGGGTTGGCTGGGTGCCCTTGTTCTGCTCAACCAATTGAACCTTGCTCAACGAGCCCAGAGAAGTTGGCTCAACGACGTCGTATCGGCGCATCACAGGGCTAATCTCTTCCATACGGTCGCGAAGTGCTTCAATGTCGTCATAGGGAAGAGGCACATCAAGGAACTCACTGGTGGCACGGATAATCTTCCAGTCGTCGCGTGCAGCACCAGGCAACGAGGTGGCCGCACGAGTAACTTGTACACGTCCCTCAGTATTGATATATGTGCCGGACTTCTCTGTAAAGGCAGCACCTGGAAGGACAACATCGGCAAGTTGAGCACCACGATCACCATGATGTCCCTGGTAAATGACAAAAGCATCATTCGGGATCTCAGTCTGACCGACTTCATCCGCTCCAAGGAGCCAAACCATCTTGGGTTTGGCCTGAGCAACTTCCGGAGACGGCGTGGTGAAACCAATTTCGTAAGCAGCAGCACGAGATGCAGCGCGCTGAAGAACATTGTAACCCTGCCACTCAGGGGTGTTGAATGTACTCGAATGCTTCTCTACAAAGCTGCCGACTGTCTCAAAAATCGCTTTGGCGTCCGCGTGCTCTGCTGCAGCGGAACCAACGATTACCATGGGGCGTTTTGCGGAGGCAAGCTTTTCACCGAATTTCCCTGCAAGAGCCGTTTTTAAAGCGGAAACATCGGAGCCAAGGTGCTCAAAGTCGAAGGTACTCTCAAACGTTTCGCCAACGAGCCCGATCTCGAGATCAGAACGCAGATACTGTTTGCGGATGCGTGCGTTAAGGACCGAAGCTTCATGGCGAGGGTTTGTAGCGACCAACAGGATGGCATCGGCCTCTTCGATACCGTAGATCTTAGAGTTGAAGAGATAGCTCGAACGAACGTCAACACCGTGGGCAATGGGTGAGCTGCCACCCGGCTGATCCAAGGCAAGATTATCAGAACCAAGCTTGTTAGCTAGATCTTTCATGGCAACGAGCGATTCGGCGTCTACTAAGTGTCCAGCAACAGCCTTGAATTCATTTTCCTTGAGCTGGAGTTTCTGACGGGCAGAGGAGATCTCAGTCAGGGCTTGTTCCCATGTCGCGGGGACGAATTTTCCCTCCCTGCGGATAAGAGGCGTTGTAAGCCTCTGGGTTTTCAAGCCGTCACACGCAAAGCGCGATTTATCGTTGATCCATTCCTCGTTGATGTCGTCGTTGAGTCTCGGAATGATCCGCATGACTTCCATACCCCTGCTATCTATCCGGATGTTGGAGCCCAAAGCATCATGGATATCAATAGATTCGGTGTGTTTCAATTCCCATGGACGAGCACGGAAAGCATAAGGCTTCGAAGTAAGTGCGCCGACGGGGCAGAGATCAATAACATTGCCGGAGAGCTCAGAATCGAGGTTCTTCTCCAGGTAGGTGCCGATCTGCATATCGTTTCCCCTGCCGGCAGTTCCGAGTTCCGGAGCACCAGCAACATCATTCATGAATCGAACGCAGCGGGTACAATGAATACATCGATTCATAGACGTCTTGACCAATGGTCCGATGTTCTTATCTTCCACCGCTCGCTTGCCACCAACCTCATGGAAGCGCCCACGATCGGCACCATAACGCATTGACTGATCCTGAAGATCACATTCACCGCCCTGGTCACAAATGGGGCAATCAAGAGGATGATTAGCGAGGAGAAATTCCATAACGCCCTCCCTCGCCTTGTGGACAAGCGGTGAGTTGGTCTTCACATTCATTCCCGGCTGTACGGGCCAAGCGCACGATGCCACTGGTTTCGGTGCACGCTCAACTTCAACTAGGCACATACGACCTAACACGAGGTTAGAAAATCTTTGTAATGACATTATATGAGAACGTACAATTTCCTGCAATCATAAGCTTTCTGTTGGGATGTTAGCAACGGATATAAACGGGACTTCCTAGGGAGGGCTGAGCGCACTCGTGGTAGCAGTATCTATTGACATTATTATTAGCAATGTTTAATAATCTTCATTAGACGCCTCCATACCTTGGAATTGTCGCGCCCGCTTTCTCGCAAGCTTGAATAAGAGCTGATCCGGCTGTGGAAAGGTGTAAGCAGGGAGAGCTAGAACGTTGTAGCCCGAGGTCAAATCACCTTCTACTGATACCTTTTTACCATCTAAAGCCATAACAATCAGCTTCAATACAGGTATGAAGTTAGAAGATCAACAAAGTCATACCAATTGTGAGTTCCACCTCAGCAAGGCGAGGGGTTGTCGTCGCAAAGGACCTCAGGTTATTGATTCTTGGGACCCGGACAGCCCGAGCGGCCGCACGAAACAACTGCGGCCGCATGCTGTGAGGAATTTAAAGGGTAGGGAAGGGAAAGGGAAATAAAAAGAAAGGAGATGGGTGGATGAGATGCCCAATGCAGAGCTTGAAGAGCTGATGTTCTTTGAGAGAGCACTTTTGGCCTGTTCGGATTCTGCCAGTCGGGGCGTCACTCGCAAATTGCCCGCCTCGCATTGGCTCGGTTATACGGCAAATCATTTAGTCCGCGTCACACCTTCTAGTCACGTTTTCAACCAGTGTTTATTTCTTTCCCTTCTCTCTTTTTTTTTTTTTCCTCTCTTCTTTCTTCTTATCAAACTCATTCACGGGCATGATTATTGTAGGTGGTAGGGCTTTCTTCTATCCCTCCCCCCTCTGCTACATATCCCAAGAACAAATGCACTGAGCTGGAGCTCCTTAAGGTTATTCTCATTCTATTGATGTGACTACCTGATGAAGGTATAGTTCTTTACTGACAGTGGCGACACTTTTGTTGTACATATATTGATGAACGAGCGGACATTAGCTCTTCTATGTCTAATTAATACTCATTGGTATCTGAGCAATCAACTGGCAGATGTAATAGAGTTACGACCTTAGCACTTTAAAGAAATTTCGTCTTAGACATTGAAAGATCGGGTTATTGACTGGGCAACCTTGGTTTTTCTCACCAGACGAAGATACTGGGTAGCCTTAACTAGTTGCAAACAGGGCACGTGGTTATAAGGAAAATCAACTAAGTCTTGAGACTTTGGAAAATTTGCTTCTATTAAGAGTCTTTCATACCAATACAAAAATATTATCTAACCCCCACCCCCAAGACCAGACACACACACACGAGGAAGAGAGAGAAAAGGTGCCCTACGGCAAACTGAAGATTGTTACACCACGAGACCTAGGCGCTTCAGGGAGCAGAGTAACAACCATGAAGTTCAAGGTCAAGACCATCTAAGAGTCACTTGGCTGCCAAGTCGTCTCCTGCTTTGTGCCAGGTGGCAGCCATGCCCTAGTATTACTGCTTCCCCTGGGGCGGACTCGGCCTGGTAAATCATCGACCTTCTTCAGGTTGTTTGAGAAAGAATGTGTGTCGTCTAGAAACTGACGCTCACTAGTCTTCCCCGGTGGAAATACATAGCCGTTAGAATCCCATGTTTTAGTTGTACTCCGAATGTTGAGAGGAAGTACATTGTCCTGCGTGCGAAAGTGGTCTGCGTTCGCCCTTTGATCTGCTAGATCATCGTGGCTGTTGCGATCGTAGAGATATAGTCCAATAAACGTAAGAGCGATGCCAATTGCCTGCATCGCAGTAGTTGAATTGCCAAACCATACTATCGCAACGACAATGACAAATACTCTCTTCACCAGAGATGCCACTGAGTAAGAAACCGGTGATATCATGGATAGCAGAACAAATGCCAGGATGTTTTGCGCAAAATGGGAGACTCCGTTGAACACAAACTCAAATAAAAGAGCACCATGATCTAAGGAATTCTCCTTGCCTGACAGCGAGATGGATCCGTCCTGCATTACGTCTGAAAGCAATGGGTAACCCTCGCAGAGAACCCAGATTGGTAGCGTTAGTATGAAGGCCAACCCAGAGCAATAGCAAAGTAAATTTAACTTGTCCAATTTCCGTTGAGCGGACGGTTGTGTCTCTGACTCTCCGCGCGCTGTTTCGTTGAACAGCTTCTTAGAAAAGATATTTTGGGAAACGAAGACCAAAGCCGCAAAAAATGCACAAGTTATTCCAAAGAAGTTGGTGGAAAATCCAGTGGAACAAGCAAGCATAACACCTAAAGTCAAGGGAACAAGAGATAGGTAGGTAGCGCTGGCATATCGGATGCGAAAGAACACGCGGTATGCTAAGACTGTAAACAAAGGCGATAGTCCCTTGATTGTATGAACCAGCGAGACCGGTATTTGGGAAGTAGCCATGGAACTTAGTATATGGCCTGCTAGCTGAAATACTGCGAGAGGCAACGCGGTCATTATAACATCGCGCGAGGGGTAACGGATACCATTTTTGAGGGCCGGTATACTATTCCTGAGCCCTGGTAATATCTTCGAGAGATATGACAGCAGTAAGCACCATATTGATACAAACGCAAATTGCACGATCGTAAGAGTGATTGGTTTTGGGAGTGCATTCAAGATGGATTTCGACGACGTGTTTGTTAGAGCGGAGGTCATGTACCAGATGAGGCAAAGACTCTAAGTAGATGTGAGCCACAATTCCTGACAATGCGCAAGAACGGTTCACCATACTATCAGTTTGTATGACACTGGCGCCCGGAGGGCTTGGGCCAATTCTTGCGCGTTAGCGCTCACACTGGCATTACGTGTGCGGATGGTACTGATTGCCTCGCTGATGCTTTTCCTCGGCTTATGCTTTGAATGCCTGATTGACCCGTTTGTATACTCTGGAGCGAAAAGATTTTCTTTGCGCGGTTCCCAGCGATCATTCGGTGTATACTTAGTCGCAAAACTTGGATGAGGTTCTCTTGGATGAGGTTCTCTTGACCCTGCAGCGATTTCATATAGGTCGTCCTTGAATTGCGGGAACTTGTCTATCGGACTGGTAGTCATCGATTGTGAAATAAAATCAGTTGCTGAAGTCTGCAAATCTGACTGCCGTATAGAAGAGCGCCGTCCATTACCAGTAACAATGGCTGTAGTCATTCCTAATCACTTTGTAACTGGTTTTTCAGGTCCTTGTGGTAGTTCGCCTTGAGTCTAAAAGCAGGCTTGAACGGTAAAGTTGAGCGGCCATACATATGTCCGTAATAATATGGGCAGAAGGTGAGGAAGCCAGTTACTCAGGCCCTCTCAAGCAATTTTTTCAAGGCGAGTTCTCCGGTACTGGTGGAAAGGCCGTACGAAATCGACTTGGGGGGATGTTGGGGTATCAGTATCCACTGCGGTCTTGTAACGTTTGCGGTTTCTACTCGCTGGATGACGAATCCTTTCTGACGAATGAACACCAAGGAGGGAGAACATGGTGCGGGACCACACCTTATCAAATTTCAATATATAACTACTCGAAAAAGGTTAGTCATACTACTTACGGAGTACTCCCCGGCCGCAAGTGTACTTTACTATGTATGAGGTCTCATAGGCGGCTCAAAACTTCTGACAGGCTGAACCTGAGTCTCTAGGCGAAGGCCTGGTTACTAGTACTCGTACGTAATTGGTCTTATGATTGTGTATTTATGTACTATTGTCTAACTGGCACGTACCACTGAATGCATGCCAATCAAACCTATATCCTTTATTTACTACGTAAGGAATGTTCATGACATACTTATTTGTTTATGTATCTACATATGTCTCCATGCTCTGAATTTTATTATCATGCCTAAAATGCGTTTGTTCCATGGTCAAGTTTGGATCAGGTCTACTCCGTATTGATGGTAGAGCCACGTGATGGATGAAATAGGAACCTACTACGTGGACCCGACGATAGCTACAAGACGGTTAAAAAAATTTTTTGTGTTTTGTTTGTTGAACACGTCCATGATATTTTAGAAATGACATACATACTTACTACGGTACCTACTAAGGTAGACATAATTCCCCAAGATCGTTAGTTGGCTGACCTTCTCAATGTCATTCCGGTCCCATCCTCTCAAATATCCAACCCTCTACTCCGTACAGCAAAATACTTAAATAGTAGATATTTCTCGTACTATTGTTAAATATGTTTCACTTTGAAAATAGTACCTTACTATGGGATTTAGTAAGTCTGAATAAAAAGCTGACTACCAGAGTTCCTGCGTTGAATTTGAAGTTCTTGGATTTTTGACTACTAGCACTGTGTTCCAATTTCAATGTCTTTTTGGATACGCTGTATCTATATTATGTAGCAGTTTTCGGAGCCCAACTAGTCGATAATCTAATAGGTTTGGTTTTTTTTTTTTTATTTTTTTTAGAAAAAGGTTTATATTTTATATTACCAGACCTATCTACTAAATAAGCGATTTCAAATGAAAGTCAATGTAGGCGGCGTAGGGGGTAGTTAGAAATTGAGATACTGTACGTATATATAATGAACTTAAGTGTGTTAATGTGTTTCTACAGGCTTCGTTTTCTTCTTCTTCTGGCGAGGGTACGACTTGGAAATATGTCGATGATATTGATCGGTTTAGCCTATATACATCGCAAAATGGCTATATTAATGTGGATTACTATTTGGACAGAGAAGCAAGTGTTGGTAGGTATATATACTGGTTTATTCAGTGTCATGGGGCCAATGTACTATCGCGTGGCGTATTACTTTACTACAGCGGAGCTCGGCCTAGCACAGTGCTTTCGCTTAAAATGTCTACTTGAATGTAATACCACAAAGTTTATAGAAAGGTGGAACAGACATTGTCAGGTAGAATTTCCTGGCGTTGGTGATCAAAGATGCTAATATTTCTAGCCTGGAGCAAGCTACACTATACCAAGTATTAGTGCTGCTGCTCTATGGTAGAATAGTATATGCCAGCTATCTTGGTAGATGTCGACGAGTATCACTAAGAAGTTCTGAGGTATACTAGCCTAGTCATAGACAGCTATAACAGGTAGTAGTCTTCATGTTCCATTTTTGGGTCATTCTACTAGTACTACCGACTGTTAGGTGAGGTGTTCTCCATGAATACTTCCTCCCACTTCCCTAGAGGCTAGGGCACTCCTCCATTTAGTCCCCATCGTTACTTCCCAATACCATACATCAACGATCTATTCTTCTTTAGTGTCTATGTACCAATCTTTCCATCTTTGGTATTGTCTCTTCCCACCCATCTCGCGTCTCTTTCGTCACTAAGACAAAGCCTATCTCTTCACTTACAGTCATCTTTTAAGTATTTGCTTCAATTCCAGTTGTCGTTGCGTGTGAAAGTATTTGGATTCCAGTGTCGTTTCTAGCCAACAGCGTGATTGTGGTTACATTGTTCTTTGTTTATAAAGGCTTCCATCGACTGTCTAGGCAGATATGTCACTGCCGTCCACCGGGTCTCCTACGACCGGCCGCAGGCTCTCCGAGGCCAAGTTATTCTCCAATGACGGACAAGCATCATCTTTTGGACGCGAAGCATCCGTAAGTACCACGGACAGTAAGGGTGCAACCATTCAATACCAACCACATTTCACTCTAGAACCACAAGCACATGGACGCTTCTAACAGCCCCCCCGATCCTCTGATATCCTCCAAGCTTGGAAATTTTCAACCCTCGGTTGGTGAATTCAATGATATTCCGTCGAACAAGGTCAGGTTTCTTCCAAGGAAAAGAAAACAACTCTATGAAGGTCAAAATGTCTCACAATCCCAGAAGCAGAAGTTGGAGCATTCAAAATCCATCTCTCCAGTTGACAACTCCGAGATGGGAAAGCTACTGGCTAGGCTCTCCCCCAAGCCCCAACCATCAGGTATCAAGATCTCCACAAACCAAGGAATCCTTACAAGGCTATCCGAGCAGCAAAGGTTGCTTGATCGGCAGAGGCGTACTCTTTATAGCAGCTATGAGGGTTTAGAAGGACATGATGGAACCAACAAATCTTCTAAAATTCTACCGCTTACTTCAACCTCGGGACTAGTCCAGTCTCTTACCCAAGATCTAGCCTTACCGGATGCTACAAACACCGACACATCCGAAGTACTTCGCTTAAAGCAGGAACTACTTGCGGCCAATTCAAGAATTGCACTTCAAGAACAAGAGCTTGCACAAACTCGTGTAATCAAACACACACTGGATCAGGCCCTTGGCCCTCCTTCCGAAGTTGACTTTAATGGCCGGGAGGTCACGGAGCAGACGATCAGTGATTTACAAGATGCCTTTAACGCTTCGAATCCAACTTTCAGTCAGCTTCAGGACGGATGGAGTGGCCCAGATGACTCTCAGTCAGACATTTCCGACGCGCTTTCTACGGGAGCATACAACCGGTCGCGAGGTTTCTGGATCCCCCCAGTTCAGCAGAGGTTTAACATGAATATGCCTAACCCAGTTATTGATAAAGCTTACGGCGAGCCAATATCAATGCCTAACAATTACCTTAGTCAAAATTTGAGCAGGCCTTGGAATAATCTACTTCCCGATGTTGGTGTCTCTGGACACACTTCGTCCCAGCCTCATCGTGTGTTCTCTGGGCCGTTGACTGGAGCTTGCAGTTTCGACGCACACCTTGCCAGTGAGCAAAGTAGGTATACTTCAGGCTCAGGCGCAGGGCCACGCCGGTCTATCACACAGGCCAACCGCGGTGGGTCTTGTTTTCCAACGCAACATTCTCCTTGGGGAACGTTCGCTGCCAGCTCCCCAAGTATTCAAGCGCCTAGATCACCTGCGAATCGGCAAAGCGGCACATATCAACAGATAGGATTGTATCCTATATCGCCTTATCATCAACAACCAGTTGGGACCCCCCTCTCTCCCACAGCCTCTGAGTTTACTTCTTCCGGCACGACTGCACCACCCTGGACATCTTCAGCCGTGAGGAGTACCTAATCTTGTGTTCTTAGCATATGCTCACGCTTGTAGGTTGGTGTGAGCTCTACTCAGACATACATTTCGCCTCTCGAACCACTTAATTACCGCAGGCTCCTTGACAAAAATGTCTCTTGTGATTGGAGATATATTGTTGATAAAATTGTTTGCAACAACGATCAACAGGCTTCTATCTTCCTACAGCAGAAACTCAAAGTTGGGACAGCTGAGCAAAAGTATGAAATTATAAAGGCCATAGTGCATCAAGCATATCCCCTAATGATTAATCGTTTTGGCAACTTTCTTGTGCAGCGCTGTTTTGAGCATGGCACATCTGAACAAGTAGTTGCCATTGCAAATGCAATAAAAGGTAACACATTGAGTCTTAGCATGGATCCCTTTGGCTGCCATGTAATCCAAAAGGCATTCGACTGTGTCCCTGAAGAGCATAAAGCTGTTATGGTCCATGAACTTTTACGCAAAATTCCAGAAACAGTGATCCACCGGTATGCTTGTCACGTCTGGCAGAAACTCTTCGAGTTACGATGGAGTGGTGAGCCTCCGCAGATTATGGCTAAGGTTAACGAGGCATTGCGCGGAATGTGGCATGAAGTCGCTTTAGGGGAGACGGGAAGCTTGGTGGTACAAAACATATTTGAGAATTGTGTGGAGGATGAAAAGGTAAGAGTTTATCCCACTGCTATTCTAAGCGAGCAGATCCCATAAACCAAGGAGACAGCCAACACCCAGTCAACGTAAACACTCATGGATAAGGAAAGAAGGAGGCTTTGGGTATACCCGGGCAGAGAATACTAACAAGCCCTTAGCGTCCGGCCATAGAAGAAGTGCTGACCAAGATCGACCTACTTGCTCACGGCCAGTTTGGGAACTGGTGCATTCAACACATTTGCGAGCACGGCGCACCTCATGACAAGAATCGTGCGATTGAGCATATCCTCCTGTGGTCTGTTGACTACAGCATGGATCAATTTGCTTCTAAAATAGTGGAAAAATGCTTAAAGATCGGTGGCTCTGAGTTCCTAGACCGGTACCTTACTCGAGTGTGTACAGGTCGTACCGATCGGCCGAGAATGCCATTGATTGACAGTAAGTCGCGAAACTCCAAGCTTGCCGAGAGGTTGGTCCTAAACGATAGATAGTTGCTGGGGATCAGTATGGGAACTACCTCATACAGTGGATCCTTATGAACGCCGCGCTTCATCAGCGTGAGCTAGTTGCGAGTCATATCAGGTATGTTTAACAGCACAGTTTGTTTCAGCAACTCTAATCCTCAGTTAAAGGAAACATATGGTTTCTTTGCGCGGGTCTAAATTTGGTTCTCGCGTGGCCATGCTCTGCTGCAACCCGTCTCATATTACACGCCCTGGACCAGGTGCTGGCATGCAGATCGGTCGTTTCACAAACTTCAACGACGATAGGTACCAAATCTCAGGTCAAAATGGAGGCCGATTTAGTCGCGGAAGCCAATGGAACCCTAACTACCCACCATTCCGCTAAGATTGACAGCAAAAACCTCTGCAAGCAATGGGTTCAATTGCCCGTAACTTAAGCCTCGGAAGTAACAAGAGCTGAGTCTGTGACGCTCTATGGACAGGTATGCGACTGATACGATATAGTATTCAACTTAGTATTCTACGGCGCTCTATACTAGGGTTTCGCGGCGCTTTGGTCATATGGCGCATGCAGTATCTACATAGGACTGGCTGATAATGAGCGTGGTCCGTACAACGTTCTACACTTCATGCTCCATGTATTTAAAGTTAAGACCCTTTTCTTTGTTTCAGCTTCCCAAAAGAACAAAGCATTTTCGTGAAATGGCTACAATGTATCAGGAAAAAAAAAAGCTACAGGGTGGGTTGTTATGTGGGAGATTTGGTTTACAAAAGGAAGCAACATTGCATATGGAGACTCACCTTTTGTGTGCCATGTCCCGTCACTCATTAATCTTAGGTGTTATGTTATTCTTTTGAACCCAGAATAGTCTACAATCACTGTCCAAGACCTCGTGACATGACTTCAATAAAAGTTATCTACTTCTGTGGTGGGGGCTAATGATCGCTGAAGTCGCCTGCTTCTCGCTAGAATACTAAGGGCCCTAGCATGAATGGTAGTGGTTCTTATGCCCAGACTTCCATGCTGTTCCCGTCGAGTCTAGGTATGAGAGGTTTCGCTAACTTCGTCCTTTTCCCAAGGCTTCCGCCTCCTCGGCTTGGTGCTTGGTGTGTCATGGCCCGTTAATATGGTGTCTGGTATCTGCTGAATACCAGGGACTGGCTGGCCAGTTGTGATGAGCTCCACGATATGGGCGAAGGAGGAAGGGTATGTAGGTTCCTGAACAGGTGTGGATGTCTGATTGGTATGATCCGTTGATATATATGTGCCAGCCACTGGTGTATTAACCTGCTGCCGAGTGTTGCCAGTGTTCACATTTTCAGACAAAATGTCTGAATGCAACCACGCCTTATAGGTTGCAAAGTTCACAGGGTGTGCGAGCTTCTCTTTTCTATTCACAGATCAATGAAATATGGGTTAGCTTCAGCATTGGCACTTGCAAGGGCTAGGAATACTGAATGTAAGAGAAAGGAGGAGGAGGAGGAGGTGGGGGAGGTGGGGGAGGGGGGGGAAGGGTTTATTCTCTTTTTGTATACCTTGAGAAATAGAAGCATTTGGCTTGTAAGACAAGGTCGTCGATGCGGTCGATCTCTGTTTCAGTTGCAGGGGTATCCGGGTGACCGAGGATAATCGCAAGACCTTTTGCAAACTCGCGATCCGTGCGGAACGGATAGTATCTGAGTTTCTCATATACTTCATTTTCGACCTGAGTAGCTGAAATAGAGTTCCCTTGGTCAGCTGCACTGTGTGTTGTCCCCACGGGCAGCTGAGTTGCGAGGTTATTGTTGACGGCAGGGGGGTTATCCATGACGCATTAAACGTAGAATTCCACTCCGAAGACGAAGAAGATCGGCAAAAAATAATTTTTAGCTGTTCTATTTTCAGTTTCCTTTCTCTTTCAATGTATGATTACTGATTGCTGAGGGGAACTGTGGTGCGTAGGTATTAACTATTCAACAGTGATAAGATTTGGGATTAGCCGAGGCTTAAAGGTATGACATGATGCACCACCAATTTATATTGCTGGTCAGTGATTGAGGAGCACTTTCGGTGGGGAAGCCTCATTCAGAATATTGGTTACCAACCCCAAATAAGCAAAAGTCATGAATTTATAGTTCCATTCTATAATGATATCATATTGTTAGGATACAAATTAATCAAGATCAAGATCTATTGGATTATTATATGGAATATGCCATACATACACCAAGATATATGCGAGTCAACACCTCGTAGGAGGGAGGTAAAAAGTAAGAGAAGAGCAAAAAAAAAAAAAAGAAAAACACACAAAAAGGAAAAACGCCAGGCTATGCAGTGTACCATTCATGGATGTTTAACAAGATCCTCAAAAATGCGATTTGGCTTTACACTACGCCGAGGTATCCATTATCTCCAGGCCCAGGCCCGTCTGATTCCCCAGAAGGTCAGCCTTCTTGAGAACTGTAGTTTTGCTTTGACAGCCAGGGCAATTGTGCACAACTTCGTGGGCAAAGAGATCACAATCGATACAGAAATGATTCTCGCATACTGTACATTCATACCGACTGCTTACGCTCATCCCTTTCGCCTGGTTTTCCGTCATTTGCCATTGATCCTTGGGAGGTACTGGAGGAAAAGCTATACCGCAGGCAAAGCATACCGAACTGTGAGAAGCTCGTTGCCAGGGAACCTCTATCCAGTTCATCAGGGGAAATAAATGATGGTACGAGCGAGCGAGATGGGTGGACAGGATTAGAGTGAGGCCGCAAGAGGGACACTCTGCAGGGAGACCACAAACTTTGCTGCTACAACGTGAGCACAAGTATCCTCCACAGGAAGGTTTCGAATGACACGCGCAAAGAGAGGGGGAAATTTCAACAGTGCGAGATGGAAACCCCATCATTAGGAGCGAGCTTGCAGACTGTTTTTGAGAATATGTGGCTGGAGGTGTCGTTACGTCCATTAACAACTCACGGAAATGTTGCTCGTTGAGTGCTACCCCATATCTAGTGTCATCGCCGCCGTTCGTTTTTGCGCAGAGCTCACGGCAGATAGCTACTTGAGCAGCAAGACCCACGATTCCCACACGCACTTGATCATTGATGAGGTTGGCTATTGTTTGATGAATATCCCCAGGATCAGACGAAAGAAGTGAGCCAAATATGATGAATACCTCTCGAGTGCTATGGCTGGGTGTATGACTGTAAGGATACATGTTAGTTTGGGCCAGGTGATACTCAACATAAATAACGCCTGCGTGGGTAAGACTCACAATAGCGCGCCACGAGCCATTTCCAAGCCGTTCTGCAAACTTGGGAGACCTTTCGGATCTTGGTCTCTCAGGGTTTGTATGGCACTTATATGTTCTGTGGGGTTCCCACTCATATCACTTATTCGGATGGCGAGACCATCCCTTAATCCAAGGACACCAAGTTGAGAGATCGGATTCTGCTCAAAGAACTCCCGCACAAGCTCCTGTGCGTACCGTAGCGTAAGAAGATATCTTGTGGGGCGAAGGTCCTTCTCTGTCATGGATTGCGACAGGTCGATTACCAAGATAAGATGACGGATAATACCACGTTGCAAAGGGGTTGTATCTTTCAGAAGCCTGTGTTGAAGGTGCTTTTAGTTTGATTTTCTCGACCTGCAGTTTCCGGTCGCCTTCCTTCCTTCTTCAAGCTTACCTTTTCCTTTTTCCAGCTTCCAGGAGCCCTTCAACTGTCGAGCTAATTGTCCCATCTGCACCCTCGACCAATGTCTCCCAGGTTCTTGAAACCTCCCATTCAGCTCCTCCACGCTGTTTTCTCCTCTTCGCACGGGATGCAGACCCTTCCTTCCGAGGTCCTCGGAAAACGTTATTGTCATCTTCATCCTCAGAAACTTCCCCGATGTACTCTTCATCGGAATCAGCCATGAGCTTAACGTGTTGAGTGCGGGGGGTTTAGCTACTCGGGGAAAGATGGTGCTATGAGTCGTTTCGGAACAGCCCGCAGTTGGAACTAGTTTGATAAATCCGTATTAAGTTGGAAAAGGGTCCAAGCTCCCCTCCCGGCGGAGCTCCGGTTAATCTTGGCTTCAATTGGATTAAATCGTAGTCTCTTTCTCTCTCTCTCTTTTTTTTTTTTTTTTTTTCCGTCATCCTTTCCATAACCCTCCCTCAAGGCCGCTCTAAGTCTTTGATTCTGAAGCGTTTAAGAATACTCCTCATACTATTATGTGTGATTGGTAGCCTTTGCTAGTAATTTGTCTATTCTGCATATATATGTACCTACTGGCCGAAAGTAGCCGTAAGCAGGGATTAATTTGCCCCTCCAGAAGTTCTAGGTGGTGTTAAAACCAGATGTGGGGGAAAAGGTGCATGGTTGCGTGGACCAAAGACCATGCTCAGTCAATCTGTCATCCACCCCGGCCAATGTCACTCCGCCCCTCCCCCTCTTTCAGTTCCTCCTCGCGTTCCCGCTCTCTTTCTCGTCTGCCTTCCTGCTTGTATCCCCGTCCGACCAAGCTTGATATTCCCTCAACGTTTGTAAGGTGCTGCTCCTCTGAAATCCGCGCAATGGCTGCAAAGGATAGAGAGGTTCTTCCCGATGTGTAAGTCCATTAATGGTTCCTGTGTGTTTTAACCGTAAATGTCGTTATGTGTATAGACTCTCAAGAACCGTGTTTGACAAATTAGCAGGGTCAAACCAGTTCATTATGATGTCACCTTGTTTGACATGCAGTTGGGTGACTCTTGGGGCTACAAAGGCATCGTAAAGATAGATTCGAAAATCACCTGCTCCACCAAGGAAATCATCTTGAATTCCAAGGAGATCGAGGTCCAGAAAGCTGAAATTTTTGGAAAAGATGGTCTGTCAGGGTGCATCGTGTTTCAAAAGGCCTTCCCTAATATCAGGCCAGACTACTGACATAATGCATGACTGGTGTAGGGTCGAAAATAACCCAGGCGTCTGAGATAACCTATGACCAGAAGTCAGAGCGAGTGACTTTCAAATTCCCCCAGGAAATTACACCATCGGAAGTTGTTCTATGCCTGACTTTTACGGGTGTAATGAACAATTCTATGGCTGGTTTTTACCGTTCCAAGTACAAGCCTGTTGCAAAACCTAGTTCTGATACCCCAAGGGAAGGTGATTTCCACTATATGCTGAGCACTCAATTCGAATCCTGTGATGCGCGCAGAGCTTTTCCGTGTTTTGACGAACCGAATCTGAAAGCTACCTTTGATTTCGAGATCGAAGTACCAAAAGGCCAAACAGCTCTAAGCAACATGCCCATCAAATCTGTGAGAGAAGGCAGTAGCCCTGGCCTAAAAGTAGTTTCCTTTGAGAGAACCCCCGTGATGAGTACTTACGTGAGTCTGTATCTATATGCCATGATACCGCATGTGACTAACTATTCGAGCACTACCGCAGCTTCTAGCATGGGCTGTTGGTGACTTTGAGTATGTCGAGGCAATGACCCAGCGCAGATACAACGGGAAAAGTATACCTGTGCGCGTCTACACGACAAAGGGCCTCAAGGAACAAGCCCGATTCGCTTTAGAATGTGCTCATCGTACTGTCGACTATTTCTCAGAAGTATTCGAAATTGAGTACCCTTTACCCAAAGCGGACCTCCTTGCTGTCCATGAATTCGTGAGTCTCAGCAACCGCACCTATTCGGATACATGTATAGAAATTTACTTTTGTTCCCCCAGGCCATGGGAGCCATGGAGAACTGGGGCCTTGTAACATACCGAACGACTGCCGTTCTCTTTGATGAGGGCAAGTCAGATACTCGCTACAAGAACCGCATTGCGTATGTTGTTGCTCACGGTGAGTCATGTCCAAAGGTAACTTTTATCTTCAAGTTGTCTAACAAAGGGTACCAGAATTGGCCCACCAATGGTTCGGCAATCTTGTAACTATGGATTGGTGGAACGAACTGTGGTTGAACGAAGGTTTCGCGACCTGGGTTGGATGGCTGGCTGTTGACCACTTTTATCCCGGTATGTTTCTCTCATTAGACAACAAGGACAGCTTGTTCTAATACATGTGGGTAGAATGGAATATATGGTCTCAGTTTGTCGTACGCAATGCCCGAGGTAAATATAACTTATCTTAGTAGGAACTGACCATTCCACAGGCTGAAGGTGTACAACAAGCATTCCAGCTCGACTCATTACGCGCATCCCACCCAATAGAAGTACCTGTAAAGAATGCTCTTGAGGTCGACCAGATTTTCGATCACATTAGCTATCTCAAAGGAAGCTCCGTAATTCGGATGCTGAGCGATCATCTTGGTCGAGATACTTTCCTCCGGGGAGTAGCTAGCTACCTCAAGACCCACGCTTACGGTGAGTACTTATGTTGGAGCAGATGGGCGCTTGCTAATTTAATACGACCTCTAGGTAATGCCACTACCAATGATCTTTGGTCTGCGCTCAGTAAAGCATCAGGTCAAGACGTTAACAACTTCATGGTAAGCCTTGAAACAAGCCAGAGCCATCATGTTGTATCTTAATTTTCTCTAATAAAATGACGAAGGACCCATGGATTCGTAAGATCGGTTTCCCAGTTATAACAGTGACAGAAGAGCCTAGCCAGATTAGCATTCGCCAGAACCGATTCCTCTCTACAGGTGATGCAAAGCCGGAAGAAGATGAAACAACTTGGTGGATTCCGCTTGGAATCAAATCGGGCTCAAAGATGGAGGAAGTGAATTCTGGTGCCCTTGTTACCAAGACTGATACTGTTCAAGGTGTCGACCAGGATTCGTTTTACAAGATCAACAAGGATCTTTCTGGATTCTACCGGACAAATTATCCGAGTGACCGGTTGGCAAAGCTTGGCAAATCTCTAGAGCTACTGAGCACCGAAGACAAGATTGGGTTGATTGGTGATGCTGCTGCTCTTGCTGTGTCTGGTGAAGGCACCACTGCTGCTCTGCTTGCCCTTCTTGAAGGCTTCAATGAGGAGCAGAACTATTTGTTAGTATCCAGTACCTTCCCATAATGCTTGTCCAGATCTATAGCAATGGTTCTAATTAATTTTGTAGGGTGTGGTCACAAATTTCTTCCTCGCTTGCAAACCTTCGCTCGGTATTCTCTCAGAATGAGTCTGTAGTCGCCGGACTGAATGAATTTGCTCTTAAGTTGGCATCACCTGCTGCCCACAGATTTGGTTGGGAGTTCAAACCGGGCGAGGAATATCTTACTGTCCAGCTACGAAAACTTCTTATCGGAATGGCAGGTCTTGCAGGTGATGAGAAGTAAGCCTTGCCCCATCCCTAAGTACACTTCCTTTTAGCTTTATTAACACTGTAACAAAGGGTTATTGCAGAAGCCAAAAGACGCTTCGAGCTCTGGTCTACCGGGCAAGAAAAGGATGCGATTCACACTAACCTGCGTTCGGTCATTTTCGGTATCAACGTCTCGGAGGGCGGTTTCGATGAATTTGACTCTGTCAAAGAAGAGTATCTCAAGACGGACTCTGTTGATGGCAAAGAGATCTGCCTAGCAGCCCTTGGGCGGACCAAAGATGCAGGACTGGTCCAGGATTACCTAGACTTTGTATTCTCGGACAAAGTGGCAATCCAAGACGTACACAATGGCGCTGTCTCCTTGGCTGCGAACTCAAAGGTCCGGCATCTACTTTGGCAGTATATGAAGGACAACTGGGGTACCGTTGAGGCTCGCCTGTCGGCAAATAACGTCGTCTTTGAGCGCTTTGTGCGAATGGGCCTTTCTAAGTTCGCAGACCAAGGCATTGGGGAGGACATTGCTTCGTTCTTCCAGAACAAAGATACAAGTGCCTATGATCGTGCACTCGTTATTGTTTCGGATAGCATTCGGACCAATGCACGGTATAAGGAGAGAGATGAGATATCAGTTCTGGAATGGCTCCAGGCTCATGGCTATGCCTGACTGCCGAGGAGTGAAGCGGTCTGTTACTAGCTTGCCATGTGAAGATGAACCAGGGTATCATCATCATGGAGTATATTATACTGGGCCTACTCTTCTGACCCTAGCTAGTATACTTGAAACTATATGTTGTCTTTTATTTTCTTTTTCTTTCTACCCCACCTAATGAACTGGCCGTTCATGCGACTTGCCAGCTAGAAAATCTAAGAACACGTTACATCAGTGCGCTAGTACAGAAAGGGAATGCGGAATCACCCTGACTGCCAGCCGAAGATGCCCAGGATTAAGTTCCCCATGTAGTTACTATATCTTATCTGTATGAACTTGCAAGAGAGGATAATAATGAAATTAGTGAAAAATTAGTGGTAATAGTTTGTTTTCAATAGCGATACCACACAATAGCTGGAGTTGTGAAAGCAGAAGTAGGTGTCTAGGAGACGAAGGTATTCAATAAAGTGGAAGAACCAGCATGCCAAAATATCATGGTATTAATAGGAACAGCAAGAATCCAGACAAATGATCTAGGGGAAAGTTTATCATTTGATTGGAGCAACTAGACCAAATCGGGTCTTGTGTCTGGGGCGCGGCGAAACGTGAAACGGTCACAAACCAAGGGAACCTGCACGCTGGGCTCGTCTGCTCACCTGCACTACTCAGCAACTCGCAACCGCCATTTCAAAAGACGACGGCCGACTTCATCGAACTTAACACTTCCAGGCAACGCTTCTTTCCTCCCCTCGCTGTCTGCTGCTACCGCCGCTCGATCTTTCGCCTGATAGACGACTTCCGTTTCTTTCTTCTTTTCTTCCGTCTCCCCTATTTGAAGAGCCTTGCATTTGTCAACAGCTACCCCTACACCGTCCATCATGAACCCTGAGTGGTAAGTCTTCTATCCGCCCACATTTTGATACACCTTCTTGAGGCCTTTGGTATTTCACACTGTCTGCATTATAATGGTCTCTCTCCCTGCGTCTCTCTCCACCCTTATTTTATCAACTTTACTGATTTGTTGTGCAATAACCAGAGTACCTACGTTCTTCTTTGGTGGAAACCAAGAGACGGCCTTCCTTTAATTCCCTTTTATCCTAACCATCTACTTAGATACGACTATCTTTTCAAGCTCCTTCTTATCGGAGATTCCGGTGTCGGAAAATCTTGCTTGCTACTCCGGTTTGCAGATGACACCTACACAGAGAGCTATATCTCCACTATCGGTGTTGATTTCGTACGTATATCGTTGTTTGGGCAACCACATCCCTTGTAGTGGTACTGACCTCTAGGTAACAGAAAATTCGAACAATCGAACTTGATGGCAAGACAGTGAAGCTTCAGATTGTAGGGAGAGGTGTCACCACATACGAATGATTTTGCGTAGCTAACAGGACCTTCAGTGGGACACTGCGGGCCAGGAGCGGTTCCGCACCATTACGTCGTCTTATTATCGAGGTGCTCATGGTATCTGTGTCGTGTATGATGTTACTGACATGGATTCTTTCAACAATGTGAAGCAGTGGCTCCAGGAGATCGATCGCTATGCCACCGAGGGTGTCAACAAGCTGCTCGTGGGTAACAAGAGTGACATGGAAGATAAGAAAGTCGTGGAGTACACGGTGGCAAAGGTATGCACCTATCTTCACCTTTCCCCCTATCCTCTGGAACGGACAACTTTTGCGTTTCCGCAGTCGCCATGGAGGCTAATTTGTTATATTGTTTGAAATCAAAAGGAGTTCGCCGATAGCCTTGGAATACCATTCCTGGAGACCTCTGCTAAGAACGCCTCGAACGTCGAGCAAGCCTTCTTGACAATGGCAAGGCAGATCAAGGAGCGTATGGGTACCGCCACTGTCAACAACAAGCCGACTGTGCAGGTTGGCCAGGGCCAAGGTGTCCAGTCTGGGTCTGCAGGTGGTTGCTGCTAATCGAACCAATGAGTCGTGTTGCACAGTACTACGTTAGCCACCTCGGTATGAAGCAGGGAGGTGGTTTGCCAACTGCGCCTTGGCACTGAACAATTCTATTTGAAATGTGGAACGGCGCAGACGGCCCTGCGGAAATTTTTGCTATTTTCAAGCTCGGACTGATTATTGGGAAGCATTTCAGATCCTTCACACAATGCTTTAGACGGCCTGCGATTGTCTTTATATGTGCTCATATTGCTGGTACCCTTGTTGCCCTCTCACCCCCCCTGTTACACGCTACTTGTTTTGTGATTTCCTTTACAGCATTTCCCTAGTTTCTTCCATATCTTATTAGTAGGTTGGATTCCTTGCGATTTTGTCAGGAACAAATTAATGGAAAAGACCCTGAATGTTCGGAGAACATACTTATTCGGTAATGGCACACAGTAGCTAGCACAAATCCCAGCCATTTTCTGGAAGCAGCTTATTTTTTTCAAGCCTTCATCTAATAAGTTTCATTTGATGGAGACATAGCCAGCTGATACGATGATTAAGAAGCATCGTCTATATGCAAGAGTCGTTTTTGCCTTCTCTATCAACTCATATATGTCGGTCAATATGTTGCCAGTATCACTCTAAATAGAAATATTAAAATTTAGTTATAGATTTAAAATATCATCGGCATCCTGAAGGCTTCTTTTTCTTCTTTTTCTTTTTTGGGCGGTTGGTGAGGGGGATTTGTCGCTTCGACCTTCTTATGTTCACCTGTCTTTCATTGTGAATGATGATGACGCTGTCAGCTAGTACTAATACCACAGGGAAGATGATCATATGATAGTCATTGGGAAGGGCATGTCACATGCATGTAAAGGAAGATCGTTCTTTAGCTGTAAGACACTCGGCGAGCATTGGCAGCTAGTGTATGTACAGAGACAAATTAACCATATTCGTTTGTAGGATTAAATGCAAAGACCGGACCTCGGTCTTGGTTTAGCTCGCGCTTTTACGGAGTATAGTGCAAGCATTTAAGAGAGGTGTGGGGGGGACCGGGCGTGCTTTGGGCAGTCTTATGAATGGAAACGCACAGCAAAAGGCACCGGAAGTCTGAGCACCGCAATGTACTATCTCTAATACTTAGTTAATATAGGGTAAGGTTAACTATTTCGTTAGATGTAGGGAACATCTGATGTTCGATAATTTTAATATATACTTCACTAATTCCGGCTGATGGGAGGGGAAAGGGAAGTGCATCTGAGACTAAATAAGCCGAGGCACATAATTCGGCAAACGTCATGCAAACCATTATCTCCATTCAAGAAGCCGATTCATTCTCGCGCCCCAACGACTAATCTCCCCCAATTCTGTCTACATATTCAATCCTTATCACATCTTCAGTCAATATATCGCTCCTTTAATATCCTAATTCTGCTAGTAAGACGAGCTGGCGGTCACATTCACTCCTTCTATATTTCAAAGTAGGGTTGTTTGGTATTTAACCACACCCCCTACTGAATTGGATCAACACGTATACTTCCAATTCCACCTTCCAACTTTTTGGATACCTCACTCTTGACACACTACCCTGCTAGCACGCGCAAGTTCTTCCTGTACCATGTCTCAATCAAAGATTGAGGACCATAAGAAGGCGGTTGCAGTGGCTGCAACGCAGCAAAGTGATAATATAGCGCATGCATTAGCTGGTGCTGGTGGTGGAATCCTCTCTATGGTCTTGACGTGCGTACTTCAATCCTGCTTTAGGTTTGAGAGTAAAGCGGCTAACATCCACTCATCTATAGCTACCCCTTGATCACACTTTCAACAAGGGCGCAAGTTGAATCTAAACGTGCTCATTCAACGACCGCCGATGCCATCCGCCGTATCGTTCAACGGGAAGGAGTTAGTGGACTTTATTCAGGTCTTGAGTCAGCGCTTTTTGGCATCAGCGTAACCAACTTCGTCTATTATTACTGGTATGAATGGACCCGCTCGGCCTTTGAGAAGGCTGCTACAAAGGCTGGTCGAGCCTCAACGAAGCTTACGACCGCCGAATCTATGATTGCTGGGGCCATCGCCGGAAGTGCAACTGTGTTGATCACTAACCCCATCTGGGTTGTGAATACTCGGATGACAGCGCGAAAATCCGAGTCAGACGAACCGGTATTGCCGGGCGCTGCCAAAAAGACAAAGGCTTCGACGATCAGCACTCTCCTGGACCTGCTCCGGCAGGAGGGACCTAAGGCCCTTTTTGCCGGCGTCCTGCCGGCTCTCGTCTTGGTGATTAACCCCATCCTACAGTACACCATCTTTGAGCAGTTGAAGAACGTAGTGGAACGTCGTAGGCGTATGACGCCGAAAGATGCGTTTTACCTTGGCGCTCTGGGCAAGATCTTGGCCACGTCCATCACATACCCTTATATAACTGTCAAAAGTCGGATGCACGTTGCTAGCAAGGACGGCCCGAAGGAAACTTTGAACGGCAGCTTGAAGAGAATCATCAAGGAGGAGGGGTACGTGGGACTGTATAAAGGCAAGTTGCGGCCTAATTGAGAAAATGCTATAGGGCTCAAGCTAATATTCATACAGGTATTGGCCCAAAGGTGACACAGAGTGCTATTACTGCAGCATTCTTGTTCGCATTCAAGGATGTTTTGTATGATACAATGGTAGCTATTCGAAAGAGGAACCGGGTGTCCAAGTAGAGTATATGTTAGCTAGCTGCGAGCAAGCTATCAAGAGGGTGTCTTGGAGCCGGAGAAGAATGTTCCCAGACTCTTCAGTGTTTGCTCTTTCACTTTAGAGTATGGTATGTTATTATTATCAGGTACTCGGATAGGCTACGGCCCACTAGTACTGACTCATCGAATGTATCGATTTGATAGAGTGCAACAGGGAGTTATGTTCGACTCATTTTGTGTATGTGAAAGATCGGTTTTCTTTTATAAATACAAAAAAGTGGAACTAGTAGTTAGGTACTTAGTAAGAAATGTATAACCTGGGCTGGGACTACCACCGCCTTCTGCTTTCGGGTAAAGAGCATTTCATGAACCTGCGCGTTCACGCGTTGTTGCCAAGCCTTGGGACCATGACTGACTGATGGAGGATATCTTCAAAATTTACCCAGCCTTGAGGGAAGTATTCCAGCCTTGCTTTCTTTGGAATAAGCCGCTCTGTTACGTCTTGATGTCCGTTACATGTGTCGACTTCTTAAGTTTCAGAATCCTAATCTACTAGTAATCATTGGCCACGCGCAACTTCTCATCTTCATTCTCCATCTTCTTGTCACTACATATCCTTAACTTTACCTTTGTTTTGTTCAGCTCACTGAAGGTTTGAATTGCATGACCGCCTTAGGTAATGACATGGACATTTATCTGTCATTATTTTAGATGTGCAAGATCAAATGTTCATCTAACATTACATTCTATACACGGTCTGGACTACTCTAGAGGTTCGCTGCTTGCCTTCTTTGGGTGCGATTATTATTCAGTCGGTTTTCACTGTGGCTTTCGCTGATGAAGCTCCAGGCTATCTACGGAGATTTTAATCCATACGGCGCTTCTACATACACTTCCTGTTGAAGTATACGTAAGTGCTTCATCGATAATACTGTGGTCTAGATACGCTAATGTTGAGATATAGGTAGGTAGTTCCTACGCATCTTAAATACCTATTCTTGGCGATTTAGCGCCTTCGACTCAAGAACACCACCCAGATGACGTCTCAGGCACCCGAACATGTGAGAAGTCGAGATTTCAGGTCTCAGGCCAGTCTTCGTCCAACTTCTGTTCAGATCGGATCTGACGACCCATCAATAATAGAGGAAGCTCAAAATTTACTTTCACAGTTTATGAGGCACTCGTCTCATGAAACCCAAGGTTCCCAGAGTGGAAACAGGGCCACTTCGCAGAAGGTTTCCAACTCAAGAATTGAACACAGTTCTGGGTCGGTTGATGACCCTCAAGTAGTATACGTTATCTCAGATGACTCTGCACTTGAGTCCGCGCCAGAAAATTATACAGTCCCGTCAGCACGACGACGGCACTCGGTGCGTCACCCTCGCCTGAGAAGCTCACGGACAACCCCTGGGTTAGGGAGCTTTTCCAAAAGTCCAGGGAACGATAGCGAAACAGACTCCGTGTTACCTCCAGCAAGAGAGAAATACACAAATAATTCCAATCTTGACCGGCAGACAACGTACTCACCAAACTTTTTAAGCGCCAGGAAATCCCCTGTCAAAAACAATGATAAGGCACCAAGAACTAGGCGTTCCGCACGATCAAGAACCGGCCCTATAAACTACTACAAGAAACTCAATCTGTCTAGTTTTGAGTCTGAAGAGGAACATTCCGGTAATGAAGATGATGATTCATTGGCCAATTCAGACCAGCCACAACAACGTCACGACTGTTCCCGTTCGTGTGATCTCTCAACGCCTCCTTGCTACCGAGATAGCCAGCTCATCGATCACATGCAATACTCTGTTATATACCACTCATCTAGGGTACAAATACTCAAGTCACCCTTCAAAACACTAGACGACTTCAAGGGTGTCGCACATGCACGTTATCGCCCAGAACGTAATCCAGCCGACTATGCTAAGGGACTAAGGGAAGAGGACTTGGCGTCAGACAGCATCCTTCATTTTGATTTTGATCTAAAGGAAATGACCGCAGTGCTAAATTTGCTGTCATTTAGTGAATGCCAATGGCGTTCTGCTCCAGACATTGCTCTTACCGATCAACTTATACAAGTCGCATCCACCTACAATATACACCCTAAATTCTTCAAGAAGATTTCGTCTATTTTGAAATTGTCTAGGTTACTCTCAACTGAAGACGTGAGCGACGGCAATGCTTTGCTCTTAGAAATGTTGGCATCAACTCCATGCACAAAGGAGCTACGACGTGCTAGGAGAATCGCAATGCGACTCCTGGGGTCACAAGAGAAACAAAGGACTGAAGGCTCTTCCACCCCAGGCAATCAACGCGGCCATAAAGTCGAGGAACTACGTAGACTGTCGGGCTATTTATCATTTGCATCTGCATTAGGTCGGCGCCAGTGCGCAGATATAGAAGCATTCATTGTCGACGCCAAGAAAGGCCACCTCCCAACTGTCCCATCTGTCATCAAGGCTGTTAAATTGGAGGATGGCAGCTTAGCAACACGCAAAAATTCTCAAGCATCTGGCAATCTAAACAAGCTCTTGCAGGACCGTGAGCTAGGTTGCGCTGTGAGCCGGCAGATCAGTTCTCGTGTTTTGAGCAACCTCGGGCTTTCGAGGACTTGGAAAGGTGCCTCGAATGATGTTATAGTTCTAGCATGGTCTCCTGATGGAACTAAGTTTGCAGCAGGTGCTACAGCTCAATGCGACGAACATAACATGGAATACAACCGAGGGAACAATCTGATTCTCGGAGATTTGATCACTGATAGTCTGGAGGAATTGCCAGACCATTGGAGCCCTCGTCCGCCGGGGTTTTCAAGGGGAACTATGAATGATCATCGTTTGTTTATGAGTGTAACAGCGTGCGAATGGTTCGATGATACCCTCTATACTGCTAGTTATGACAAGACCGTCAAACTTTGGAGATTCCCTAATCACAGAGCATCGTGCTACAAGACACTTGACCACGACTCTAAAGTCCAAGTTATGGCTCGGTCTAACCTTGCAAAGAATGTGCTAGCGACAGGCACCCAGTCTGTCGGTTTCTGGCAACTAGATGAATCAACGTACAATGTCCTGGACTTGCCTCGGCAGCGTTCTAAAAGAGAAATTGACCTCATACCAACGTCTCTTGCTTGGGGTACCATCCCAATTACGAGAGAGATACTAATTGCTGGAATGTCTGAAAAGGGCGATGGTGTGACCCATAATGGTCTTCTTGCAGCTTGGCATATAGCCGAAGCATCATCCACTCCAATACAGTTAAGCCCAAATTCACAAAATATCTTTGATGTGAAGTGGCACCCTTGTCTTCCGTTATTTGCTACGGCAAGCTCCGCAAAAGGAGGTGGTACGACTCTCTTGAGTTCTAAAAGCACTAGGTCTGTGGTCCGTCTATACTCGCCACTCATCTCCAAAATGCGTACCATGGAACTTGAGTGCCCTGCTTTGGACATAAATGATGTGACTTTCTGCCCAGGCAATTCGAACTATGTGACTGCCAGCTGTACTGATGGGATCACCTATGTGTGGGACACGCGTAACCCGGACACTATACTGCACAAGCTTCATCATGGCGAGCCGCTCAATCAGATAGATGAAACCCTTCCTAGAGAACAAGCAGATGTTGGGGTAAGATTGGCATTGTGGGGGAACTCGGTAACCCAATTCTATACTGGGGCATCAGATGGTATCTTGAAAACCTGGAATGTATTGAGGTCTCCTGATGATGCTCTTGTTCAGGATGTTGCTTCTTTTGGAGAGGAGATCATGTCCGGGGCTTTCTCGCCGGATAGATCTAATCTGTTGATCGGCGATGCTGCCGGGGGTCTTCATCTATTATCCCCCAACACCTTTGCCGATGAGACCCTGCCTTTTAAATTCAAACGCGCTTCTGAAGACCCATTCTTTGAGAATGATCCCGACTCTGGGTCAGGCATCATGGCTGCTCGTAAGGCCATCTTAGATGGTCATCTTTCGCGCCATCCAATTTATGGTGTAGGCCAAGGCCCTCGTTACAATGGGCCTTACGCGGCATGGGCCCGTCCAGATAATACCCCTAGGCATCAACTCGGACAGACAAAGTTGAAGGAGGAATGGCAGTTAAGGCAGCTTGACGGTGTTCCTCCTGCTCTTCGACCTGGTTTAAATGATCAACTGCGGAGAGAAGTTGAATGCCAGAGACAGCTTGCTCAGATTCGCAACGGACAGCACGTGAATAAAAGGAAGAGACTGGAACCTGGCCATTATACGAAAAGTAGGGGCGCTCTTGACGACTTGTGCAGTGATGATGGTTTCTGGGCAGCGCCGGTCAAGCCCAAGCGACTAGCTGCAGAACCAAAACATGCCATCATTGAAAATGCAAACATCGAGATCATAGATCTTACGGGTGATAGTGATACGGAGTATGCGAAGCCGCCAAAGGATAGCTTGGCCTTTCCCACTACTCAAGGTGCAGAGAGCTACTCTGGAGTTGGGCACCCACTTGAGGGATTTGAAGGAATATTGGAGGATGATCACTGGTGGCCGTCTAGTGACCAAATAGACCCAAACTTCCATGATGCTGATGTGTAGTTTTGTAAGAGTTGGGTGATAGAGTTTGCTACTGGTCTTGCAATAAGGCACAGTTGGGATGTGTAGATATCAATAACTTGTATATAGAATTTGCAGCCAATGTGGTAAATTTCTCAAACGAGGATTAATTGAGCACTATCACATAATTCTGCACTCGCACATCTCGCGGTGAAAACCAGGGCTATGCTGTTATGAGATGATAAAATACCGTAGTTAGATTAGATTCAGGTGAGTTGGACTGAATGCCGTCATCCAGTGACCAAAACATGACGCCATTCGAAAGCAGCTCAGTCAAGAATGTAAGACACCTAATCTAGGGGTTAGGTGACAGCAAGGATTGCCTAAAGACTAGCATTACTCGCGAGAATGTCTCACAAGCCCTAGAACCTGTCAAGTAGCGCACACTCAAGGGCTTCAACCTACTACTCAGGTGTCTTACATAAACCTATGTGTTTTTTATCTATATTAGCGAATGTTTTCTATCCAGTGCTTTTAAGGGCTTTGATTTTATTACACTATCTAAATTACTAAGTTTATCTACATCGATTGTCCTATAGGACCTAGACTATCTAGATTTCCTAAACTAATTATCTACTTAGATTGCTTACCTAGATTACCTATCTAAATCAAGTTTCTAACTTAAATAGGCTGTGTAGGCAGTGCAATGTGTTTATAAGCTCTAGAAATCTACTTAAGGTATTGCAGCGCAAGAAAGCGGTAAGTAACATCACATAACAAAGCTAATTCTCGCCCAATTTAACTCATAACCGCGGACCAATCAGAACCAAGATCCATTTGCGCAGCCTCCTATATTGCTTGCTAGTACGCTTCGCTCCGCTGCGCAATAATTATTAGTGTATAATTTTAATGATGACCTTGCATGAACATTGTTTAATGGATATCTTGGATGTGATTTATTATAATATCTTGATTAATAATAATACCTCAAGATGGCTCCTTTTCCTGATGCTAATGATCTCCATACGGAGTTGACTATTTCTATAAGCAACCTACTTACCCACACATCTATATATAAAGCAGCCCCGCTACAATGCGAGGGATTAGGCGCGAGTGGCAACACCACGAGCAGAACCAAGTACTCAAGACACAAAGCTTGTGCCGGATTAATTCAAAGAGCAATTAGTTTATGAACGCGGCCACCAATATAATCACGTGGCCGAGCACCGCCACTGGGGCATTACGTACAGTATAAGTTATCTACATAATGAGTGAATCAAAGTAAAAAGGCATCTACACGACAACCTCGATCTGAAGTTGAGAGCTGCTCGCTAGATATCAAGCAGCCCACCTCCCAGAGAATTGAGGCAAACGCAAGCAGATTTCCCTACTGGTCCCCCAAACTATTATATATTAATGTCGTTCGCCCCGCCTCCAGGACCCCCGCCTCCGGCTGTCCCGGAGGGGTGGAAGGCTCAGTTCGATGATCGGTATAAGCAATGGTAAGTGCTTCCGTCGCCCGGCCCTGCGGTTAAATTACCTGTTGACACTAACCCCATTAAAAGGTTCTTTGTAAATCTATTAACTGGCAAGTCCCAATGGGAATCCCCTCAAGGACCAGCACAAGAGGAGCTGCATGCACCGCCCAGCGAAGCACCTCCCTCATATGAAGAGTCCGGGCCTGCAAATCCGTCCATAGTGCATGGTGCAAATGAGAAGAAAAGCTTGGGCTCGAATAATCCTTATAACCAGGTAGGCGCCAGAAGCAGTTCTTTGGACAGCGATGCCCGGCTAGCTGCCCAGTTACAGGCGGAGGAAGATGCCCGCGCTCGTGGCCGTAGAAGCCCGAGACAGCAAGCACAGCCTGGGGCCGCTGCAGATTACTATACAGAAGCCTCGCGACCGCAGTCAGTTGGATACCAGTCATCTTCAACCCCCCCGCAACATACAGCCGGTCCAGAGCAGAAGAGGAGCAAAGGTTTTCTGAGCAAGTTGATGGGGAAAGCATCAAGTGGCAGTGGTGGCAATTATGGAAGGCCATCTTCGCAGCCGTCACAGTCGTACGGGTACCCCCCAGGCGGATACGGTGGCTATCCTCAACAACCCACAGGGTATGGTTATCCTTCCTATCCTGCCCATCCTGGTTATTATCCCGCAGCGGCACAACCAGCGCGACGGCATGGTGGCGGTATGGGAACTGCGGGCGCTGCAGCTTTAGGTGTAGGTGGTGGTTTGATCGGGGGTGCTTTGTTGGCAGAAGCTTTGGATGATCATCATGACTATGATGATTACGGCTCAGGCGGTTATGATGACTTTGACGGTGGCGACTTTGGCGATTTTTAAATGTTACCATGTTTCTGCATGATAGCCCCTGTTGGACTATCTGTCAGCGGGTTCTTTGTTTCTACCTCTTTCCCCGCCCCCCGCTCGGGCATCCTGTATTATTCCTCCCTCTGTTGACGAGGCCATGCAGCGGGATGTACTATTATGGTGAACGACTAGCTGATTGGTCGCGATGATGGCTGCATGCGTCGTTTATTATGCCTTCTGGGACTTATGGCAGGGATTCACAATTGCTTCTAGACTTGTTTATTATGTTTTGATTGGCTCCAAGTAGGATATGATTAATGCCAGAGATTGATCCGGATTTCTATTTATTGCTCAAACGAGAACTTTCGCTTATCCTCGTCTTCGTACGTTTCCACCTTCTCTACCAGTCGCTACCCCCTGGAGGGCAGCAGGCTCTGGGCCAGCTGGCCTTGGATGGGCGCCAGCCATCCATCCTGCGAAATCAAAGTTGCCCGGCGCACTGCCACCGGTCATAGCACTCCGAGTTGCACCGGAGATAGGAGACGCCCGAGAGTGCTTTTCGAACTCGGCACGCATTTCGGGATCCACTAGAGAGACATGAGCAAGGGCAAGCATGCGCTATAAACACATCTATGATTGTGTCACACAGGGGAGTAGTTATGATATGAAACTTACTATTCTCCATCAACTTCGGCATTCCGAAAGTAAAGCCTAAAGCTACTAGGGCGAGCAAAATCATAGGGTTCTTGAACAAAGCAAGAGGGGAGACTAAAAAGACAGATCCATAAGCGTCTTGAAAATGACAAGCGTACTTCATACAACAAGCATCTCCTTCCCAAAAATACTCACATTTAGGTCTCTCCTCGTAGAAGCCTCTCCTAGCTAGAACCTTAGCTTCTACTGCCACTTCGGACAACTTGGCGGCATCCACAGAAGCAGCATCGAGGACATATCTCTCCGCGCCACGGTTCTCCCATGGGTTCCCACGAAACGTCTCCCAAACGCCCAGCACCGTGCCGTCTGCAGCGACATCAACCCGGTAGGGCGTGAACACGTATTCTGCGGATCGGACATCAAGTAGGTAAGACTCGGGCTTCCCCGTGGAGTCCAGGTCCTGGAAGATGAAGGTTGCGGAGCGCGTCAGCGGGGCGGTCAATGAATGAGGAGAGACATGGCCATTCTTGGATCGCGTTGACGGTGGGATGGACGATAGAGTTGCGTGCGTATCGGAGGGGAGAGCATTGGGGTTGGGAAGAAGATTTGAAGGAGGAATAACGATCGTCAAGGCGGACGTCGCCACGACGGCGGAGAGGAGGAAAAGAAGGGCAGAGGTAGAGGAGTGGAAGTGAAGCATGGTTCTCAGAAAAATGATTGCGACTGTTGATTTAAAAATTTGACTGCTCGGTGCAATTCGTCCGTATGCATCTAGGAAGATGGCAAAGACGAGTGTTGCCAAGCTCCCGACTAAACTAGTCCGCCATGGTCCGAGATCACATGGTTTCTTACTCTTCTACCCACGGAGAGACATTTTTTGGCAATCCCAAGTCTAGTCATCACTATGTCACAAGTTGTATATTTCACAGGAAGAACAGTTCAATCGGGTTGTATGTACAACGCTCAGAGTTAGTTGCCCGTGTCAACTGCTCCAATACATATAATGCTGATGATATAATATCTAGAGAAACAAAATACAATGAAAGTACAGGTCTATAACTTGGCTTTGGGAGCTGACTCTTCCGCCGTAGCTTGGGCATAGAGCTCATCCAAAAGCTGACGATACTGCTTCACCACGGGGGGGCGCTTCAGCTTTAGTCTACACCCGGAACAATTAGTACAGTGCAGCATAAATGTTTTATGATGGTCAAGAGCACTCACGTTGGTGTCAGCAGGTTGTTCTCAACCGTGAACGGATCAAGCATCAGAGAGCAGTTTTTGACCCTCTCGTAGCCTGCCAGCTTGTGCTTCTTCGCAACTCTCTCGAGGTCCTTCAGCACTGCCTTCCGAATTTTATCGTCATTCAATACAGACCTAATGCCTTCAACATCGGTCTCACTGATGGACCGGCCAAGCACTTTGCTAGCGAATGCAGCGAATGCATCAGGCTGGACCCCGAAAATACCAACGAGGAATGTCTGAACGCTATCACCATGGATATAGCCCTGTGCAAAGTACCCCAGCTCGGAAAGATAAACGCCCTCTAACCGTTCTGGTGAGATGTACTCTCCCTGGGCCAGCTTCAGGACGTTTTTCCGACGGTCAATGATAATGATGCGGCCCATTTCATCTATCGTACAGACATCGCCTGTCCGGAACCAACCATCTTCAGTGATGGCCTTGCTAGTCTCTTCGGGATTCTTGAAGTACTCCTTGAAAACGTTTGTGCCGCGCAGAAGCAATTCACCACGGGGGTAGGGTTTGTCCTCGACAGAGTAATCCATGTCAGGAAGAGACGCCAGGCATGCTTCCGTGCAGGGTGCCAGGCGTCCACAGTTGCCAGCGGTCAAATCTTTGGAAGACTGGGCGCACGCCATGGCGTACGTTTCAGTCAAACCGTAGCCCTGAACGAGATCAGCACCGGTAGCAACTCTGAGAAAGTTATGGAGAGAAGGATCAAGGGGCGCAGAGCCGGAGACCATCATTCTCGTACGTTCCAAGCCTAGGGCAGCGGCGACCTTCTTAGACCATATCCGGTCATATAAAGCATGCTTAACAGTAGCTTTAGAGGGATCGGGGTTCTTCAGATTGGCTGTCTTGGTCGAAACAACATGTCTCGACAACGCGCCCTTGAATCCCGGTTGGTCCACAGTTGAGGCACGAATAGCGTTCCCAAACCGACTGTAAAGACGGGGAACCGACATAAACCCGGTGGGCTTCAACAGCTTAAGGTCATCGACTAACTCGATGATATTTCCATGGAAGTAGCCAATCCGGGCACCCGCCCAGAAAGCTGCATGTTCTGACAAACGTGCATAGATGTGAGCTAGCGGAAGATATGATGCTAATGTATCACCAGCAGCCTGCTGGGTAGTAACAAGGGCCCCCGCAGTGGCTGCAACGGCGTTCTCATGCGTCAGCACAACACCCTTCGGAGGGCCCGTAGTACCGGAGGTATAGTTAATGGTGACGATATCAGAAGGCCGGGGAGCGTTGTAAGGGCGATTCGAAGCGGCACCCAGTTCCTCAACCTGATCTATCGTATAAATCGAGACGTCCTGTCCGGCAGCCACAGACTCCAAAAGGGCTCGCTTTGAGTGTCCAACTTGTTCGCCACCGTCAAGAGGATCCAAGCTGATGATAATTTTCAGATTGGGTAGGAGGGGCTTCAGCTTGAGCAAAGTTGGGATATGCGGCAATGAGGTAACGACGCAGTGCAGCTCTGCGTGGTTTATGATATATTCGGTTGCGTCTGAGGCAAGAACATCATAAATTGATACGGAATACAGACCTTGAGACATACATGCCAGATCTGTCACGCCAAGTTAGCGCCACCTAAGAGTAGGGAGTAGAAAGCAATCGCATGCCTGTGATCTGCCACTCGGGGCGATTTTGACACCACAGGCCGATACCGTATTGGCCAGAACGATGGCAATTGTGTTTGTGGTGCAATTCTACTAATCCGGCACCGAAGTCAGCCCGCCGCTTTTGAACTGCCTGGTAATCTAGCCACTGGTAAGGGCCGAAGGTCTTGGTTGACGGATTGTACGGGCGCCATCCCAGGCAATGATTTTTCGGTACTCGGTTTGCAGTCGATTCGAAGAGGTCGTGCGCAGTGAGAACCTAACAGAAATATATGTCAATACTAAGCAGCACAAAGTGCTGAAACCTACACTTACCTGTGGATCCAATGTCCTCACAAGTTCCTTTTGCGCAGAATAGGCACGGTAGATCCTACTCCGTCCTGGCTCCTCAGTTCCAGGAAGAGCCACCGAATACGGTGAGCCCTTCGGAGGCTCTTGCCTCAACTCGTCCGCACGAGCGAGGTGGACGGGCTGTTGGCTAAAGAACATTGCAACAGTTGCGACCTATATTGACAAGTAACCTGGAAAAGTCAGCTGTGTATACAATCTACTACATGAATTTAAAGTTATGTATGTTATCTCAACGTCGAGGGTGAAATCTAATCATACCAATATTCAAGCCCAGGAAGCGCTGGCAGATACTGATTAGCTGCGAGAAAGGAGTTTCTGGTTTCCGTAAGTGGAATTTGCAAGCCAGTGCCCTTTCGAACCAAGGTGAATGTCAGCGAGAAAGCCCAAATAAAACAGTTAAGAGAAGGTACAACCCGGCTAAGAGGCGTTTAAAGAAAGAGATAAAGAGTAGTAGAAGGGAGGAAAGGAAGTGTGTTAAGGAGAAGTATGAACCTGGCAGGCAGTCGGAGAGGGGGGGAAGTCCCCAAGCAATGAGCGCTGAGTGGCTGAGCCATACCCACGATGTGTCTTTGCCTCCACGCGACGTGAAACGAACCTCGGCATTTACCCAGTCCCCATTGAGTCCGGGGAGGGAAGGATTAGTAGGTACTGTGTAATAAGGCCGATAAGGTGGGCGGTGTGGGTGTTCCTCAACCCATTTGGGAATCCAGAGCGATTAATCATCGGCGCTGCGGGCTACTATACTATTCTGTGTTTGACCGTTCTGCTGAAAGTGCCGAGGCCATTGGATCCGGAGAAGACTGACCAGAGCGGTATAGTCTATACTTCCTAATTGGAGTCCACCTTATTATTTCTCGGGCTTCTCCGTTGTATCGGGAGTATCTACGGAGTACTGTGGTATACATTCAAAAAAACCTTTTCTTTCTATCTTAATAATCCCTTTTTCTCTGTCTCTCTCTTAATGGAGTGTCTTCCGGGGCCCCATGATACAGGCGATGAATAACCCTCTCCGAAAGCGGATCGACCCCATAAATTACTTACATTAACATATGCATTGTCAGATTGACAGATTGTGGTTTTGGACTAGGTATCGACGTAGGCACGGAGTATAAGTATGTAGTACCTACATACATACAAATTAAGTTGCATAAAGATCATCCACCCCGTAATCGTGATGCCTTACCTTCTCTCTCACATGCTTGTGATTTAACCGAGTAATACCACTTCGTGTCCCTACCGAAGTTGATGGGTTTCTTATTATTAGTTTTAATTTTCATTTTTCTTTAATTTAATCATCCCATAAGAAGCTCACCTTTCGAATAAACTATAAAAGCAGGGCGGAAAAAAAAAAAAAAAAAAAAGGAAAAAGAAAAAGATGTGACCTGACGTGGATATGTCTGTATGGATGTACGTGACTTGATCGGCCTTCGCATGTGGTGAGTTTCATGTGAAGTTCCCCCGGGCCACATGAACTTTACATTCTCTTGATGGCCTCTTACCTAGGTACGAAGTAATAGGGTGCTCGTTTACCCATCTATCGCGAGGTAACCAATGAAAGTATCTTTGTGTGAAATGTTGTAAATCAGTTCGTTCTTCAATTCGAGATCAGAGGATACGAATAGTTATATATCACAGCCATTCAACCCAAACTCCATGCCATGCAAACAATTAGGGAAAAATCAAATACTGTACAAAACGGAGGGAAACGAACCACCCTGAAGAACCCTTGTATAAATGACTCCCTCATCTATTGTCCCACCATGCAAGTCCGGTTCCCTTGAGTCAACAGCGAGCAGTCTACTCAGAGATGTATATAATATGTATATACTCGTTATGTATGTGCAAAAGAAAACAAAAAATTATAAAAATTATAAAAGAAAGGCCACGGGTGGCCTGAAAGTGCCGGCGATACTCTCGTGGGTAATGTAAACGTCTGATTTAGCCTCGAAACGAACGAAATACCCTTTGATACCATTTCGTAGTGGTGGTCTCCCATGACTCGTTTTCAAGAGAAACCCGACCGGTGTCGATATCGGCCTCGAGTGGGGGAACAAACGAAGTCCGATAGAAGATCTTATGTCCCACATAGAGTACCACAAAGAGGATCAAGCTGATATAGGCGATAAAGAAATCCGTTACACTGAATCTTGGGATCCAAGCAGTGAACCCTTGAGTCAAAATGATCAACATGTTGAAGAAAAGCCCATACCAGGAATACCAGGGCTGCCACATTGCTTTAAAGGGAAGAAGGTCACGGGACATATTGCGAGCCTTCAGAGCTCGCATGAATGCAAGATGGCACGCATTCAAAGAACACCAAGTGATGAAGCCTGCCACCCCTGCAATGTTGAGAAGCCAGTTGAACACCGTACTACCAGCATTAGACACATTCATAAAACCGAGCAAGCCAAACGCCGCAGTGAAAATGACACCGTAATAGGGCACACCCCTTTTGGACGTTTTCTTGAACCAGCGCGGGGCAAGCCCTTCTTGAGCCAGGCCGATTAAGATACGGCTACCACTGTAGACATTGGAGTTGGCGGCGGAAAGCACAACAGTTAACAGGACGGCATTGATGATATGAGGCAGGACCTTGACGCCCGCAAGTCTGGCCGCAATGACAAACGGTGAAGAGTTTGCATCGTTTCCGTCCTTAACGAGGTCTTCATTGGTGTAAGGCACCAGCAGGCCGATGAAGAAGATAGTCAATACGAAGAAGAATAGAATGCGGTAAAAAGTCTTGCGGATCGCAGAAGGAATAGTCTTGCGGGGGTTTTCAGTTTCACCTGCTGCAATACCAACCAATTCTGTTCCCTGGTATGAGAAACCCGCCTGAATAAGCACAGCCCAAAAGCCCACGAACTTGGCTGTTGAATCGGGAGAAACATCGGCATAGGCTGCAAATGGACCTGGATTAGTCCAATAGGTAAAACCCAGGTATCCCTTATCACCGGCCCCCGCATCAATACAAATTGCAAAGATCATAAATCCAACAACTGTGATCACCTTGATACTAGCGAACCAGAACTCCAGCTCACCGTAAAAGCTGACAGGTAGGAAGTTGAAAAGAGTGATAACCACCCAGAACACTGCGATGAAAATGGCGATGTTGATATCCTTGTCCCAAAACTGTATGATCAATCCGGTCGCAGTTAACTCTAGTGCAAAGGTACTAGCCCAGGAAAACCAATAGATCCAACCCATAGCGAAACCAAGACTGGGGTCGATCAATCGAGCTGCGTAGGACGTAAACGCTCCTTGAATTGGCAGATAGCTTGCTATTTCACCCAGGGCCTGCATGACAGAGTACACGATGGTGCCGACAAAAAGATATGCAATCAGAGCGCCTACCGGCCCTGCTGTACCGATGGCGGTGCCACTACTGATGAAAAGACCTGTACCAATTGTACCACCTAATTCTGGTCAGCAATATTTTTTTTTTTTGGTCTTCCGTGGGCGAATAAGTTTCAATGGATGGCGGCAGGCATATGAGGCGAGGGGGAGGGAAAGGAAAGAATGAAAAGATATCCGTACCAATGGCAATCATTTGTAGATGTCGGCTTTTGAGCTGGCGCTTTAAATCCGGTACTGGGTTCGATTCGCGAGTAGCGCCATGCTTCTCGCAGTCCACGTCCTTCAGATCGGACGATGGAGTGGTAGCATTGACCTGAAAGGCCTCATCGTTGGCCATTGCTTCTTTTCCCTCGGATTTTGGCGTGACGTTGAACCCGTCCTCAAAGGCCATGTTTGGACCTTGACAGTCCAATAGCTGAGGGTGAGGCGAGGTCGAAGAGCAAGTCGTCGTGAGGTGCAGAAAGTCGAAAGGTTCTAGGTAAGGAAAAGGTTGGAAGGACTGGCTCCACCGGGAAATCTTTTGAGTCACCACTGCACCTCAGCGGGCAGAGCCTTTTTACTATGTATTCTCTGTGGGGCAAACTAGTGCTCAACCCAAAGGAACGGGGTACAGTGGTTGTCGTAGGCGTCAAGCATAGAACTACTCCTTTGGGAGGTTGCTGGAGATAACGGGAACGGCGAATGACAGCGATGGGAAACAAGCGATTATGTGTGCACGACCAGAAAACGTTATGTAAAAAGAATGATTAAAACTGAGGGGAGAGAATGGAGACCTCAGTGCAACGGATGCAACGCTGGTGAGATAGGCTAAGGAGAGGCAGATAGATAACCCTAATGGCTAATAATAATGGTAATAATAATGGTAACTTCTAATCAAAAAGAAGAAAAGAACACTTGCAGGGAAGGAGAAAGATTTTCAATCCATTGGAAGAACTCGATACCTATTTTTAATCGAACTGCTGTGTGCCACTCAACCGCTGAAAACTTTTCCATCCGCGGATGGAGCCTCCGCACGAAACGTTGGCGGCGGCGGCGAAATATAAATTCTTCCTGGCCCGCTACATCTTGAAGTGGGCCGTTGATAGGAAATTTTGGGCGGAGGAAAAATTTTTCTCTCGTAAGTCCGTGACGATAGTGATTGAAATTCTGGGTCGTGCGGTGGCGGGAAAGTAGAAATCGGCACCAATTCGCCGTGTTTTCTTTACTCATGCTCATGCTAACAAATGCTTAATTTTTTAGTAGTAAAGGAGTAGGTCCTGTAGCTGTAAGTATATCTACTAGTATCCTTTTTATCTTCGTCGGGTACAAAATTCCGTGGCTGGGCACCGTGGGTGGCCAGGCCTTTTAAATGTTCCCATCCCTTCAGCTGCGGTCGGGCACTGAATTCCCGAGGAAAAAGAACCCTAAGTGCTCCGTACTAAATAGCTTCATCCTCGAAGCGGATACCTACCTTAAGTAGACCCCGGTACTAAGCAAATCCCCCCTATTCAGGCATTGATCCGATATCCTGTATCTATGCATGTTCTTCAGTGGTCTCCATCCTTTATACGTACAGTGGAGGTCACATACTTTTGACCCCGCACTTTACATGCAAACACGATCTCCTCCATATGAGCCTACGACTAGTACTCAAGTCCAGCAAATTGTCGTACTACATTGTTGGGTAGCTCTCGTGAGTGTTCTATCTCCTTTCCCTGATCCCGACATAACCAACTCCAGCTATAAATTTGTGGAATGAAGATAAATACATTGTCCACACATAGACACATATATAGGCATTAGTAAGTCTTAAGAGAACTTCACATCCAATTATATACAATGGTAAACAAAGGGGGTATCCACTCAAAATCAGCGTGAACTCAGGACTCAAAAGCGAGTCATAAGGACTAAACTGGTCAAGTTGCAAGACATAATAGGATAGACTATCGCAAAGTGACTGGAGCCTCTTCTTCATGCTCGTATAAGTTATCGGGCTCCCGTTGGCTTTCTTCATTTTTCGGCACTCCTTTCATTGAGGACATTATCATTGAAATCGAATCAACTGGAGTCAGCGCAGATATCGTAACACATATAATGCAGCACCTAATGTCGAGCTTCATAACATAATATCATCCAGAAACTGGTCCTAATCACTGAGAGGCAGCTCAGGGCACTACCGCTACTATTCCGCTTAGACGCCAACGTGAGCAGTAGTTTGAGGGGCAGGCTTCGTACTAGTGCTTGACCTGGTACGCAAAGCACCGAGAACAGCCACTACTGTCGTGGCCGTAAACAAAGCCCTGTATGCCTTATATCAGCAGCTAATACTACGGCAACTTTATAATATGGCAAGTCACTCTCAACCAGGGAGGACATACCACTCGAATGCTCCAAATACCGTGGCTGCCTGGGCGCAGTTGCAGGCGCTCCAGTGACAGAACCTAGGAGCAGGAAGCAGAACACCCAAGGCAATAAAGCCTGCAAACCAGAAAATCAAGGTGATCGCTTCTACGGCTGGTATAACGAAGCGATGTGCGATTTGGGGGAAGTGCACAGGCGCAAGGGCGAGGTACGGAGTTGCGAAGAAAGCCGTCCAGATGCTATTGAAAAGCATGAAGTTGACGGTGTCATTATTGTACACGCTGACAACTTTTCTTGGAGTCAGCGTCCTTCCAGCTTGCCATGTCAGCGATAAGAAGGTGACTGACTGTATGCGGTCAAGCCAAGAATGATGATCGCAAAGATCACTTGAACAATCCGAACAGGATAAACCCAGGGGAAATCCAGAGCCATCGCGGGCAGCAGGTAGCGAGCCTCTTTGGTCCTTTCTCGTAGTCCGCAACGCAATCAAAATGAGAAGGGAAACACAATGCCTGACGACGTTTGCTACAGCCGTTCTGTCAAGATTGGTTATCTAACGAAACTGAGAAAAACAGGAAAGTTGGAAAAAAAATATTTAGCAAGGCCTGTGATTCAAGAGCATGTGGTAAACCTTGTTGTCGAAGATCTCTTGCCGTTTTTCGGCAACGAAAACTCTGCCGCTGATACTCTCTCAAGATATTCCTTGCCCCAGTTTTCAGCTCGCAGCGGGGGACGAGTTGGTAAAGATGCTGTTTTGGCCGAACTTGAGGTGAACGCCGGCGTCAGTGGCTCAATTTCCGGGTTGATGCCTCAGGTAATTACCTTTTTTATATATGGTCGTTTGTTGTATGGAAGGAAGGAGATTGTGAAAAATTCCTGGGTATTCAAGGAAGAAGAAGGTGACCGACATTACAAGCGGGCCACATCTCCATGACTGAATAATTGGGTGGTTCGCTTGGTGGAAGCTTGTGATCATCAATATGGCTGCCTATGACGACAAGCGCCTCGCGGCGCACTCGTGAACACGAAGGATTGGCTGGGGAGTGGGTGACAATGATCTCATGAGATGCTAATTTAAGGAGCCATGCAGATTGGCTTGTTGGCAGATTCTGATTGAATGCGACGGAGAATCTACTCGTTAGCAGTTTCTCCTACTATTACTACTACGGCTAGGTATATACTATGGTACGTATGATTGTACCTGTACAGTATGTTTATACTTATAGGGCGGAAAACGTGACTAGCCCCACAATGACCTCAGGTATTCTAGACTTAGTACGGGAGAATTGTGGTGCTCAGTGGTATCCATGGTAGATTACCATAAAATATTGGTCCCCTGGTTTATTTCTTCACTAGGGATTGATTGTACTGTACCCCTGGACTAACAGTAACCCAGCGTCACTGAAACACCACGATTTCCATCATCGATTTATCAAGCTGCATCTCTGGAAGTTCTTCTGCGGAACTGTACAATGCTGATCTTCGGTAATTCGGTACCTCTTTGGGCAATACGGTACAAGTGTGTGCCTGGTAGTATTTCTAATATGTCCCGAATGTTAGGTTTCCCCTTGTAGTGACTAGGAGTCACCCTGGGGTCAGGGTTCGCACAAACATGAATGCCAATCCCTTTCCCCATATGTTCTGGGATAGAGAGTGTTGTGGGGGACTGTATTGTACGTATACATGGGTACATGTATACAGGACAGTGCCCCTATACATATGGAAGTGTCAAAGTTACAAATGTAGCCTTGCCTAAATACAAATCACTATGATTCTAGTAGAAACTGCTCTTCTTATTTTGCCCGGCTATATAGATGGGTATGTATGCTCCTTTTGTGCTTATATGTTTTCCTTTTCCTTTTATTTTAATTTTATTGTATCTTATTTTTAATTTTATTATTTATTCATTTTTTACTTTTCCCCCTCTTTTCTTTTTCTTATTTTCAAAACCCCTCCCTCCACCGATCACGCCATCGTAGTTGCGCATTATTGTTGCTAATTTATCCCCGCACATATAAAAATAATGTAGTCATCTTTTCCACCTTACGAGCCCTCCTAGTAGCCTTGGGTAATAACTGCTGGTGTTTTAACCTTACACAGAACATAATTCTTGATTGACAATCCGGTTACAAAAAGACAGCAGCTGTTTCATTCAAAGGCACACAATGGTTGAGTCACGACAACCTCATTTTGAAACTCTTCAGCTTCATGCTGGGTATATATATTCATTCCCATCGTTCCCAACCAGCTCATACGGATTCTGAGTATTAATGGGCGTCAAGCCAGGAGCCTGACCCGACGACCAACGCTCGCGCTGTGCCTATATATGCGACCACGGTCAGTTTACCCGCTCCTTTCTGTCCAATTTTGGTTGTATATAGTGACCCATTAAGTGATTCTAATATCTGTAGTCTTACACATTTAATGATTCTGCACATGGCGCCAGGCTTTTCGGCCTCAAAGAGTTTGGCAATATCTATAGCCGTATCATGAACGTAAGTGACGAAAGGTCGTTGGCCCTTGAAGGTAAAAAGAGCTAATCATACTAATTCTTTACAGCCCACAGTCGATGTCTTTGAGAAGCGTATTGCAGCTCTCGAAGGTGGTGTTGCAGCGGTAGCAGCCTCTTCTGGCCAAGCGGCTCAGTTCATGGCAATCTCAGCACTTGCGCATGCAGGTGACAATATCGTCTCGACCAGTAACTTGTACGGAGGCACCTACAACCAGTTCAAAGTTTTCTTCCCCCGGCTAGGGATCACGACCAAATTTGTCCAAGGAGACAAGCCAGAGGATATCGGTGCGGCAATTGATGACCGCACTAAGGCCGTTTATGTCGAGACGATTGGAAACCCTCGATATAATGTGCCTAACTTTGAGGCTATCGCTAATGCTGCCCATGAGAAAGGTGTGCCTTTAGTAGTATGTATAGGTTGATTTTGTGATTGATTGGCGCAAGTGTTGACCATGGTCTAGGTTGACAACACTTTCGGGGCCGGTGGTTACTACTGCCGTCCTATCGAACATGGTGCCGATATTGTCGTTCACAGTGCAACTAAATGGATTGGTGGCCACGGAACCACTATTGGTGGTGTCGTGATAGATAGCGGCAAATTCGATTGGGGTAAACATGGTGCCCGATTTCCGCAGTTTGTGGAGCCATCCGAAGGTTACCACGGTCTGAAGTTCTGGGAGACCTTCGGGAATTTGGCGTTCGCAATCCGTGTCCGCGTTGAAATCCTTCGGGATCTCGGGTCAGCATTGAATCCATTTGCTGCACAACAGCTAATCCTTGGTCTGGAGACTCTTAGCTTACGTGCTGAACGGCATGCAAGTAATGCATTGGCTCTGGCACGCTGGCTACGTACAAACGACAATGTGAGTTGGGTTTCGTATCCCGGGCTAGAGGATCATCCCTGCCATGAGACTGCCAAGCGCTATCTGAAGCGCGGCTATGGCGGTGTCTTATCATTCGGTGTCAAGGGAGGCGCTGCTGCTGGAAGCCAGATCGTCGACGGGTTCAAGTTGATTAGCAATCTAGCTAAGTACGTCCCTCACTCGGTGACTATGAATCGCTACAGCCTCAGCTGATCAACCGGGTAGTGTCGGAGATTCCAAAACGCTTGCAATCCATCCTTGGTCTACGACACATGAGCAACTGACCGAGCAAGAACGGCTTGAATCTGGTGTTACTGAGGATGCCATCCGCATTTCCGTCGGTACTGAGCACATTGACGATATCATTGCCGACTTCGAACAGTCATTCGAAACTTCCAGTGCCGCACGTGCCTAATAGGGAGTTACAATGAGGAGATAGTCAAGCAATAGCCTGTCTGGACCTGTTATCGGAAGCTGTTGAGGTAATTTGGCGACATCAGAGCACTTTGAGAATCGAACTGGAGTGTATAGGTAAAGTTCTCTAAAAGAATAAAAACAAGAACGAGTCAAATTATCATGGACACCACACGACGTATGAACTTGTAAAATGTAGGGTTGTGTCAATGTAAGCGATATTTTCAAGATTCGGCAGATACTCATGTATGTACGTATAAGTTCCGCAAATACTATACTGTACATAATAATAGTCTCTGTCAGTCTCGATCTGAAAAGTAATGGCCGAAACAGTATTGTTTAAATCTGTGGTTTAAAAATAACGATAGCCTGATTAATGCGTAAAACTGTAGTTTTTCTTCAGTGTAGACCCCTTTCTCTGGTCGTAGATTTAGTGATATTCTGAAGTACTGGTACGGCATCAAAAGCCTCCAAAATTGGAATATCTTGAGAAATAATTTCAATAAATTTATTTGGTTATATTATAACGGGAATTGAATGCCCCAACATATCGCCAGACACCACATTATTGGAAAGGGAAAAAGAAGTGCACCGAGCAGATATGCAACTGCATTGCTGATTTTCGAATACGCGAGAAACAAAATCACACAAAGCCGCCCAAGTTCAAGGGAAGAAAAAAGAAAAAAAGAGAAAAAGAAAAGCAAGAAAGAAAGCGACGCATCACCATTTTCTCAAGGAAACATTTGGGTTCAAGCCAATGGCATCAGCTGAGAAGTATCAACACACGCAAGAAGACAAGACAGTGTCCACAATATCCGATTGCCCACTCAAATGGCTGAAGATCACTTGCACTGATGTAAATATGCCTTTCTGAAGGGTTCGAGGAAGAGAGTTCCAACGCCATGTTCCGTATATGATTTACAATGAAATATAAGAAATAAAGCTCGTATCAAAACAAAGGCGGAATGAAAGAAGTGAAGACTGTGTCTCCACAGTAGCAATATTTGCCTTATCAATTCGAATTTGATCAAGAACCTAATTGCCTCCTTGACCGGGGGGTGGGGGCTGTGCTGACCCGCTAGATGTTCCAGCTTGTGCTCCTCCCATCATGAACCCTGGAGGGAACATGGGCATACCGGGGAAGGAAAAGCCAAAACCGGGCACAGCAGGAGGAACGCCGACATTGTTTGCATTGGAAATATCTCGATCGGGTTGGCCACCATGGCCCCCTGGGCCCATTCTAGCTGAAGGTCCGTCCCGGTCTGGCCGGGGGAAACGGTCCTGCTGAGTGCGGGATGAGATAGGACCCCGTTTGCCCCCGGTGTCAGTTGCAATCCGTCTGCTGATAGCTATAAGAACAAGTTAATTTGGAGTATTTCTAAGTTCGAATGTAAGATAAACAAACCTTTAGATGAAACCCCAGCACCGATCTCGATATCTGGCTCTTCGACAACCATGCCGCTCTCGATGGGTCTGCCACCAGTCCCGCCATATTCAGCAGTGAGCATCCATTTTCGATCTGCCTCCGTGAGTCGTTCGACCGGAATTATACTAATTCCTGTCTGATAGTCGCTACAGTCACGCGGTCCGAATCCTACACCCCAGCGAGTCTGGAGACTGATTAGACATTATCACTAGGTATGGAAAGGCGTACTTACCCTAAGTTGCATGTCCCCAGACTTATAAGATTCCATACCTTCACGAGCAAGCACAGCATCCTGGCGGCTGATCATCTTGATGAATGCATGCCGTTTATCTATGTTGACAATGCAGGTCTGGACAATGCCAAACTTGCCGAATAGAGAGCGCAGGTGCGCCTCGGATGACCTATGAAGTTGTTAGAATCCGAGATGTGGAAGATCACAGACATTGACTCACGTGACACCACCGACGAAAAGGGTTCGACTCAAAACTGCATAAGAAAATTAGTTGAGATGACGAAAACAAAGTGTTTGCGATCGAGCCGGTACGAACCTTTGATATTGCCTTGCCCAATGGAGTAGTCCCACTCGATAAATTTGGGGCCGGGAGGCGGTAGAGTAGGGTCCTTACGAGGAGGAGACGGAGTACGACGTCTACGCCCAGGAGGGCTGCGCTGACGATAATCATTCCCACGCCGACCGCGGGGATCGCCACCCCTGCGACCGGGCGAGTCACCATGGTACTCACCGTAAACGGGACTATCACGGCGACGAGGAGGGGACACATCACGACGTCTATCCCAGCCTGGGGACCGGGAACGGCGACGATACTGGCCTGGAGGTGAGCGCATATAGTCACGGTCCCGTTCACGGTCCCGGTCGAACTCACGTGACTGGGAATCAGGACGGCCCCAGGCATTAACATTTTGACCTGGTAAATTAAAGCCAGCAGCCGGGGCAGGATTCATGTTGCCCATGTTAGCGGCATTAGACAGACTAAGGATCTGCAGAGCGGTGGCCCACTGGTCTTGTGGAATTCCCTGGGCGGCTAGGAGCTGTAAGAGCTGGAGTTGCTGTTGCAGCGCATCGGGCGCAACAGCGGGAGTGGGCTGAGCTGGGCCTGTAGTCGCCTGTGGCAGTAGCGCAGCCAGTGGATTCTGTGCCGCAGTCAATGGGTTCGGAGTCTGACTCTGGCTTTGCGGTTGTACCAATGCCGTGTTTTGAGCGACATTACTCAAGGCCGCGAAAGGTGTCGCCATAGCCCCAGCAGTAAATGGGTTTACACTAGCCTGCCCATTCTGAGATAGTGATGCCTGGTCTACGGATGACGACACGGGCTGCGGAGCTGCACTCTGCTGGGTTAAAGTACCAAGAGGATTAGACTGTGGTGCTACTGCCGGCGCTGCTGATGCTGGTGGAGCAGCTGTGTTTTGTTTGGCCATATCAGCCAGGGCTTTCAATATACTAGAGGTATCCGGCGCCGATTGAGGAGCCGCCGAGGTTGCGCCATTGGATGGCAGCGGTAGCTGCGACTGCTGAAGACCCCCCAGGGGAATATAATTTGGAGCTGGGGAACCCTCAGGTGTGGTGGACTCAACATCTATAGAAGCAATATCAGAATTCCGTTTGCACTTATCTTGGCATTTAGGAGAGCCGCCGATGGCTCCTTAGGTTATACAGCCAAATCGGGGTACGGCGTAATGGCATCCATATCATATAAAATGGAAAGGAAGGGAAACAAGCTTACTGTGTGCTGCGGGTGCGTTTAGTTTTTCTTTGAATGAGGCAAGCATGGGGGCGGGGAAAGTATATCCACGCTCCCAAATATCAACCAGCTTCCTGATTTTTTCCTATATGCAGAGACCATCGGATACGTAAGTTGAACTATTCGCCCCAAATTGACAGAATAAACACCTAAAAAAGAAACGGCGGACTCTATGCAGAAAGGGAGGGATATATAGCGGGAGATACGTAGATCAAGTCTTATACAGGCCACAGCGGGATTTGAACGCAAATCTCCGCTTTTATTCGGCCGTACGCATGCCCGCAGGTTGTGTGGTAGTTTGATGGCTGTATGCATCTTGCATCTAGAGCGTACCTTTTGATCCTCAGGAGCGTTGTTTATGATATCAGTCATCAAGACAGGTAGTAATTCGGTCACTCTGTTAACACCAGCGGCGAAGGTTCCATCGGGAGCGGCACTACCAGATGGTTGACCTGCCTTGCGCGCTGCTTCTACCCACTGTCGAGTTACAGAGTCTACGACATAGAGTACGCCCAACTTGTGTGTTCCCGGAGCCTTCTTGAAGTGTGTATAGATCTTCTGGATAAGAACGGATTCATTCTGCCAAAATAAAAAAAAAAATTCTGTTAGCTTGCCATTCACTCCTATGATAGCCCTTGTCAATCGAAGCTAGAAGGGATAGAGTACCTGAACATTCGCGGTGCAGAGCGACGTGATACTGTTGATTTTAGATCCTGAGACGCCAGGAGGCTTAAGGGCGAGCATAGACTGGAGATAATTGTCCAGTTCTGCTACAGCAGACGACATTGTTGATAGTATGTATTAGAGGGGTCGGGTCCCAGTACGGAGAGATGGTTGGTAGATATTCCCAGAAAGTTCTTTGACAAAACCTATCGCTTCAAATACTATTGTATAGGCGACTGGGTGTATCAAGGGGTCAACGAGTCGTTTCTACTGGGAGATCCAGTGCGGCCAAGAAGATATTGTGATGCTTAGTGATAGCAGATCTGCTGTCTTTGGATCTCAAAACTTTGACGAAAAGTTCCTAAGCGGACTTTTGGTCGTATCACTACAGAATTCCAAGAGCGGATCTCTGGCGACCAGGGGGGCTTCCGCCTACAGCTGGAACACAGCCAAGCGATGGTGTCCAGGAATTTTGCGACTCGCGAGCGAGTATGTGTACAAGGTACGTCCTAAGGTGAAAGTTGTCAGGTAAATCAAAAAGAGAGACAGATGTGATATATTACAATGTAGAACGAGAAATGTAATAAAGAAGTAGATAAAGGCTGACGTGAAGGTGATGCTGTGAAAGAAATAGTAAGGAAGGAGTGATTTTCAGTAGACAGGCAGTCAGGTGAGGAGAAAAATCATAAGTTGCGCTAACCCTGAATTGGTAAACCCACAATTTCACGGCACCTCTTGCACTTTGGGGCCTAAAACTTGAAGTGTATGTCACGTGTTGATCAGTCCTTCGAAAAGACTACTTAGTAAGCCTCAATGATGACCTTAGCCTGAGAGTCGAAGGTGGTACTTTGTACGAAGTAAAACACTGCTAATTGAGTTAAGGCGTTGTCCTTCTGGGTGCAGGCCCACAGAGCCGAAGAATCTGCCGTAGTAAAGTACAGAACTACTATCACGGTATGATACTACAGAGCATGGAGTACTTTCGATAGATAAACAGAATCTGCCGCATACTTTGTATCTCTAGCAAGGTGATTTAATATGATTAATCGACACCTTGTTCATAACCTGGCTGTGCTCAATTGATTATCTGATTCTCGGTACGGAGTACTGCAGCTACCTTGGTGATGGGTCCGACCCAAACTCGGGTAGCGGCCGACGTCACTAGCCATAGGAACTTTGAATCAAAATGGAATACTCCGTTTACGGATGGAATGCGTGCCGAGATCGTCAGTTTTGCTGGCGAGCGACCACGCAGTTTGTATATAAGACCAAATCAATTTATGTGATTATAAGCACATACTGCAGACCTCAGGAGCAAAGGAAGACAAGGGTGTCCATGTCAGAGAATTATATTAGTTACGGCGAAGAGTTTGATAATAGCAATAATGAAAGGAATTTAGGGGAAATAAACAAGAGAGTGAGCTGTTCTGCCTAGGTAATTAATTACTCCGGTACTCCGTCCCGCGCAACGGATCTGGCGGGCAAGGGATCACAGACTCCTTACGTCGCCGATGGAAGGGATTCGGGAGACCGGGCTACCTTCCTGGGCATAGCATTACGGTATAGTACGGAATCCCGCCATTGCCTTGCCTCGTTGCCGACCTTTACTGTACCGCCCATGTACCGGCTGTACCATTACGGTCAGATGGGAAAGAAAAAAAAAAGAGCTTCTCCCGAAACCTCAGCATCTTTTCTTCTTCTTTCTCTCTGTCACTATCTTGATATACCCAGACCCTCTCCATTCTTCAGTTATACTCAACCGCTCAACAAAGGTTGTTTGATTCGACATGGCTTCTTCCTTGAGAATCGGAACTTCTGTTCTTCGTTCAACCTCTCTCGCCGGTAAGCCGGTCGTGCAGTCCGTTGCCTTCAATGGTTTGCGCTGCTACTCTACCGGCAAGGCCAAGGTTCGTCATGTTGTCTACATTGCTATCGATTCTTGACTTGTCTAACTGCCATGATTTCGAACAATGCAGTCCCTGAAAGAGACATTCGCCGACAAGCTCCCCAGCGAAATTGAGAAGGTCAAGAAGCTCAGGAAGTATGCACGCCACGCGAGTAATACCTTGTCCATTAGTACTTTTGCTAACCACGCCATCAACGCTTTTAGGGACTATGGCAACAAAGTCGTCGGTGAGGTCACCCTTGACCAGGCCTACGGCGGTGCTCGTGGTGTGAAGTGCCTTGTGTGGGAAGTAGGTCATGACGCAATGGAGCCGACAGCTGCCGATGAGGATTGCTAATTCTAGCTCAGGGTTCTGTTTTGGATTCTGAAGAAGGTATCCGTTTCCGTGGATACACAGTATGTATCATCCCGCTGTTTCTTTGTCGGGATTATCGTATACTCATGGTCACATAGATCCCGGAATGCCAGAAGCTGTTACCCAAGGCTCCCGGTGGCGAGGAGCCTCTTCCTGAAGGTACACTAATCCCCTAGAAGGCGATTATTATCGTTGCTTCCTGCTAATATACTGTAGGTCTCTTCTGGCTGCTGTTGACCGGCGAAATTCCCTCGGAGCAGCAGGTTCGCGATCTGTCTGCCGAGTGGGCTGCTCGCTCTGACCTCCCCAAATTCGTCGAGGAGCTCATTGACCGCTGCCCCAGCACTCTTCACCCCATGGCTCAGTTCTCTCTGGCTGTCACTGCCCTGGAGCACGAGTCTGCTTTCGCCAAGGCTTACGCTAAGGGTATCAACAAGAAGGACTACTGGAACTACACCTTCGAGGATTCCATGGACCTCATCGCCAAGCTTCCTACTATCGCCGCGAAGATCTACCGCAACGTCTTCAAGGACGGCAAGGTTGCTCCTATCCAGAAGGATAAGGATTACTCCTACAACTTGGCCAACCAGCTCGGCTATGGTAACAACAATGACTTCGTTGAGCTCATGCGTTTGTACCTGACCATCCACTCTGACCATGAGGGTGGAAACGTCAGTGCTCATACCACCCACCTTGTTGGTAGTGCTCTGAGCTCCCCTATGCTTTCTTTGTCTGCTGGTCTGAATGGATTGGCTGGTCCCCTTCACGGATTGTATGTTTATCCCTCGTTAAAAGCAACACGAACTGGAAATAAATTAGAAGATGAAAGGATGGAAGAGTCAATCTAGCTAACCTGCGTACTTCAACAGGGCAAACCAGGAAGTGCTTAACTGGCTCACAAAGATGAAGGCTGCCATTGGCAACGACCTCAGTGACCAGGCCATCAAGGACTACTTGTGGTCCACTCTCAACGCTGGTCAGGTTGTTCCCGGATACGGTCACGCTGTCCTGCGTAAGACTGATCCTCGTTACGTTTCTCAGCGCGAGTTTGCCCTTCGCAAGCTCCCTGATGATCAAATGTTCAAGCTCGTCAGCCAGGTTTACAAGATTGCTCCTGGCGTGCTGACTGAGCACGGCAAGACCAAGAACCCCTTCCCCAATGTCGATGCTGTAAGTTTATTGCACACTTTTAGATCCTCCGATTACAAGCCAACGAATGCTGATCTATCTTTAGCACTCTGGTGTCCTTCTTCAGTACTATGGCCTGACTGAGGCCAACTATTACACCGTCCTGTTCGGTGTCTCTCGTGCTCTTGGTGTCCTGCCTCAGCTGATCATTGACCGTGCCCTTGGTGCCCCCATTGAGCGCCCCAAGTCCTTCAGCACTGAGGCTTTCGCCAAACTTGTCGGTGCCAAGCTGTAAATTCATTGAATGATACGAGAAATCGGAGGAGGTTTTTATGATTAAGCACACCATTTTGTATTTTTCCCTTACTATTTTATTAGACTAGGATGCGACGAGTGCTGTGGTTAGTTTGATTAATGTATGATAGGACCTGGTCCGGGCGGGCCTTGTAACAGCGCACCAATATCGTGTCGATCTTTTGACTAGATGGCTTCTTTGTCCCAGCTCTTGCTTGAAAATAATTATCACTATAAATTAGAAACACACAACTCTGGTCTTGAATCCCGTTCCATATAGAGGAGGGACGACAATGCCAGGGATCAGGAAGAAAAGGAAGACTAATGTTAAGTAACTATGGTAACAATGGTGAAGCAGCCGCCAATGCGCAGGTACAGTACCAATTACAGTGTGCATGTCTGTGCATAAGTGCGGTTCCTTTCAAACCACCTTGTGATACCCGAGGTTTATCTGGACTCTTGCTGTGTAATGATCTCACAACTAATGTCTTATCACATGAATAAGTGTTCAGGTAAATACAACTGTAGGTATGTAAGCCGGTACTCATACTACTACGTAGTAGTATCTCAGACACATTGAACAAAGCTTTCCTGAGAATAGAAGAAAAATACATACAAGGTAAAGAGAATACAAATTTACTAATCAGTGCTAAGAACGTGGTATCTTCCACCCAACCTGGGAAGAAGAACAAATAATATACAAAGTCCCACAGAGTACATATATCTAGGTAAGGCTCAACATAGTGATACTTCGGTTTCTAAAGTCAATACACATACAATTGGTATGACCCATAGTAAAGTGGGTAGTGAGTTGCCTGTGAGTGTTTGTTTACATCTTGAGAGGTATCTGGGCATGAGCCAGGGAGGTTGAGTGGAATTTGGGACTAGGATCGGGACAGCTCAACCATTTCTGTAAATTGCGGCGTCTCAGGACAGCGAATACAAGAATAGGTAATGTTGGGGGGCACCCGATTTGCTCCGTTGGCTCAACTGAAGCCAATTACACCGCCGGACCACACTGGGCCTAGTGCCAGGACTCAGCCTAGAAATGCTCCAATTAGGTTTAGTGTCTCCCCAATGTCCCCGACGTCGGTTTTGTTTTTGCAGTTGAGGGGGAACGGCAACTGGCCTTAGGCCGTCGAGAGCCTAGTCGGGCCTAGCACCTAGTTAACTTAGAGTACGTACGCCGGGTAATCCATCCTCCTAGACTTTATATTTCCAATCTTTCCTGTTCTGTTTGGCCATCACTGCTTCTCCTTCTGTCTCTACTTTATCGGCTATCTAAATTGGCCCCCTGTTCATAAACGTACACTTTTCCAAGAACTATCCCCAGCTCTTGACGTTCGATTGAAAGCAATCGTCCCCCCTGACTTTCCCATTGCAAACAACAATCGACTTCTCCTGATCCCTTAGGCGACGAAGCCCCCAACATCCCTTGGTCAGGGCCCCTTTCAGCGCTCCCCAAGGTTAGAAATGTCTACAGCTACAGCTGAGATGGCCTCTTCCGGCCACAAGCTCGAGAAGAAGCCCGTCAAGTTCAGCAATCTATTGCGTAGGTGTCGCCCAACATTATGGAGAACGGCATGGTTCTGATAGTTTTTGTGCAGTCGGTGCAGGATTGAATATGTTCGAGTAAGTAATGCGGTCTACACTCTATGTCCACCATGGGAGTGAAAAGAGAGAGTTTCAGTACTGACACAATTATTAGGGTCACCACTTTGGGACAGGTACCAGATTCTTAGTATACCCAACAAAATCTAGTGGTTGCTAATGTATAGTTCAGCCGCTGGAAGTGATCAAGACGACCATGGCCGCCAATCGAGGCGACAGTTTCGCCAGCGCTATGGGTCGGATATGGGGTCGTGGCGGGATCCTCGGTTGTAAGTAGCCTTCTATTCCGTTGTCCGACTAGTGTGACTGCCGTCTCTGACATGGGATGCCTGTGCAGATTATCAAGGTCTCATTCCGTGGGCCTGGATTGAGGCCTCCACCAAAGGCGCCGTCCTCCTTTTCGTCGCGTCCGAGGCAGAATTCCGTGCCAAGGTGCTCGGTGCGCCAGACTTCCTCGCTGGTATCTCAGGAGGTATGGCGGGTGGTGTTGCCCAGGCATATGCCACTATGGGCTTCTGCACCTGTATGAAGACGGTCGAGATCACCAAGCACAAGATGGCTGCCCAGGGTGTAAAGCCTGCAAGCACCTTCGCGACATTCATGGATATCTACCGCAAGGAGGGCATCCGTGGTATCAACCGCGGTGTGAATGCGGTTGCTATCCGTCAAACTACGAACTGGGGCTCCCGTTTCGGTCTTTCTCGTCTCGCAGAATCAGCAATTCGCAAGGTGACCAACAAGGAAGAAGGACAAAAACTGAGTGCCATGGAGAAGGTCTTAGCCTCCGGCCTCGGTGGTGGCCTCTCTGCTTGGAACCAGCCTATTGAAGTCATTCGTGTGGAGATGCAGAGTAAGAAGGACGACCCCAACCGGCCTAAGAACTTAACTGTTGGCAAAACCTTCAAGTACATCTACGAGACCAACGGTCTTAAGGGTCTTTACCGTGGAGTTACTCCCCGTATAGGACTAGGAATCTGGCAGACAGTCTGCATGGTGGCTCTCGGTGACATGTGAGTTGACCATTCCCCTAGGTGTTTAGGACTAGATGTTTTTTCCGGCCAAGGCTATCATGCCCCGAAAGCACTGGTTGTCTGATTACCTCCATTTCCCCGATCTTCATGTGATAGCCGAGGAGCGGTGTTTGGCTAACGTGTGGGTCTGTCATACCGAATAGGGCCAAGGAGGCAGTCGAAAAACTGACGGGCGATCAAGTCACCGCTAAGCACTAGAGAAGGTTTGAGATACCCTTCTACTATGCACAGCCCGCGGATGACTGGGCAGTTGAGTCTCGTATTTAAATACGGATGGGATGGAATTACCATCAATCACGTGTGTGGATGGGAGTCATATTTCCGCCTATAATAGTACCTATGGATAGTAATCGGTACCGATAGTGGTAGTCTTGCCTTCGAAGGATAATCAATCTACTTTTTCACTTTCATATACATATATATATATATATATATATATATATCTCTATACTCCGTATATATTCTGTGTTTATGGTGTTCTCCATTTGAAGCCGAGGATTACCAGTCATGCAGTACTCATATCGCCTATCCAGGGAAACCCCGAAGTTTCGCGTTGTAATTACTCGGTGATGATAATGTAAAGGGTGTTATGAGCGCCCAAATACAAGGTAACATCGGCGACCATGATGGTGTGATTCCCTTTTGTAAGTGAATGTCTCCCATTCGATCTTAACGTTAATTGGTCGCTCGCAGAAGAGTAGGGAACAAGCACCACCCGGCGTATGAAAGTACTACTACTACTCTCGTGCAATGAGTTATGTAATTACATTGATGGGGATAGATATCTTCAATGGTTAGATCGTGATATAGGACCACGAGTATTGCCTATGATGTCTATCTTTATGTATGTATCTCCTAGCTATGGGCACGATAGATAATCGACTGTATACTTTAAATTTATACTGATTTCCGTAGCCTTCCATATCGTTACAATAACGTCAACACCACAACGGCAGCCCAGGGGCCTAAATTTTACCCGATTAAACTCTCCTGGGGGGAAACTCTAGAAGTCGCAATAGAGCACATGAACCCATACTACACGGCAATGTGAAGAGAATTGGATAAGGTACAATTGTATTACAGTCACACAACCACAACCACGTCACAAAGGAAATATCTGCGAAGACTGATCTAGACACAAGAGAAGGGGGTGATGTTTTTTTGCAGACAGTCTAATATGTATTGTATACATTTTAAACGGTCAGACCAAGGTCCTCGCCGTAAGGGAGCTGGAAGAGATCTCCGACGGAGGCGACGGAGGCCTTGCCAGAGAGGAAGTTCTTTGCGACCTGTGAAAGAGAATTAGCTATCATCCTGTTTTCGAAGATACCAAGGCAAAATAAATATGATATACTTACATCCGTAACCTGGGCCTCCGTAACGGCGTCAATGCTCTGGGCGATTTCGCCGATCTGGTAAGGCTTGCCGCCGCTGAGAAGAGCAGAGCCAGTGGCCTCAAGACCAGTCTCGAGATTCTGAGCCGACTCAAGAGCACGGAACTTCGCCAGAGCGACTGCCTTCTTGATGTCTTCGCTAGCAACTTCGCCGGCGGCAACCTTTTTGAGGGCATCCACAGCATTCTTGCTGGCTGAAGCAACATGATCGGCCTTACCAGAAAGCGAAATAGTGAAGAGGCCAGCATCAGAATAGGTGTGGCTCTTGGTAGAGACACGGGCCTGGGAGAAGCCCTGAGTAGCCTGAGCCAGGAGGGAGAAGCCAGGAGTCCACTTGATAGTGGTCTCACCACCGAGGAGGGCAGCAAGAACAGAAGCCTCAGGCTTGTAGCCAGAAGTGCCGAAAGCGGCGGATCCAGGGAATGCAATGGCAACAGCGTTACCGGCTTTGGAAGAGATACGCTGCTCCCCACCATGGTACTTGGAAGTTGTGCCGGGATGGAGCTGGTACTGACCAGAGCTGCCAGAGCTGGGGAGTTCCTTGAAGAACTGGCCAACCCACTTGGACAGGTCAGCAGAGTTCGAGCCACTACCAACAAGGGCAATGTTGGACTTGGCATAAGCCTGCTGGGCGAACTCGGCGAGAGCTTCAGCCGAAAGGTATTTCTCGAAAGGAGTAGTGGTAGAAGGGGTAATGCTCTCACCCAGGCCGCGGTGGAAGGCCAGAACATGGGCAGCATCGACAGCCTGCTGCTCAGGGCTGGCGGCAAGGGCTTGTTGTCTGAGTTTGAGGTGCTTGATGACGACCTCATTCAATTCGTGGGCTGATGAGCCTGATTAGCCCATATACCGGAGCTGATATGACCACTCTGTCGACATACCTGCAAACTTTGACTGAGAAGCAACCTCTGCCAGCAATTCGGCAAAGTAGGGAAGATCGTTCGAGAGGAATTTGGCCTTGAGGACAACATTTTCACGCGAGTGTGTCGAAGAAACTTCACCGCCGAGCAGTTCAACCTCCCGGTTGATCCGCAACGCCGACCGTTTGAGTGTGGACTATCAATTGATCAAAACCTCGTCAAATCCCATCTCGCATGGTAATGCGGAGCCAGTAAGAGTGGGCATTGTGTGCCGGAACTAACCTTGAAGGCGAATTGTTCGAGAGCGTCGGAGAACCCAGGGAAAGGCTGGTAACGGGGCCCGGCCTTTGCAACCAACGCCAGGGTTGCTGTAGGGCCTGCTATTTCTCTATTGGCGAGCTTCACGCCAGCAGCCTCAGTGACATCGTACTGAAGGCCTGGGGTCGCAGCAGAGGCCAGGCTTCGACGGCTGTTGATGCCGGCAGCAGAGCACTGCTTCTGGAGCGCACGGGGCGCATTTCGGCTGAGAGAGGACCGCGACAGCATTATCGCATGTGCGGAATATAAAAGATGTGAGGAGAAAGATAGGAAGCCGAGGAGCTCGACAGTAATTGGGGAGGGTGGAGTGAGAGGGAGAGCAGAAGAGTGCTTCTGACTGTCGTTGGCGGGTTGGAAACGATGTCTGAAAAGCTTCAAGATGCCGGAGCCTTGATTACTTCCTCTCTGATTGGCTAGAATGGCGAGTGCGGGCGGAACCGGCTTTTCCTCCTCCTCCGTGTCAGCTGATATCACATGATAAATAGCTGCACGTGAGCCCCGGCGAAAGCATTGCGATAAGAGAAAAAAAAAGTAGGACAGAGAGGGGGAAAGGGTAGCTTGCGTTGTTTGCTCTGCAACCAGTTTGCGCTTCCCTTATCCATTAGCTGGTCGATACCATTCCCCTATGAATATCTGGCGGTGACCGCTGTTTCCTTCTAGAGAATTGAAGCTGCTAAATTCTCTAGAAGTCTTGAGCTAACATGACTTCCCAAGTATGCGATTGCTCCATCTACATATGTCTCACTCGTTAACTTGATCAATGGTAGTATCTTGGAGAGCTCTGTACGCTCCTTGTCGAAGATAACTTTGGGGAGCTATTTGCGGTAGGTTTGCACTTATACACCTGTCGACTACTTTTCCACCCATGCCCGGGGCCTTAATGCGGAACGAAATGCATAATGTGGCTGACTCTGATCTACCTCGCCGACATAGCGCATTTTCTCGACACTAAGTCGCTATGATCGTCTCTCTTTTTCTCGGCTGAGATTCTACTCCCGCCTCTCCATCTCCCAGCTTCGTCATGGCCTCGCAGCTATGATTCAGCAACACCTTGTCTACCACTACACGTCCTACGATGACGGCATTACGTACTACGAACCCAATTTGCAATCTGCATACTATCTCGTCCGATCCGGGAAGATCTTGGAGTTTATAGAACATCGATTGGGGAAATATGCTGCCGCTGTTATGTCGACCATCATGTTTCTTGGCCATGCGCAAGTCGGCTATCTCGAAACCCTTCCGGCTCTGAGACCTTCGAACTCCGACATAAATAAAGCCAGTGGGGAGCTTGAAGGAATTCACGAAACCGAAGAGTATCAAGAAGAGGAGGCACACCAGGAAACTGAGGAACATGGGAAAACTGAAGACCGACCGAATGGGCTCAATAGTGATTATTCTTCTACTGAACACCCAGCTCTTCTTCACCCGACTTTGAAAGCTTTGGCAGGACATGGCTACATATTACGTGTCAGGGATGCTCAATTCCAAAGCTATGCTGACAACGCTTTGGATGCCGAGCGCACAATTAAGTCAAGACCAGACATTAAAGCCCTTAAGGGAAAGAAACTAGAGGAGGCGGTTACCGAGGGGACGCTCGAATTGCTCAAAGAACGGTTGGACGGAGACCTCACTCGCGGGTTGATGTTTAATGGAGTACCCCGAGGAGCTAAACGGAGACATACCACTGGAGCTACCGGGGCACCTAATAAAAAGGCGCGAGTTGACTATGCTGCTGTCGATGAGGATGAGGATGGTGAAGAAGAAAACGAGTGGTCAGACGATGAGTTTGGTGAAGACACAATACCCATGGAAGTAGGTCTTCCTTTTCATTAAGCTTTCAGGGCCCCGTTTCGGCGGTTATTTCAAAGGAGAAACTGATGGAACGGTGCTTAGTCCGGTATCACTGTACGCATAAATTATGAAAAATTGGATGTCGCTCTCCGAAACCGCCGTTTCTTGGAACTTGCAGAGCGGGACTCGTCTCCCGTAACAGCCGAAGTTTACGAAAGTCTTCTACGACGTATCGAATACCAGACAGCGAAATGCCGAGATACTAGTGAAATCCCTCGCGAGGGCGAGGAGGGCGAACACTATTCTGTGCCAGTTCCTCTAAGAGCGGTGGTAGAGGATGTTGACCTGTTGCTGGACCTGGCAGGGTCAGTTGGTCCCATGGAGGTCTCTCAGCCTATAAACAGCCGCGGCAAGCGACAATTGGGAGAAAACACGAACGGTGCATCCCATGATGGGACCAACGGGGCGCAATCAGATGGAAATCGTACTTACGAAGTCGACCAGCATCTCTGCCTTCTAGCTCAACCACCCTATAGCCTCACCTCCAAACGTATGGTTTCAGGCCTAATCACCTGGACTGTCGAGTTCCGTCACTTGGCACGCAAGCTTCGTCATCTCGAACTGGAACGTATTATCGAAGCGAGATATGGGGATGTTGCATTACGGGTTGTCCGTGTACTCCATGACAAGGGCAAGCTAGATGAGAAACGTCTACAGGAAATCAGCCTTCTTCCATTCAAAGACCTACGCCAAGTTCTCGCCAGCATGCAGACGGGCGGGTTTGTCGACTTACAGGAAGTGCCGCGAGACGCACTACGACAGCCTTCAAAAACCATTTTTCTCTGGTTCTATGACCCCGACCGCGTCAGTAATAGTGTCCTGGAGGATACGTATAAGGCAATGTCTCGATGTTTGCAGCGCCTGCGGTTCGAGCGGAATCGGTTGAAAGAATTTCTTGAGAAGACAGAGCGAAGCGATGTTAAGGGCAACGAGGAACGATACTTGTCTGAAGCAGAACTAACCCTGCTCGGACAATGGAGGGCGAAAGAGGCACTCTTGCTGGGGGAAGTAGCCCGGTTAGACGACATGGTGGCTGTGATGAGGGACTACTGAGGCACTGAAAACCGTAATGAGCAATGAAATATGAAATTTCACATTTGCATGTCCATTTATATGGCTGAACGGTTATTGCTGTGCAGATCAGTCCCATAAGGGCCAGTCTCGCGGTTTATGTTCACATATTTTATGATCTATTGTAGGACAAAGCTGCTTCATTATCAACCACCAGAGCCCGATCACGTTATACTGGGAGATGTAGGATACCTGGTGCTACATATCGTAAAGTATAGAATGCCAGAGAAATAGTCTACCAGTCCTAATAGCAAAGCTCTCATCCAAATAAAACAGGAGCAGGCAACAATATAGAGCTGATTTCAAGTCAAGAAATGACTTGCTGAAGCGGTGTTGATATTAACATAGTAAGACAAGAGCATAGGGCGCGAAGGCTTGAAGCTAGAACAAAGAACGAATGGAAAAACCACGGCCACACCAGATCACCATTGAAGAAACAAACCAAAAGCGCAAAGAAGAGAAGGCCTCCCAGATGTCAAGTCTAGATCAAAATCCCATACCATTTTATACACTGAAAATCCAATCCAACTCTTTCCGGTCACCATCTAACCGTTTCCCGAATTCTGCTGTCGTTAAGCATGTCACATAAAACAGGTGCCTCTAGGCAAAAGAGCATTTAGTTCAAATCATTACGATGTCTCAATCGTAAGATCTATGCAGGGCCATTCGTTGCAGGACTTGTAGGCACACCTACAACCTCGCCAGGCTTGTCCGATTGCTCATTTTCCGGGCTAACTGAGTCGCTGTCGTGGGCTTGAGAAATCTCTTTCTCGCCTAGCCGAGCCTCAGCCGCCTCTAGCTTACCCTTTGTTTCCTCGAGTTCCTTCTTCAATGCTTTAATATAGTCAATGGCCATCTCCACGGTGCTGGCCTTGCTGATCTGCTGATTGCTGGGCTTCTCTTTCTCCTTTTCGCTGCCTTTCAGACTGCAAGGTGTAGCATCTTTCACATTCTTCATGTTGACGAACCCAACGGGAATTAGAGCTTCGATTTCCTTGAGCGCATTATTGATGCGATTACGTCGGCCTTGCTCTGCAAGCTTATGGTTTGTCCGTTTGGAGCTCAAATTTTCGGCCAACGCTTCAGGATAGGATACGCCAGGGAGAAGGGTTCCATCCAAAATATGCTGGTAGTTCGATTTGGAGGCTAGATATAAGGCCGATGTCTCACTTGATATGCCTGCTGAACGGGATGGAGTCAGTTTAAATGACTGGGCTGATCAATGGATCTTGATTTTCCACTTACATTCTCCTCGGACTAATGGTTGTATGCTAGGACTTATTTTCGGGCGTAGATTTGGGCTGGGTTGAGATGAGCTGAGACTCTGTCGCTTTCTACCCAATGGCCCGAGTTTGGGTGTGTCTGATTTCTTGCCTACCGGCCCACTTGGAGAAGGCATAGCGACAGTGCGCGGGCTAGGGGCTACTGAACTTGAGGTACGCTCAGCCAAGGGAGTCGGTTTGGGTTCTAGAGCTGGGGCGACCACGGCTGACGTGGCTGGGGATAGGGCATCCGTACGGACATTTCGCAGGGAGGTGTCTATACGGGCCACTTGCGATTGGGAGAAGTGGGTAGTAGGAGTAGCTGCTTCTGGGAGAATAACATCTTCCATGATATCATCGTGTGACTCGGATGACACAGGACCCGACGTTTGGCCGATTGCGGCTGGACTATGCTGCGGCCGCTGAAGGCGCATCAACATAGCCGGGGTCGCAGGCTCGTTTGTTTGCGATTGCGCCGTCTGAGGAGCAATCGCGGGAGATCTCCTAGCAGTGGGTAGAGCAGGAGGCGGCATCAGGGGTTCTGACAGGGGTTCAGGGGAGACGGAATCCTGGCCAGAACTCTCATTGCTTCCATACCGCAGCCCGCTACCAGTGGAAGGTTGTGACCTCGGGCCACCTTGATGTTGGCTGAGGCCGTTCAATACCTCATCCGAGTTAATTTGTAGGAGTGACTTCTTCCGTGTCTGTGGCCGCACCGAAGGAGATTGTTGCTTCTTGGCCCGAGCAGAAAATGTCTTGGTGTTTGATGGTCTGCGTCGGTGGTTTTTCCGAATTAATCCAGGCGAATTTGGGGACGATGAAACAGGAATGGAACTGTCGATGGGCGAATTCACAAATCCCATGTCCGAAACATGGCCAGAATGAAACGGAAAGCCGGTTGAGTTCGCATTCTGGGCCTCGAGAGCGGGGGAGGTCAGAGGGGTAAAGTACTCCCCAGGAATTGTATACTCTGGCAGCCGGAATTGGGTCTCCAGTGGGGTCATGGCGGGAGACACCAAGGGGGTGTAGAGAGCCTGTAAGGGAAGGAAGCTGCATTAGCCATGCGCATCTTGATGTGGAGTTTGTGGCAGGTTGACGATTTCGCTTACCTGCTCCTCATTTATGCGAGCGTACCGGTCGTACATTTCATGATTTTCTTCCACGCGTTGCGGGTATCTGGCCGCACTTCCCTGCATTTCAATACTGTTGGGAGTTGGAGGGATCACGGGCTGGCCGTGAGGCACGTAAGGCTGGGAGGTTGGTTGCGAATGATGAACATGCTGATGGTGCGATTGCTCCTGCGGCTGTTGCAATTGCTGGTGATTAAAGATCTGGGAATGTGGAGGTTTCTGGGCATAGAACGCCGGAGTCACTGGGGCATCGGAGAAAGACGCTGGAATAGACCCGTGCGACTGGCTTTGGTGAACTTGGTTGGAGAGCTCAATGGGAAAATCGCCCATCATGCGGTCATACGACGATGGTTGAGGGGCCCCGGCATCGGTCTCCATACGCATAAGCTGTTCCTGGCCCGAAGGAGCGGTTGAGGTAGGCATCGACACGGAATGAGCGATGGAACGAGGAGGGTGCTGGTCAGATGGCCCGTGCCCCTCCATGTCGGGGAAATGCATTCCAAATTCGAGGAAATTGGAGAATTCATCGTCGCCGGGGGCGGTGATATCCGGCCAGGAAAGTGAGTTGTCTTGCTCCATGATAGAACTCATCTACCGGCTATCCTCTTTTTTTCTTTTCTTTTTTTTTTTTTGGTTTTTTCCGTGGGGGGGAGGGGGGTTGCTTGTTTGTTTCTCTCTGTGTTAAGGATTGGCGAACTCCCCTGCTCTGAAGCCTTTCTCCCTTACTGTAGTCTGTAACGCAACGTCGCAGAATGCGAACCAAGATTCACGATAGATAGCAACTCGAAAGTAAATTTTGGGGGATATTTAGCAAAACGATAGGACAGAGCAGGGTTGAGATTTCGGGTATTGGAACAAAGGATATTGAAAGTGGGAATATATGAAGTGAGCGATGGAGCGTCAGCTCAACAAGATAGACTGGCAGACATGGCGACCGTGGGAAGACAAGTTGAATAAGATCCTGAAAGTTGACTAACGGCAGAAGATAAAATTAATGAGAGCAGGATATAGATCTGGTGGGGACAAGATGATGAAGAGCAAGCGAGAGTAGAGTTGAACACGAGCTGAATAGACCGATCGGGCAAGCGACAACATATGTTAGTTTTGTTAGTTTGTTCGTTACCTAGTGAGTGAGTGAGTTAAGTTAGTAGGTTAAGTCAGACAGTCCTCAAAGGTGGTTCTGTGCCGGTGGGCGGAGATACGGAGGATTGCTTAATTAACATCGATAACCGGGGCGGGTTTGGTTTTAGTTTGATAAGTGGGGGGGAGGGAAAAGAGAGAGAGAGAGAGAGAGAGAGAAAGAACTTTTTACTGTACGTTAGGTAGGAAATAAAAAAATACAAGGTACATCTACAACACTGTACAGTACTAGTAGTATTAGGTATGTATATATGTATTTATATACAATACCTCCTACCTAGATACCTACGATGTTTTAAAATCATTACCGTTTCTATCAGTGTGTATGTATGAATATTAAGCAACTCCTTTTTTTGTTCACATCTCTCTCTCCCCCTCTCCCTCTGTCTGTCTGTGTGTGTGTGTGAGAGAGAGAGAGAGAGAGAGAGATTAGGTTGTACTCCGTATGTACGGAACACTTCTAGTAGTACTACTAAATACCTCCTTCTAAGGAACTAAACCAATTAAAGAAGGTCGAAATAAAGGAGAGTAATTAATAATGATTGGACGGGAAGAGAAGAAGTCGGAAGAAGAAACTGAAGGTTCAGTGGCAGATTATGATTTATACATCCGGAATTTAGTTATGTAGTTGTTATCGATAAGAATAATAGGCCATTCAAATGATATATATACTCCCTCAATCCATCTCCTAATCACACTTATAGCAAATAACTAGTATACTGCGTGACCTTGTGTGATATATAGACCCTCAAAAAGGTACATACTTAGGGGGGACAAGACTTCACCTAAATTGTTTCCCGGGCCAACCATGGATGATGGATGTCGATGGGTCCGTTAGAAAAGAGACTACTCTTTAGCCTTCAACCGAAAGAGCCAATCGGAAAGGCCCTCAGTTACCTAGTGGCAAAATTAGTCTAGAGAGAGAGGAAGTTCTCTCCGGATGAAATGGGGGTGGATCTCAAGTTCGAAACGAAAGTCACCTTTTTCCATGCCGATTATCCCATTATACGATTCGGGAGAACGGTACGTATCATGGTCCATGACTGCCTATTATCATATGATTATCAGGCCGTATTATTCAAGTGTTATGGTTTATTCTCTCTTGAAAGGGGGGGAGCGGAGAGGGGGCGGCAGTTGCGCTTGCGGATTATTATTCATGATTCATAAATTCCATTAGACAAAATAATAATAATAAAAGAAATATTTAATTATTAATATTATGGTTCAACTTTTTGCAATAATAACACTGCAGTAGTCAGCAGCGTCCGGATTGTAGGAGTTATCAAACTGATAATATATATATACATATATATATACTCTGGTAGTTGTCTCCCTAAGCCGGAGACTGAGAGAAGTCAAAAAGGTAAACGGAAGGCAACCCTACAGACCAAAAACCAATCAATAGATAATTTGGCTATTCTTCAAAAATTTTTCAACAAACCTTTTTTTCCCTCGTCTAATTCACTAGTATGAAACGGAGGAGATTCCCCCGACACCGATGCTTCTGTCCCTTGTGGGCTAGCCTCGTGAGTGGATGCTCTCTAGCGTCGTAGTCTAGAATTACAGGGTAAACCGTAAAGGTGGTTGAATGTGGTTTGCTTCAAGTGACTGACTATGTAACTAATGGTTAGTCTAACTACCCTCACTAGCCTAATAGCTTCGTTAGCCTGTAGAATGCTCGAAGGACGAAATAATATATTATCTCGACTAGTGAGGAGAAGGAAGCACCGGCTGTATAGTACCGGACATTCTTCTATTGTGCTGTAACTACTTCGTACACGACAACTATGCGAATGACTATTGATAACTTGAAGTAACATACCTGCTCTACTACTAGCACCTGCCCTCCCCGCTCACCACGCCTATTGCTACTGCCATGATTCTCGTCCTGTACCTACAGTGGAGGAAAGAGTAGTGTATAGAGCCGTTGGCCTGACCATGTGGCTAGCATACCTGCCTACATAAAGACATATCGGGGTACTGGACATTTGTTACCAATGCGGGGTTTGGGTTGCTGGAGGGGTCGTGACTTGAACAACGTGACATGACATGACATAACATGGACATCGCATTCAACAAACAACATCACATCACCGCGCACCACCTCAGCCAAAACTATCGTCTTCTTCATGTTTCTGCTATCCTTCTCCATGTACATGTTGGGGACCTTGTATAATTTCTCCTCACCTGTTATCTACCATGAGACCGCCTGTCCCAGATGTCGCGTTGCGTAGGGCCCGCAAGTCCTCCATCGAACAGCAGTGGACCGACCCCCGCAATACTAGTACTGCCCCCGCGACCTTCTTCCTGGCCCGCAGTCGTGATCGCGATGCGGAGGAGGAGCTCTCTCCCGGTGAGTCAGTTCCTTCAAGGGATAGTATGTACGGTGTACAAAGCCTCGAAGAAGCCGTTCTCGATGCCAATCCCCCTGCCTCCGAGTGCGAGCCCTTTCCTTCGGGTGGGAACTCTGATTCCACGACTTCGATCGGACAACAACAACCGCCTCCCCGCGACCATCTAGATAACGGTGATAACGATGCTACCTCATTGCCTCGCCGCAAGTCGACTCTCAAACCCAGCGATCTACTCAATGCTAGCAGATTGGAAATTTCTTTACCATCTTCTGATCGCACTTCTCCTCGACCTTTGACGCCATCAAACCTCAGCAACCCAGATGACCCATCCTTTTCTCTCCCCAGCAGTCCCAAATCGTTCTCCAACCAGTCCCTGAGGCATCTCGATGACATCTCGATTACCGATGATGTAAGCAGTGAGATTGTGGCTTCAGGTGAAGAAGACAATAATTTCCCGACACCATCCAACATATGCCTTGATAGCGCATCTCAGTTGGTAATGCCAAGTATTAGGATGCCCAGTCGAAGGCCTTTTACAGAACGAGGGAAGTCACTGGGCCGTCTGAAAGTGCTAATCGCAGGTGCTTCTGGTAAGTACGGGTCAAGTTAAGAATAGATTACTGGAATATTTGCTAAGTTCCACTTACACCTAGGCACTGGGAAAACCTCCCTCATCAAATCCATTGTTCAAGCTTGCGAAGATATCGTTCACGTCGACCCCTTTCCCTCCCTGCCCCTCTCAAAATCGACCCGCACACCTGGCTCTTCATCCCATTCCTTCCAGACACGCAGCAGTCCTCCATCTGTCACGGAAATTTATGCTAGCACAAAACCATATCCCGTATGGTGGTCAGACCTAGAAGATTCGCGTGTTTTGCGAAGACGACGGAGCATGGGTGATGTAGTCCTGGAGCGTAATCTCTGTTTCGTTGATCCCCAGTCCAACGAGTTGGACTGTGTAGGGCAAACTGACATCATCATACAATATATCCGTCAACAGCTTCTCCGGGCAATGACGTCCCTAAACTCGGCCAATCATGATTTCCAGAATATGCTCGCGGGCAACGGTGGTGCCCAGGTTGACACTGTCTTATACCTCCTCTCTGAAGGTACGCGATGAGCATTCCCTTTTGCATTATTCTGATTTACCGGGCTCACGTCTTTTCAGATACCCTTCATACAGATATTGAATCTATCCGGAAGCTATGCGACTGGACAAACGTCATTCCCGTCATATCTAAATCAGATCTCTTGTCATCCAGTCGAGTCTCGGCCCTCAAATCCACATTTCATAAGCAAGCTCAAGAGGCCAACATTAAACCTTTCCTTTTTGGGGATGTATCCCTCGGTGAAGTCAACGGGCTCAACGCTCAGTGTCCTTTTGCAGTTTCGTCCGCCAAGTCCGACGATGATGACGTTATGGACGCCAGCACCCTGATGAGTCCGGACTACGTCCAGCCTTTAATGGGGTCCGAATTAATGATCTTAGTGCAGATGTTATTTGACCGAGAAAATATAGCCTGGCTGCGACATTTATCTGCCAAGAAGCTTGCCTTACGGCAACAAGAGCAGTCATATTGGCAGCAGGATGCCTTACCAAATAACGTCCTTCCTGGTGTTCATACTTTACGGGGTGGCTCCTCCAGTTACACCATGGCGCGAATATCTGACTATACTCGCCACGAAGAGAGGCTGGCCCGGGTACAGCTGGCAAAGTGGGCGTCTGACCTTCAACAAAGCCTACGTAATGAACGAGAAAGATACGCCAACATGGCAAGGGGGGATCGTGCTGTCTGGCTCACGGAGCGTCTGGGAGAGTGTGTTGTAGATGGTTCATTAGTGCCTATCTCACAGACTCCTGGCTTCTGCGGTCTCCGTGTACCTGCGGAAAAAGCAGGTAGCGGTATTCTAGTTCGGACACAAAACGGAAAGAGGGTAGAATGTCGTATTGCAAGGATAAGCCCTCATGATCCACTGGGTCTAGTTTGGTGGTCCGAGGATCTTAAGCGCCGGGGTTGGGCCATCATCCAAATTGTGGGTAGTTTCGGGGTCGTTGGAGGGCTTGCGTTGTGGCTTGCGAAGGCCTGGGGATTATCCTCACGAAGTTTCTCTGAGTGGCGATTTGATTGGTATTGCATTGGCCATTAAGGAGACACGCCAACCAGAGTATCTGCGCCTTGTGATACTTGCTAGGTATGCATTGTCTAGGATTGAGCAGCAAATGAAACAAGTGCGTTGGACTGGGCCATCCCCTGCGAGGCGGCGGCCATCGTGTAGTGTCCCTGCATAGCTACTTGCTTACTAGCATTGCCTCTCGATTTGCATGTCCCTCGTTGTCCCATGACTGCTCTTCAAAGTCTACGAATCACGCCTAACGAGAATAACTATAAAGTAATGCATGGCCCCAATTTTATGCACTGACGGAGTACGGAGTTTTGCATTTCATCTCTCTGCTGTGTTACAAGCTAACGTGTGTTATGGGAATGAATGTATGTATGCGCGACGCATCGGTGGCCGGGTTCGATGTTACTTGCTAGGCTAATAAAAGGCGCCTCATTCCTTTGATCGCTAAATATAAGCCAGACTACGCGCAGGTAGAAGGCAGCATGGTTCACGGATTCTCCCTACCAAGATCGGACATTAGCATTTCATTTTTTCGAGCATATACATGAATATACAAGACTTAGTAATAGTTGAAGCCTTGGCTTTTATTCGAAAAACGTTCTACCTGTCTAAGATCACTCAATATCCGAACCCGGAGAAGTGAGCGAAAGTAAAAGTTATGAATCAGACGTAATAATTTAATGTAGTATGATATGGAAAGCAAACGCTCAAAACGCCGAAAGATTAAAATTCACATCGTAACTAGGAACCACCTTTCTCCCGTCCCAAATGAAACAGCAATACGAGTCAGTGATGTAAGATAACCCTGATGCAGATATTGCTGGAACAGTTTTAGAAAATAGGTTATGAGAGCAGTTGAATTTCGTTTCCGTTGCTACCGAAACATTTAGTCAACCTCCTCCATGGAGCTCTCGCCAGTGGCAGCGGCAGGAGCCTCTTCAGCGGCCTTCTCCTCCGAGGTCTCTGCCTCCTCGTCAACGTTCAGACCAAGAGACACAAGCTTATGGATGCGCTCGGCAAAGCTGGCAGGTTCGTCGATGGTGAAACCGGAAACCAGGAGAGAGGTCTCGAACAGAAGCTGAGTGATGGACTTGACGGTACGGTCGCTCTCGCCATCAGCCTCGACCTTCTTCTTGAGCTCCTTGATGATAGCAGACTTGGGAGAAATCTCGAAGGTCTTCTTAGAAGACATGTAGGAGCTCATGGAGGTGTCACGGAGGGCCTGGGCCTTCATGATACGCTCCATGTTGGCAGACCAACCGAACTGGCCAGTACGGATGGCGCAAGGAGAGCCAACAAGTTTGTGGGAGACAACAACCTTCTCCACCTTGTCACCGAGGATGTTCTTGAGGCTCTTGGCGAGACCCTCGAACTCCTTCTCCTCCTTCTCACGCTCAGCCTTCTCCTCCTCGGACTCCTCAAGCTCGAAGTCCTTGGTGATGTCGACAAGCTTCTTGCCATCAAACTCCTTTAGCTGGGTGAAAGCGTACTCATCAATGGGGTCAACCAGGAAGAGAACCTCAAAGTTCTTCTGCTTGAGGCTGTCAAGGAAAGGAGACTTGGCGACAGCCTTGATAGACTCGCCAGTGATGTAGTAGATTTGCTTCTGGTGCTCAGGCATGCGGGTGACATAGTCGGAGAGGGAGGTGACCTCATCACCCGACTTGGTAGACTGGTAACGGAGCAGCTTAGCGAGAGTCTGGCGGTTCTGAGCATCCTCGTGGACACCAAGTTTGATGTTCTTGCTGAAGGCAGAGTAGAACTTGTCAAACTGCTCACGATCTTCAGCAATTTCGGTGAAGAGCTCAAGGGTCTTCTTGACAATGTTCTTCTTAATAACCTTCATGATTTTGTTCTGCTGCAGGGTCTCACGGGACAGGTTAAGAGGAAGGTCCTCAGAATCAACAACACCCTTGATAAAGCTGAGCCACTCAGGGATGAGGTCGGTGGCATCGTCGGTGATGAAGACACGGCGAACATAGAGCTTGATGTTGTTCTTGGTCTTCTTGGTCTCGAAGAGATCGAAAGGAGCACGCTTAGGAATATAGAGGATGGCACGGAACTCGAGCTGACCCTCAACGGAGAAGTGCTTGACGGCAAGGTGATCCTCCCAGTCATTGGAGAGGGACTTGTAGAAGGCAGCGTACTCCTCCTGGGTGATATCAGCAGGGTTACGGGTCCAGATGGGCTTGGTCTTATTGAGCTCCTCCTCCTCGATCTTGCTCTCCTTGACAGTCTTGGTCTTCTTCTCCTTCTTCTCTTCTTCTTCTTCATCAACCTCCTCAATCTTGGGCTTCTTCTCATCGCCCTCCTCTTCTTTGGTCTCCTCCTCCTCGTCAGGAACCTCCTTCTCGGTTTCCTTCAAAACGTGGAGGTAGATGGGGTAAGAGATGAACTCGGAGTGCTTGCGAACAACCTCCTTGATGCGGCTCTCGTTGAGGTAGTCAGTCTGTTCATCCTTCAAGTGGAGGATCATCTTGGTACCACGGCCAAGGGGCTCGCCCTCGGTGTCCTGGGTGAGGGTGAAGGTACCGCCGGCAGCAGACTCCCAAACGTACTGCTCATCGTCGTTGTGCTTAGAGATGACAGTGACGCGGTCAGCGACAAGGTAAGCAGAGTAGAAGCCAACACCGAACTGGCCAATCATGGAGATATCGGCACCTGCGGAGAGGGCTTCCATGAACTGCTTGGTACCAGAGCGAGCGATGGTACCAAGGTTGTTGATCAGGTCCTAGACAAAAGCGATATGGTTAGATTGGGGTCTGTTTAGGCATATTGCCAACCAAAGACAATATTGACTTACAGCCTTGGTCATACCGATACCGGTATCACGGATAGTCAAGGTCTTAGCCTCCTTGTTGGGAATGATATCGATGCGGAGGTCCTTGCCCGAGTCGAGCTTGGAGGGGTCCGACAAAGACTCATAGCGGATCTTGTCAAGGGCATCGGAGGCGTTGGAGATAAGTTCACGCAGGAAAATCTCCTTGTTGGAGTAGACAGTGTTGATGATAAGAGAGAGGAGCTGAGAGATCTCAGCCTGGAACTCAAAAGTCTCGGACATGATGAGGGATGTAGGTTATATTCTATTCCACGTCGAATGTTGTGTTAGTCATAAGTATACTGCAAATAGGTAGAATATAGAATCCCAAGATATTCATGGAGAAATCTACGTGAATCTCCGGATGAGGACAGAAGAGTTCAGAATAATTCTCAACTTTGGCAGCAGCTCTCCTCACTCAGGTGGTTGGGGGGGGTGGGAAGGGAACAAGACTCACAAGGTATAACAACGTAAGATCGTTAATTCAAAGAGAAAAAGGGACGATGGGAGAGTGAGATTCCTAAAAAAAAAAAAAAAAAAAAAAGACCTGCTCCAGAAGGGAAAACAGACTTAAGATAGATAGTTGAGGAGGAGAAGAAAGCAGGAGAAAAGTGTGAGAATGAATGAAGAAGAAAAGCTACCGCAAGCGACGGGGCGGAGAACTTAATGTTTGGCTGAGGGACACAAAAATTCGGCGCGGGCGTTTCTACGGCGATCCAGCAACTTCCACGCTCTCTCCGCCTTGTCTCGACGGGGATCTTCCAGTCTCTTCTACTCGATACCAGATACAAGACCACAGCCTGGATTGAATCCATGGTTCTCAAACAGAAAAAAAAAATTTAAAAAAAAAAGTTCAGAATAAAAGGAAAATTTAGTTCATTCAATTGGGGCCCTTTTTTACATTTTTTAATTTTCTTTTGGCCTCATCTTTAACCGATCATTTCCTGCTCTTCCACCCCTTCCTTTTGTTGCCCCTCCCCCTCCAAAGCTGATTTCCGATCTAATTCACTTTCGTTGTGCCTCAGGCTACTAATCTAGAACTTTCCGCTCCACCATTTGTTGTCGGCGGAATGGGGATTTTCCGTACAGTACCTTACATTCAAGTACAGTACAGACAATACCATCCCGATGTCCCCATTTCTCTGCCACGATGGAACTTTCTAGGAGCTATTGATCTCCTAAGTACCAAATTCTAGGTACATACAATGTACATAACTCGTACCTCCCTGTCTGATCTTCTGGCCCACTTATCTTTGATGTGGTCGTCGGTCCAATGTCTTGAGCTCTTGCAATACACATATTACATACAGACATTCAACTCCAGTCTTCACTTAAGCTGGGACCTGGCTAACAAACGTTGTTTATCTAGATCACATGAATCAATCCAGCCAAAGCCCTCCTGCCATGTGCACTGACCTTCTACCAATGAATGCCATTTGTGTATTCTGCCAGAGAAGTGGGAGACAGTCCATACATATAGAATCACAAGGGAGCGGAGCTGAGACGAACGGTTTGCATTCATTTTCAGATAATCCCGGACAATTCATAATACATGTGTAACTAAAAAGCAGGCAGCCATTCCTTCCCTCCTTGCTTGCAGGATGAATTGGATCAGGTGTAACTCAGTAAGAGCCACTGTGCCTGTAGAGGGAAACAGTCATTCGCCACCCATACCGTGGAGTTCCCCATGAATAGGACGTGTATCAAACATGTATATCAAAGTAAAAGACAAAACAGCGGCCACCACCCAGTTTACAGTTTTAAATGAGACGAAGCATGTCTGGAAGGAGAGAGACATAAAGAAAAGAAGTTAGATTGAAACAACCGTAAAACAAAATAGAAATAAGACCATAAGAGAACAATACGGGCATTTAGCTCGCTATGCTAGAAGCAAGAAATAGTTAAATAGGTCATGACAACACATTCATGGAAACAAAAAGTCATGGAAGCACCGACCAATAAGGAAAAGCCCTGTTGACGAAATATGAAAGAACAACTTTTCCAACCGCTAATATGCAGTGTGACAGATGAATGGGTCACATAACACATGTCATTATCAATAAGAGGGAGTAATACATGTCCTGGGTCACCATAAGCATCTGAACCTGTATGCTGTTGCGGGCCAGGATGAAGGACTAAGAGTCGAATGACCAACAGGAGAGGGGCGGGTGGGGCAAGGAGAAAGAAAGAAGAGGAAGTGACAGGTCAAGAAGAAAAGACTGCTTGCGGTAAATAATCTTCATCCTGATTCCAGTAGTTTCTTTTCTTCACTATTCTTTTTTTTTTGCCTCTCCGGTTTAAAGAAAGGAGAAGAAGTGATCTGCTCTAAGCAGCCTGAGCTTGGTTGCGGGCTTTGGCGTTGACGTTGCCGCTACCGCCACGACCACGGGGAGCGAAGCCACCACGACTATCACGCTGGAAGCCACCACGGCCCTGACTGCCGGCACGGTCGCCACGACCACGGCCAGAGCCACCACGACTGGCGCCGTAATTGGTATTTCCCCCGTAGGCGCTAGTACGAGAACGGCGTTCCTCTACGGAGATCTGCTCAGTTCCGATCTGGTGCGGGTTGGCAGCAACAGCAGCGGCGTAGCCGGCAGGGTCAGCGAACTCAACAAAAGCACAGTTCTGATGACAATTAGTTTCTTTCCAAGCAATTACGTCTTCATGGAGGAACCTACCTTCTGACGGCTCACATCGAAGTGCTTGAGCTTTCCAAAGCGGGACAAAGTCTGCTTGAGCAAGTTTGCATCGACCTTATCAGTGACGTTCTTGATATAGGCCATAACGTTTTGGTCATCACCCGCACGAGGCTGGGTCTTCTTATGGTCGTGACCGGCAGTCTGCCAGCCAGACCCATCATTGGAAGGAGGCTGGCTAGGAGTGCTCTCAGTAGCAGGAGTGGGTGTGGCAGCCGCAGCAGCAGGAGCAGGGACCGATTGGGCGGAGTTGGTAGCAGGAGCGGGCTTAACGGGAGCAACGGGAATTGCAGGCACAACAGGAGCAGTAGCGCCGGACTTGGAGGCAATGTTGGCCCAGGTCTTTGGTACGGCTCTGGCGGGTACAGCAGGCTCTTTGGCCGGAGCGGTATTTTCCTTCTGTGTTGTTGGGGCAGGCGTAGGCTCCGGTGTGGCGGGCTTTTCCGTCTTGGACGCCTCAGATTCAGCCAAGGCGGCAGGTTCCTGAACATCCTCGCTGCTCTGGGTCTCAGTTCCATTGACCTGAGGTGCAGGTTCCTCTGGCTGCTCTTCCTCGGCCTTTTCTTCCGCCTTTTCAAGCTTCTCATCCACCTTGGCAACTGAGACTTCGTTGGCCTCCTGGGCCTCCACAGTCGGGGCACTCTCAGTCTCAGGCTGTGCGGGCTCATCGGTAGCCGGCTGTGCGGCAGGCTCGGCAGGCGCAGCGGGAGCGGGCTCCTCATTCACGATATCCTCCTCATCAACCAAGTATCTGAAGATATCATTGAGAACATAGTATCCATTAGGTTGCTCAGCAAGAACGAAGGTCTGGATAAACTTGCGAGATGGCTCGGACTTATTAGAGATCTCACCGATGACTGAGATCAAGATGTTGTCAAATGAAGCCTGAGAATCGACGTTCAAAACGCGGACCTTGCAGTCTTGAAAATCAAGCTGTTTGATTTTCTCATTGATAGCCTAGGGGAGGGTAAAAAATCAATGATGAAGCTCATTGGAAAAAAAAAAAAATTTCCTAGGAGCGAAGAGAGTGGACTCACCTTCTGGCCCACAGCAACAGGAACCGACTCTGCTTCAGTTCCAAAGACCAACTGCGAGCGCCGAGAGTAGAAAAGATGCAACTTGTCTGGACTACGGCTCATATTGGTATAGTATTGCTCAACAAAATACCAGCCGACCTCGTCCTTAGAGATCGCATTTTTTTGCTCACTAGGAGGGGCATTGGTGGGAGTGGTGGATTGCGCTGGCTGGAAATTCGAGGCATTGTTGGCAACAGCATGGGCATGGTTGTAAGAGTCATGATAGGCGTGGGGTACAGGGTAATTGCCGTTAACGGGGGCTTGAGTATCGGCCATTGTGTTATCGAAGAAAGAGTTGAAGGTCGGGTTGGGGATAAAAGCCGAGATGGTCTAGGATGTCGTGAGAAGGTAGAAGTAGAGGTATATGAGCAATGAGCCTCTATATGATGAAAAGTGGAGGCTAAGAAATCTAGTGACTTTTCCTTGTTCGCTTTGACTAAACCCCCATGTCAGTCAGTAATTGAAGACCAAGTGTATCGCAGGAGAAAAGGTGGGGAGGATCAATTCTCACAATGCTAGAAAGAAAATCAATAGACCCTAATAGATGCAATAAGATGAAGAAAAGAAGAATGTCTGCGTTAAAAGCGTCTGCGTCGTAGTAGTGCAAAAGGAAAATAGAGGAAGATTCTTGTGCGATTTCCAATCAAGTCAAATTTGCGAAGGAGGGCAAGAGAGGAGATAGTCGAAAGGAACTGAATACGTTGAAGATTGATGGAGAGAAGGTGATCAACAGGAAAAATCTGATGAATGGCAAATAGTCGAAAGGAGAATGGGATAAGAAAGCGGTAGGTAGGTAGCTAACAGCTGGAGTAGGAAAGAGGAAAAGAGAGGGAAAGTCGACGGGATGCTTAGCAGTTTGCAAAATGAGTTGACTTAGACTTGAAAGGTCGGTTGCAGTGCGGCGCCTCTTAGCGGCCCATTTCCTTCCCTTACCGCCTGCCTAACCCGCGAGTGGATCTCCATCGGTGGCATTCCGTTTACATCACCGAATACTGGGTGAATCACCCGTCAGTATAGCAGCCAATACAAAGTAGAATTCCAGCTCCTACGTTCAAATGTATGGGAATCTTAAGGGACCAGATCGGAATTTGTAACCGTCCACTGAGGCATGCTGAAACTGCTTCTATCGAAACGATCACTGGCTCTTACCAACGAAGAACTATAGTCGAGCATGAAGGTCTATTGACACTTCTAAGAAAGTAGTTGCACTTATCAGCGACGAAAACTCAATCAGAAGGTCACACTAGATGTTGAAAAAAAAAAAAAAAAAAAAAACTTAACATCGGAAATAAATAACTGGCTTGGAAGAGGGGTATGATGGACATGAGAGGGCAAGCTTCTCATCAACGAAGACGTATAGTAGGTACAGAAATTCATTCACAAGGTTCACCAAAGAAAGCCGCGGAACATGCAATATAGGCAAGCAGGAGATTATTCAGGGAAACAGGTGCTCGTAGAAAAAAAAGAAAAGAAAAGAGAAAGAATTAAGGACCAAAAATAAGTATCAACTCAAGGCCTCTATACGAAACTTATCAGATAGACCACAGATCGTCTACGAGTTCGTAGACTCAACAGCGGCCTTCTCGTTCAAAACTGGCTTGCGCATGACAGCATCCTGACCAGTCATTCTCCGGTCAAGAGCTCGTTCCACCTTCGCACTCAGGGCTAGCTTGCTCAAGTTATCGCTTTTTTCGGGAGTGGGGACAAAGCGTTGCTTCTGGAGAGGTTTGTTCTCCAGGCGCTCCAGCCCGTCGCGCAAGTGATGGAATTCGGCCAAACGAGGATCGCCGCTTGGTAGGCTTCCAATGGTGCCTGACGAAGCAATCGAAGGGTTTCCGCTTACGGCCGAAAATCTTTTCGACGCTCGGTTCTAGGCCCATGGTCAGAGAATCTGGTCCGGCACAGATGGAATATTAACCGGTGAACCTACAGAAGGGGCCATGATCGGTCTCTCAGAGTCAAGCGAGTGATGCCTAGCCATGGTAGTATTGGCACTGTGGTAATGGTCCTTGGAGGCCGACGGCCGAAAGCAATGAGTGGTTGTGGTTGAGAATCGAGAGTAGGCAGACAAGTGTTGAACTACCCAGGTAGCAGCCTGCCGAGGTTAATACATTGCAGAGAAATTTATCTCGGGTTAACGCGAACACGATAAATAGAAGATATTACTATGATGGATAAGGGGTAAATGATAGTAGGAGGGAATAAATTAGACTGCACAGAAAGTATGGGGCAAGCGGCAAGACTGGCAAGTCAAGTTAAAAACATACCTGAAAATTCCGAGTAAGACTCTGACCCCTAATAGAATATAGAATATATCGCGGGGCGACCTAGAACTGGACGAAAGGTCTGGGAAAGTATTAAAATGAGAAAAATAAGCAGATAGAGGAGAGAGAGGGCTTGTCGCTGAGGCCAAGGAGACCCGTACGTAGACCAAGTGACATGCAGGAGAAGATTCAGGAGAGCCGAAGGCAACGGATGACAATGTGGGTCTCTCTCTCTGCGACCCTCAAAAAGATTAAACTTGGCCACGCGGGAATCGTTGGCCTTTGACCAGTTTCCTTTTATTTTTATTTTTATTTTTATTTTTTTTGCCTCCTTTTCCCTCGATACTGTTCTACGACAAAGCAAGATACAAAATTGAATCTTGCTTTGATAACTCAAAGCCAACGATCTATTGACGTAGCCATGATGTGTAGGGGTGACGGTTAAATACATGAAGGATTCGTCCGTAACTAAAATACTCCATCAAACTGACCATATATTAAGTTATAGCAATAATCATTTTGATACTGCAATGAACATGCTGAAAATGCTGTTCGTCCTTTCGTGTGTTGGAAAAGGTGACTTCAGCGAAGTCAGAGGGGCCCTTTTTTCTGTCTGTCTGTGTGGGTTAACAGTAAAGAGGACAAAGTGAGATACCACAGTCCGTTTGCTGACTAAGGGGAGAATCTTTGAATTGAGAGAGCTTTCTTTTTCTCTTCTTTGTTTTCATGCGTTCTTTGATTCACGTAGCATCTGAAGCAGAAGATCCACGTTCTTTCAACAGCTACATAGATATATATGATCAGACTGCCACGTGCAGAGGCTCTTGGCAGCCACGCGGGTTGACCTCTGTTGCACCCGCGTTAGCTCGACTACCTGTAGAAACTGGAAGCTGAGCATCTTGGCCTTCAAGTCTCAAGTGGAGGGCAGAACAGGATAGCTGTCATAGAAATAGTATTTATTCTTCCTCTCTCTCTCTCTCTCTCCCCCCCCTTTTTTTTTTTTTTTCCTATCTTTCCATCGTTAGTAGTCTGAATGTATCTAGGACGGTATATATACGAGTACACAGTACTCCGTACAATATGTCCATGTAATGAAATATATCCACTTCGATAAGATACCCATACTAAATAGAGGGATGTGTTATTTGGACGAGACGCTAAACTAAAATAGGCCAAAAATATGCAGTGTAATAGTAATACTCAATATTTGTCTATTTTCTGAGTCTAAGACCTTTTTAACTTTTTCTGTTAAGGCAGAATTATATAGTACACAAAATTATATGAAGAAAAGAAGGGTTCCTGGGTTCTTTTATACAATATTAGAACACATATAAAGGTTATTCTAAGATATCTACAGTATTCTATATAAGAGCTTTATTATATTAAAAAATTAGTTTGAAATAAAAATATCTATATATATCTTGAAAAGGAGAAGAGAGTATATATTTAGTATTACAATTACATGCTGTAACTATTGCCTATTTTGGATTAGTGTTGTGCCTAAAAGCACCGAGAGTATTGTAGAGGAAGTTGTTTTGTTCATTCATCTATCTAAGCAGCCGATAAGCGGCCGCCATACCGCCTTTCCTACCGCTTTCGGCAGAATACATGAAAGCCACAACAATTAGCGTCTCATCCAAATAACAATTCCCATAATAGATTACTGCGTATTACAGACCAAACTAAATAGTTTCAACTTGAGATCAAGGCTAAGGTTAGCTTCAAGAACCAAACAGCGTGGAGTTCGCCCCCGCCATGACTTCATGGATTTTTGGCACTATTAGTTAACTATAACTACGTTGTATATTGATTACATTACACTAGATGACCTCCAAGCAAGCGACAACGATAAGCGGTGTAGAAAGCGGTCTTGGCTCTTGGATCACCCGATTCTCTCCCACGAACCCTTGGTCACGATAAAAACACACAGGAACTACAAGTATTTACGGGACTTTCTAATTTTAAGTTCAGTAACCCCTCCCAAGATCGATATTTATTTTACAACAATAAAGATTAGTTGTCCGGTGTAAAATGCCGAAGCCAAAGTCTCTTCTGAAAGACTCCAAAGCCAAGAACAAAAGGAAAACCACACAGCAGGTGCCGCATTCAAGGGATTCCCTTTACCCATGCGCTTGCTCACTTTTGACAGGCTCCCGAGACTGCAGATGAGTTCTTAGCTGGTGAGTCTATCTGGAACCCAGACTTGCATCACTGTCCTACTATGTACTTGACGAACAGAGACTGTTAAATCCACTATCGATGTAGCCATAGCTAAACTAGTGCAGTTGGCGTCGAACAGGAAGAGGCTGGCGAAAAATGGCGGGCTGGTGACGCAGCAAAATCTATGCGCTTTTTTATGCGTGCCATCGCAACTTATGATGACGGCCTGAAAAAGTATCCTCATGCATTTGACTTGGCATACAACAAGTATGTAAGCAGACAGCTCTATCCTCACAGTTAGATGCATAAGTGGGCACGCCATTGCAATCAGCAACATAAGCTTACCGTCAAATAGAGCAAGAGTTCAATATGAAATCACCCAGCACCCCAAGTTGGCTGCACAGCTGCCTGCTCCACTAGCAGATATTTTGAACATAACACTACAGTCCCACAGGGAGGCCCTCAATCTAGATCAAGACAATGCGGATGCTCTTTTCAACACTGCTCAAGTGCTCACAAGCCTTGCTGAGGTAGTCACGGATACCAAACATCCGTCTGACGCACAGCTTTGCCGGGCTGTCAAATACCTGCAGGAGGCAATAGAGCTCTTCCAACGTTGTCTCATTATTCAAGAGATGCGATATACTGAAATGCAGGAACAGATCAAATTGATGGAGTCTGGAAATGTGGGCCCGCGCGAAGAAGAAATGCAAGAGCAAACTATGCAGGAAGGCGCAGAGGATGCAGGCGAGTCGAAGCCTTCTGATCAACAAGAGCAATGGGCTGCTGTTATTGAGCCAGTGACCAAGGATACCCTCGTTGACACAGCGGTGGCACAGTTGGAGACGCTCACAACTCTCTGCAACTTGCTTACCTTTAATCCTGGGGTCGGCCTTGGTTGGGTTGAAGAATCCTCTGCAGACTTGCTCCAAGAGAAGATCTCTGCATACGTTGAGGGTTCTAGCAGACACTACGAGGCATCTTTGGCCCGTGCCAAATTTACCTGTGCTCTGAACGAGGTGTTGTACCGAAGTGGGCGAATCGAGGTTGAAACTTATCAAACAGAAATCACACATGTCTTTGGTCCTGATCTAAACCTCTCTGCGGACCCCGAAGGCCTCTGTAGCAAAGCAGATGCGCTCACGTCGTTCAACACAGCCGTTACGGATTTGCCTCCCTCGAATGACCATGAGGTGTTTACGAAGTCACTAATGTTGCGTTGGCAATCGCTATCGGTTGCTTTGGATGCTTTGACGAAGGCTTCCAAACTTCCTGATGCAGATAATCTGCCCAAAATTCATGTTGCACGAGGAGACGTAGAGATGAATAGGTGGAGACTTGGCATGCCTCCGTGGGAATACACCATGGCTCAACAAAATGCCACTATTCTCCTCCGGAACGCTCAAACATACTATCGAGGCGCTGCAGCTCTCGCACGCAGGGACGGGAATGCAGACGAAGAACGTGATGGAACGTGCAAGGAAGCCTTGGCAGCCGCTTTAGAAGGCCAGAAAGACAAATTGCAACAGCTCAAAGCCACCGCATTTAAGGAGCTTATGATCGTTGCGGAAGATGTGGTGGATGACGGGTGGCTAAGCCCCGGGGATATGGAAGCACTGCTGTCGTAAATCTGCCCCACTTATCAGGTCAGTAAGGCAGCTCGTTCGCGCATGGTGACGTTCTGCGCGTCGTAGGCAACAAGTATTTAGCCACCAATCATATATCCGATCTAGCTTTAACTTCTTCTTCCATCTGTAAAGCCTCCTTGCGAAGATTGTGCTCCGCACTAAACTGCGTAGCAGCGGTCGCAGCGCCCTCCAAGTCTGCAACCACAGACTCAAGGTTTGACAGTAGATTCTCAATCTCTGACCTCTGAGACTGGACCCGCTGAGATAACGCCACGTTTTCGCTCTGGGTAAACTCTATGTTCGCATTCAACGTTGTTTGGGCTTCCTGCAAATGCGGAGCAAGACGTGCGCGATATAGTTCCTCCGGAGTCAAGGTATGGGGCCTAAAAGAGATATTAGCTAAAAGTTGGTACCATGATAAATCGTCAAGGTTGATGGAAAGAAGGCTCCCCTCCAAGGCAAAGAAACGAAGAAAAAGTAAAAAGAAAGAAAGAAAGAGAGTAAGAAAACGAAGACGAAGGAAAAGGGAAGCCATACGCAACATCCCCGTGTCCCTGTCCACGGTCTCTCCTATGTCTCGCCTCCCCCATCAATCTATCCAACTCATTCAACTGCCTTATCGCATCTCTCTCGTGTATAATATCTTCGAACTCAGCCCTTGCACTTTCTTCCAGTTTCGCATTCAGCTGCCTCCATACCGACTCTAGACTAGCCGGAACATGTTTCGCAGGGGTGGGAAAGCACCCGGAGAAGTTGGCATACGAATTTGCTCGCAACGTACGCAACAATGCCTGGTTGAATGTCTTCTGTAGGACGGTAGCGCGCGGGCCGGGTGTTAGAGGGACTGGCACTGGTGGGGGCGGAGAGGGCGAAGCGTCTTGTCTGGAGGGATTGAGATGGTTGCTGCTGTCTTCGGCCATTTCCTTTATTTTTTTTCCTTGATTCAGTTTAACCCAATATATCCTCCTTTTCTGTTATGTCTTTTGTCCGGCGTACGTGATCGTGTTGTGTTGATAAGTATGGTTTGAAAGGTATAGGCCGATGTCTAGAAGGAAACGCGTCGGTCACATGATAGGCTTAGGTCCGCAGTGGGCCCGAGAGATCACCCGTTTATGGAGTAGGTATGATTAAAATAACTAGTCCAAACTTTCTATTTCTCTTCGCTCAGCAAGATGAACAGCATCCATGAGTGCCGGTAGTTCGTTGGAAAGGGATAGCTGTCTTTATATTATTTCATTAGACGCTGGTGTTAATGCTGGGATTTGCACTGTCTATGTACATGCACATATTACTTTACAGTCACTTCATCTACCTGATATCCATCGGTTCCATGTGCCCTGTTCACTCCATGATCTTTGAATAACTATATACCGCCGAGCCAAACACTATTGGAACTAGCGAGTCAGACGTCGAACACTGTCGTTCGAACTGTAAGTCTGTCCGACATGTCCTTCATATTCTTCTCGGTTTCTACATCCAGGGTCTCTCACTAGACTCCCTCTCCTGATATCCCGATAAACCGCCTTGAAAGCCGGCCAGGAGATGGACATATAAATAATACTGTTCCAAAATCCCTGGAGCGGAAGAACAAAGCTCGATGCATAGTTCAGGGCAAAGTTGTATGAGTTAGGATAGGCAAGTGAATATGCCCGGTTGACCGTCGAGGGAACCTAAGGACTATTAGCCATAATTTTACCTAGAGTTGACCATGGTAATTACGAACCCACGTGACAATTAAGGCAATGAAGAAGAGCATCGCATACTTGGTATAAGCCCAAGCCGCCGTACTTGTGTCGGACATTGCGCCGCGGCGGGACCACGACTCTGAATGAGAATGTTTTATTGCTTTTAATGGGAGGCCACTGGACTGCCTGCTCATGAAGCCGCCCTCGATGGTGACAGAATACGGGTTGTAGAATGGGGAGACGGGGTTACGCAATTCTTCGGCAGTTGGGTAGTTCCCTTGTTGAGAGCGTGTAATTTCACTGGTCACGCGGATTTCTGTTGTTGCCCTAGTGTAGGTAGGCTCGAGGGCGCGTTCGGTATCGCGCATCTCGAACCCCTCATAGTGTTCAGCAGTCGGCTCGCCTTCATACCTAGGATAGGAATCCGCCGAGTCGAGGTTGTCAAGCTGCCGCAGTTGGCGTCGCCTTTCCCAGATGACACCACCCGTGCGGATATAGATGGCCAACGTCAAAACAATAAAGAACCAAACTGGACCGTAGAAGACCGCGATACGTAGCCAGTCCCAGGTCTGCGAAACCCAACACCAGAGCTACAGCTATGTGTGAGAACTAGTCTATCTCACTAGGTTCGGTCACTTACCACCGCATAACCGTAGACCTTGCCCCGGGCCTTGGTCTTAATGAAGAAATACGCGACGGAGGGGATGAGAGGTAACCCGTAGCAGAAGAGGAGATATTTCCACTCTAGCCGTCGTAGTTGTTCGGAGTTGTATTTGTAAAAGAATGTTAAGTAGACATTACAAGCCATGGCAAAAGTCCATAGGGCATCGGCGGGCATGAACCTGGTCACGGAATCAGTAGTTTGGCAAGTGAACCACCGTTTTGTCTCTCGGCTTCTATGAACTAACCATTGGATCAAGAAGGCCTGGAACTGACACAGGGGGCTGCTGAGCCCCATGTGAATGCCTGACTGGGAGATGACGGTAGCGATGTTGGTCATTAAATTGCCCCAGGAGGCGTAAAACACCAGCCGGTTGATGGGCTTGCGAAAAGCACTCGAACCGAGGAACGAGACGACAATGATGGCGGTGCCGGTTAAAGAGATGGCCGAGCAAACCCGTTCAGTTACTGAGATGGCGTATAGTTGTTGTTGCGACAGAGACATTGCGAAAAGACCATGCTGAACCCGAAAGCAAAAACGAATACAAAATTGGTATTTGGGTATCACGCGCAGAAACCACAATCCAGAAAGCGATACAGAAGCAAAATCTGATATAATATACGTAGGGACGAACAAAGCCCCTTGTCATCTATCACTCGAGGGGGCAATATAGCAAATCAATCAGGAAGAACAAGACCAGCTCTGCGGGCGAGGACGCCCAAGTGGGAGTAAAGATCTGACGTGTATCGGAGGTACATCGCACAAGAGTATCATTTATGGGCACAGTCCTCTTTAAAACATGACGACATGAAAGTATATGGAGAAATTGCCCATGGCCAGACAAAGGGATCAGAGGGTCAACCTTTCATGAGTTGGGGTACGGAGTAGATGGAACCACAATCGTCCTCTCGCCTCCACATGAGTGTTTACTATACGAACGCTCATTTGTGGGGTGGGAATGAAGGGGATCTTTGGGTCTTGGACGCTGGTAAAGTTTGTTCCGAAAAAGGGTGCGATTACCATAGTAGTTTATGTATGATGAGGGGAGAGAAAACAAAAAATAGAAGGAGGAAAAAAAAGAAAAGAAAAGAAAATCCCCTCCATTTCTAACTTTTCGCTCTATCACACCCCAGTCCTTGAACGAGAAAGGAGAAGTATATCCATACCCACATACATACATATATGAATAAATCAAGATATCAAGAAATAACTGAAAAAAAAAAGAAAGAAAGAAACTTCAATAAAGAGTACTCTATAGAGTAATGATAACTGGTCACACGCTTTTTGTAGGATACTAATACTACTACTACTACTACTACTACTACTACTACTACTACTACTACTACCAACACCTAGTCAAAAGTCGTGATTCTACCGTTGGTGGAAGTAACTTTAAGGGTATGTCCAGAATGGTCCCAACCAAAGGCACGGTCAACGGATCAAAAGGCAATTGCTCCCGGCTCATGCTTGGCAGTCTTTAGTGGTCCTGTTTTTCAGAAGCATTAAGTGTCCATAGAAAGAACACAGGCATATTGAACATATCCACCTATATATCTTTATACTCCCCTAGGAGACTCCCTTGCGTGACATCACTCAAAGTTGGTCCGACCTTCAATTCCCGACAGATCCCCATTTATTTCCACTCTCCATACGCCTCCTCCTAGATCTCCATGCCAGTGGCAGGAAGTGACCATGGCTCTAACTGGTCTCTAATAAGCTATGTCTGCCTTAGTGCAGCAAATAATATTTATAGAGAAAGGGCAACTCCGTGTGAAAGTACCAGGCCAAGTCCGACAGTAAAAGAAAAAGGTATGGGCAAATAAACGCCACAAACCCCCTGTGATCCACACGAAACAAAGAACAATCGTTATTTAGTTTGGGATTTGCACAGCTAGCGGTGGGCGTATGATCCACGGTTGTTGCAAAAACAAAGGGACATGTGTATCAAGTATGGCTCGAAATATACCCTCGCCGACTCCAGCCTTTGCCCAATAGACAATCGTCCTTGAGAGAAGTCAGGAAACCGATTATGATCATGGTGAACCGCGAAAAAAAAAAAAAAAAAAAGGCCACGGTTTACGTAGCTGAGCCTTCATTAATCGGCCCGGTCTTTCATTTCAATAAGAATAGTAGGGTTTTGGTCAAAAACCGCGATTCATATGCCATGCCGCATAGACATCCTAATAATGGAAAAATACGAACATGACATTCTATTCGGAATATGGTGGTGTAGAGCGCTGTGCGTGGCCATGCAACGAACTGTACAGCCGGATAAACAAACCAGAATAAGTATTTAGTGCGAAATTTGTTCTCAGGTATAACGCCATGCTCCCTCCCAATCTAACAGAGACCCGTCGTCTCGTCATTTCTGTCAACAAATGATAAGTGTAAAAAGAAAAAGGGAAAAGAGAGGAAAGAAGCGGAAACAAAACGATGAGTCCCCTGTTTCATTAATACGCCTGCTGGGAAGCAACCATCCCTCCGTATCCGGACATTTGCTGTTGCTGTTGCTGTTGCTGCAGCAGCTGTGCCTGCATTTGAGGCAGATCGTGGAACCACGGGTGCTGCAGTGCGTCGTGAGCACTAACCCGCATCTCGGGTCGTAGTTGGAGCATCCTGTTTAGCAAATCGAGCCCGAGAGGATCAATTTGGGGCAATATGAGGCCTAAATCTTGTGTCGCATAGACGTGGAAATTGGGCTTGTATTCTGGCAATTGAGAGATACCGGGCCACGAGCGCTCCGACGGCGTTCCCATGAGACGGAAGATCTTCTGCAACTGATCCTCATTAGTGGTGCCTGGGAACAGTGGACGGCCAGTGTACAATTCCGCCATGATACACCCAGCAGACCAAATGTCAATACTTGTATTATACGTCCTGCTGCCGAGGAGGACATCGGGGGCGCGGTACCATAGGGTCACTACTTCGTTCGAAAATGTATTGACGGGAATGCCAAAAGCCCGCGCAAGGCCGAAGTCTCCTAGTTTGAGTTGCCCCTTTTTGTTAATCAAGAGATTCTGGGGTTTCAAGTCGCGGTGGAGGACTCGATTCTCGTGACAGAACGCGATACCCTTGAGGAGCTGGTGCATGAATGACTTGATCGTCGCCTGATCTAATTGTCCCCGTTCGCCTCTGGTGTCCATGTACTTCTTCAAATCCTTGTCCATATATTCAAAAACGAGCATCAGCTTGTTTTCGGTATGGATGACGTCGTAAAGCGAAACAATGCTCTCATGCTTGAGCTCCTTCATCAATGATATCTCCCGAATGGCCGTTGATGGTGTCCCCTCCTCGGAATCGAGATGAATTTCCTTCAAAGCCACTAGCTCGCCAGTCTGACGATTTCGGCCCTTGAATACCTGCGACCGTCTGTATGAGCAAAAGCACGAAACTTGATACCGGGCGATACGGTTGCGCAGAAAAGGTCAGAGTGGTGTAACGCCAGGGTCAACGTACAGTGGCATACGTTCCTTCTCCAAGCTAGAGGCAGATTAGTCACACATTTTCCTCCACGGATTGAATATATGAAGAATGAAAGAAGCGCGCACCTTTTCGAGCTGTTGAAAAGAGCTAGGCTGCTGCGCTTTGTCCATTGTCGACGACGCGGCAGGGTGCGAAGTTGGGGATTTTGGCGGCAGGGGTTTCGGGCGTTGATGGTTGAAAAGAAAAGATTTTGGAGACACCAGCGTCGATACAATGCCCAGATAAGTAGATGTAGGGTGGTGTTGTTGTTGTTGTTGTTGTTGTTGTGGGTGAGGATTCCTCTGGATTCTTAAGCTGCTGTGATTGTCCATGTCCGTGATCCCCTTGTTCCAATTAATTGGAGCCTTGTTTTTGAGCCCCGCGGCGGATAACCACAAGGCCAAAGGGTGCAAAGATCGGTGGTTACCGTACCGTACGAGATCACATTACACTTGTTATGCTGTAACCCGACGACCAGTTGCTTGGGCGGCTATGTAAGATACGGCACATATATACATACATACATCCCTATTGCAATCTTAGTACTCCGTACGAAATAAGGTATACTGATAGTATTAGTGTGTACGTACCCTATGAACTACTAGTATATAGGTAGCAATTACGAATCCTCTTATCTTCTACATCATCATTGGAAAAGTCGTACGTATACACGTGTCAAACAATAGCGATGACTGGGATGTTCGACTCCCCCTCCAAAAAAAAAAAGGGAATATTCTCACAAAACTCTCTGTTCTATACAGTTCTATCATCAGGGAGGAAATTCCCCAATACATCCGGACAGAGCCTTTTCACGCATGGACAAGTGAGGGAAGCTGTGCGGCAACAGGGGGCAAAATTAGATCGGAGTTGAGACTGCAACGAATATGAGGGGCATCCGGCTCCATCTTCCCAAAGAGTACCGACTCGTTTCGGATCCCCCCGATATTGATTATGCCTATAGGCATACCCCTTTTATAAGCTCGTTCAACTAACCTCCATGCTGAAAAAGTGGCAAGACTGCTTCCAAGAATGAGAAGCCTTCCTGCGTCATCAATTGCCTCCTCTGCAGCCGTCCTCACTGCTGGGTGAATATTTTCTCCGAACATAATGACCGCAGGCTTCAGAACTCCAGCAGTCGAAGATGGTAGCCATGCACCATCGCTTTCTACCTCTACCCTAGCCGGCGTGCCATCTCGGAGACGAGGAGGTTTCTCTAGACATGTAGGACAAGACGGGTATCGGAACGTAGAGTAAGGTGCCTCGGCTAAATCCACATCTCCATCTGGGTTAAGCTTAAGGCCTTTCCGTCGCTGCTCCTCAGGATTATCTGTGTTAAGAGCCCCGGTGTCAACCATCTTGGCCAAAAACTCTGCCCAGGCCGGATTAACCTTTTCGAGGGACTTCTGAAATTCGTCTCGGGGAAATTGATTTTGACAGCTGGTACAGACAACCGACCTTAAGTAGCCATGAAGTTCGATGGTTGGTAGTTTCGAATGAGCTATTGGATGGAAAGAGTCGACATTCTGTGTCACTACGGAGCTGAGATATCCCTTTGCGCCGAGGTCCCTAATAGCCCAATGCGTTGAGTTAGGCTTTGCTTTCACAAGGCCTGGCCAGCCGACAAAGCTCCTAGCCCAGTACCTCTTGCGGAACTCATGTTGTCTCAGAAATTCATGAAAATATATTGGCCGATATGTTTTGTTTGTGACGTATGTGCCATTCTCTCCTCGATAATCGGACAAGCCGGACGCCACCGAAATTCCCGCACCAGTTAAGAGAACAGTCTGAGAATACCTTCCGACATCAACTCCGCGAAGGTAGGGTGACGGAGGGGCAGTCAAAAACGACAACAGAGCATCAATAGCTCCTGAAACAGTGCGGGCTGATTGCGGTACAATTACTGGTGGAGGCAGCGGGCCGGTGAAGGGGATTCTGATCGGCGGAGTCGTCATTGAAGCCGCATAATTGGCAGAAGCTGATGGAAGGAAAAAAAAGTTGCGTATGTTTGAGAGAGACTGCCGTTAGTTGCTCAACTAATTATAGGTGTCCATGGGGCACCGTTGGGACAATGTCAGTATTTCTATTGGATTGGCTACTGTTCGCAAATGCCGTCATTGATAGTAGCTGACTCATCCAAGTTATACCCTAACTACTGCACAGGACCACCTGATAAGGGTTTGTCTTCATGGCATGCTGCGGAAGGCGACAGTTATTATGCATATATGTCTTCATGCTTGCTGAGCTGCATCTCAACGAGCATAATATCATATAGAATGTTCTATCAACAGGGTTTAGCTCGTGGAAGGCAGTTTCGATTGCCTCATTGTGAAAGTGGTCTGTGCAGTCTAAGAATACCCCGGATTTGTAACCACGTGATCGCCGAACAGAGTCTTCGAGCGTCATCGTTCTCAAGTCCTCTTTTTCACCCTAACAGAATTGTGGAATCCATGATAAATTTTGAGATTTTTTGTCATTCTTTGCCATCAGTAGCCTAGTATCGGACTGGGTGGACCACCCAATTCGTCACTCTACTTGTGTTAGATATGTTTCACCCTCCAGTTGGCAATATAGATCTAGACGCTCTCAGCGGTATTTGTGGGTATGTGTCTGGATGAGGAGGTGTACAAGATGACCAACTAATGTTGATTAGATCCATATCCATTGCGTGTTGGGTTGTTGTATTTTCCCCCCAGATCATAGAGAATTTCCGTCGTGGCTCAGCAGATGGCCTCTCACTTCTCTTTCTTGTTGTCTGGTTAGCGGGCGATGTATTCAATATCCTCGGGGCTGTCTTGCAAGGCGTTCTGCCGACGATGATCATTCTGGCTGTGTATTACACACTCGCCGATATCGTCTTGTTAGGCCAGTGCTTCTACTATCGAGGATTCACCCTGAGAGATGAACCGTCACCACCGAGCTCGCGCGCGCAGGAATCAGATGCCGAAGACCAGTCTTCATTTCCTGGAAAGGTATCAGAGCGAACAGCTCTACTATCCGCAAAGGCCAATGATCATTCGTATCAGGCGCATTCTCAAGAGAACACGGGAAACGGATACCCAACGTCAGGGCCATCCGGTCAACAGTCCTTCCCACACCATCAAAACCACAGGAGACACTCAGCAACCTCCTTCAGGGATATCCTCCATCCTAACGTAGATGGAACACACCTTTCTCCTGTGACACCTTTTGTTGAAACTTCAGCGAAGGAGACTCGTCCTGCGCGCAGACTCTCCGCCCTCCAAAATGTCCTATTTAAACTCTCCGCCGTCGTCTTAGTCTGCGCCGCCGGTATACTCGGCTGGTACGTCAGCCCTGGATCATCAAAAGGCGAAGACAAGCGGGATGATAGCGGGTCTCTCTCCTTCGATACACTGGGTCAAGTATTCGGCTACCTATGTGCAGCCCTGTACCTTGGATCTCGTCTGCCTCAGATACTACTCAACTACCGACGGAAGTCCACGGATGGTGTATCCTTGCTATTCTTTCTCTTCGCTTGTATTGGCAACTTAACCTACGTCCTTTCAATACTCGCCTACTCCCCAGTCTGCAACGGGGAGTACACCCAAGGAAGGGTCAGCCAATGTCGACCTGGCGAAGCTGCTGCCCTGTATGGTCGGTATATACTTGTGAACTTATCTTGGTTAATCGGGAGCTTAGGAACACTGTTCCTTGATATGGTCATATTTGTGCAATTCTTCTTGTATCAAGATAATGGGTACGGCGAGACTGAGGGAACTAGCGAGGAAACTTTGAGGGGGTGATTTCGTTCACGCCTACAAGCACTCATGTTATACCTCTGGTCTTCTTTTCTTCTTCCCTAATCCTTGCTTTTGTCTGTCCTTATTTTCCTTCGACTGAAAATCAAGGGTGGCGTTACGGACGGAGGTCGGGAGTCAAAAGGCAACTATTCTTCTTTCTTAGTCGTGCGCATCAGGCTATGATTTCCTTCGTTGTGGGCGGCGTTTTGGGTTTTCTTTTTAACTTCGTGTATACAGATACTTTGTCCTCTCAAAACATAGAATGAAAGAAACTATCCAACCAGATCGTTACTTATCAGGGCTCATCTCGGTGGCATCTTCTCATGTAAGAAATTAAACACTAACCCAACAGAAAGAAGAAGGACACCGCCAGAAGCGACAATGGTCACAGCGCCGTTAGTGCCTTTCATCGTCAGTTGACCCTGAAACACAGGGAGACCAAGCTGAACTCCAAATCAAACACAATTGTATTATGATCAGTCGCTTGGTGGACGAGGCTCCACCTTTCCTCTGCTTACTTCCGACCAATTAGTGCTTAGCGAGGTGCCCTGACTTTCAAAGTAACTTTTATTCATGGCCCGACGGGTATTCTCGTCTGCGTTGGCGTAGAGTTTCTTAAAGAACGCATCGACGGCGTCACCACCGCCAAAGTCTGAGTCAACTGAGTCGGCACCGTCCGATTCGTCTCCAGCATCGTCCGCTTTTGGGCCCTTTGGTTCCCCGTCCTTGGCCTTGCCTTTGTCTTTGGGCTTGGGTTTCTTTGCTGTGAGCGACGACGCCAACTTATCCCAATCTTTGGGGCCATTGCGGGATGAAGATGGGTATGCTGGAGCAGAACTACCGGCAGGAGTTGGGGCCGGGACAGCCTGACGACCAGAAAGCTTAACGTTGACTGCGGAGGCTTCTAGCGCACTCCATTTCTGGCCAGGAGCACGTTTCTTTAAGACAAGCTCAATCTTGGTAGACATGACAGAAACCTTGGAAGAGGATGGGTCGACCGACGCAAACAAAGGATCAAGGGTGAAATCAAATTCAGCGCCAGATGGGAGGGGGAATTGGAGAGATACCTGTAGGTTGGCATGGTCAGTATATTATTGATTGATACCCGTGGAAGGGAAGGAATGTCTGTAGATGGCCCTACCGATTCATCTTTTAGTTCCATGCCCACTCCATCTTTGGGTACCCCTTTGACGTAGAGAGTCACAACAACGGTCTCATTAGATTGATACCACTCATGCCGAACCTTATCAGACGGAGGGACAGTGGAAGGAGCTGCAGAAGGGGTGCTTCCAGCAGCACCACTTTGGCCATCCGACGTCTTGGAAGTCGAAGCTTCTCTTGTGACCGTCTTGCTGGCTGCGACAGGCTCACTCTGGATGCTGCTATCCCCAATTTGTCCGGATTTGAGAGTATCCAACTGATTCTTGAGCTCCTTCTCGGTCGGAACTTGGACACCACTCGGGTATTCCGCAATAGTAACAACAGCCTTGTTATCCCCCTCAGGCAACTTATTAAGCTTACTTTTGACCTTGAGTATCCAGATAGGCAGCTCCTGTTCATACCCATTCTTTGATGTGGATTGAGGACCACCGGTCATACCCATAGCATCTTTCATCCTTTCTGATTTGTCCGCGTTCCTCGCACCCGCGCCAGTCTTTCCCTGGATGATCTCGAATACAAAGCTCGCATCACCATATCTTTCAAGCTGGTACAATGCGACACCACGTCTCAACTGAGCAGCTAAGATTAACTCCCTCTTTCCACGTTCCCGCGCAAGGGTTAGAGCAATCTCCGCATCGTGCAGCGCTGCTTGGGAGTGGGGGCCTCCATCTGCCGGTTTGACTCGAGAGTAGGCGGTCGATCGTTTGAGGTAGTATGGCGGTGCACGGGGTAGTTCGACCAGTGCTTGTGTAAAGTAACGGATAGCACCGGGGAAGTCGGAGCTCGCGAGGGCCTTGTCGCCCTGTGTTGCGGAATTCATATTAGCTTGTGGGAGCTATGAGCTCCGCAGCTTAAATGTATGTAGGGTAAGCTTAACACTGGGGCGCGGGGGGCTTGAGATAGGGGAGAGGTCAGAAGTTATAGCAGAGAAGAACAAAGATTAGTTTCTATTCTGAGTTGAAGAGATGATTCAATGGATGTTTCCATCACCTTTCTTTCGCTTTCTTTCTCCCAGCTTTTTTGGAGACTGCGGGGGAGGCTTATGTCAGCGGATTTAATGCACGAGTTCACCTCTCAGTCACATGCAGTCACATGAGCTTAATGTTTATTAGGTATCTTTCATTACAACCGAAAATCAAAAGCTATTTGTACATGTAATCAAACATCTGGCCAGGTTGTTTCTCTCCGTATGGCGGTTTCAACCCCTTTACAGGAGCTCCTCATTGCCAAACTTCCTGCTATAGAGTCCCAAAGCGCGAATAGGCCAATAGAACTTATAGTTAGGATATGAAATCATACTAGACTCATGTCAGCGTTAACAATTCTATGACACAGATGGAGACTACCCACCAGGATTGGTTAAAAACACCCTCGATAGCTTCCTGCAGCCACTCCCCATTGGGTTGCTGGCGAGACATCATAAGTTTCATGGCCTTGCGGAGGGGCTCCTTGTCCGGGTAGCCTGCCTCCATCAGGGCAAGGCATGCCCAAGCAGTCTGACATACTTGGGATTGCTCATGTTGGGTGTACACATGTCGCTCGCTGCTGAGGTAGGATTCACCCCAACCTCCATCTCTTTTCTGCTTGGAAATGAGAAACTCGCAACCCCGACGGGAATGGTCGCTATTTTCATAGGTTTCTCCAATGCTCGCGAGACTTTCCAAGGCAAACATAGCAGCATAGGTGAAGCAGATGCCCCAAGATCCATACCAGCTTCCATCTGCCCTCTGTACACGTTTGATGTATTTGACAGCTTTTGCTTTCGCCGCCATGATCTCGTCGGATCGGTAATCGGGATAGAACTTGCTGAACAGAGATAACGCAGTGACGGAGGCAGTGGTACATTCAGGGTAGTCGTAACCAATCATAATCCCACCGAAAACCTCAGCGGCATTCAACCACTCCACCTTTGGCGATGCACGGGTGGTCTCATACTCTGTAAAACCGCCAGAAGGATTTTGCATGAGCAGCAAGCAGTCAACGCTATCCTTTAAGCGCTGTGCGGATATCAATTTAGGATAGTTGTGTATCTCTTGAAGTTGAATGCTAGACCGTAGACCCTCGGCTGTGCAGTCGCTAACTGTGTAGCCCTGAGTTTTGTTGCTGAAGGGCCATGCGCCCTTCCGGTGCTGACGGTAGCACTTCTCCTGATCTGGTACGTTCTCCCGCAGTTGGTGATTATCAAGAAATTCCAGGGCTTTTGTGAGCATGGGTCGCCATTTAGGATCATCCGCGAAACCTGCAATGACGATAGCTTGCGTGATGAAGGATGTATCCCACACCTGAACACCATTGGTGCCGTTCATCAACATTCCCTCATTCTTCACCCACATATAATCATTCAGACGCTCTCGATGACGACGGACCGAGTAGCTATCAGGTCCGTCGTGGAGGTAACAAGCAACCATGTTCATTGGGTTGCTCACAGGACCAAGGCCTGCGTAGTCAGTATTTTCGTCTTCCATTCGAATCAATTCCCAAGTCCATTCTTCAGCACGGCGCACGAGTGCGGGAAGCCGCAGGTAGGGATTCCAGACATTGACTAGAAGGGAGTTGATCGTGTTCAAGAGCCACGTCTTCGGATAGTAATTGTCAGCCTTGTGGATAGAATTACGGTGCTTTGCGAAGTCGATAGAGTCATACGGCTCGGTATACAGCTCGCTTCGAAGCTGCTTGGTAAGCGGATCAAGGGGATGAGTGAATTTCTTAGACCACAAGTAAGACATAGGCAAAAAGACCTGACGGATATGGATCCACCATCGCCATGGGGCAAATGGGACCCAGTCGGGGAGAAGCCTAAAGTAAAATTATCAGTACTCAAAGCAAATTGATCATCGACTGGAGGTGAAGGGAAGACAAAGACGAAAGGGGCAGTGCGGACCAGATTTCGGGAGGAACGGGGTTGACGCAGTCCCAATCCATTACTCCAAGGATACTAAGCCAAAACTTTGCCCAGTGGGGTCCATAAATGGCACCACCGAGTCTATGTAGGAGGCCACGGGCCTTGATCATTCGATGGTCGTCTTCACTGACACCAACCAAGCGCAGTGCGACATAATTCATACAGGTACCAAACACGGAGCTATGGGCCTCTATGTGGAGACCCCAGCCTCCATCTTCGGGATGCTGACGAGCGAAAAGATACCTCTTGATCTCAGTAGCATACTCCGGAGGAATTGGAGTGTTGGTTACATAGTAGGTGATAAGGAGTCCTGGCAGCAGGAACATCGGCCCACCATACTCACAAGCCCAATTACCTGGCGGAAGTTGCAATTTAGAGAAGAATTCCAGGCCATTCTCTGCACACTGTAGTGGCGTCTTCGCAGGTGGCAGCTTAGGAAGTCCCTGTAGGGAAGTCAGTGTCACGAGGCCCAAAAACCGCCCGAAGAAACAACAACAACAACAATTGGAAAACAGTACCGTAGGGAGCCCCAAAAAGTACTTGTCAGCCACCGATTGAGGCCATTTTGCATTCTCTTCATCTGATTCGAGGTAATGCCAGGTCTGACGACCATCATCGTCCAGCAATCTCCACCTTGAGTAGTCTGTTTTGGGATCTCCATTAGCATCGGCGGTCAAATGGCCCTGCGCCGCAGTTCTCCACGGAGCGATAGGATCGGCCATATCTGCTACGAGTGTGTCCAGCAGTATCTTTGCTTGAATGGACTAGCCCGAAAAAGCCACCGAACCCCGAGAGATCGGTACCGTCTGGTAAGCAATTGCAAGGAGTTGGACGAGAATAGGGAAAGAAACACCGAATGATAGATCTGGGGTTGGTCGATCCATAGACGACTTAGTCATCAGGGGCAGTATATGTTGCCTGAACGATGAGGCACAGGCCGATATCTGACGAGTATAAGTACTCCGTACGTATATTATGTATACATCTGTGTGGCTTGATTTATTTCCAAATTTTAGTAGAAGCTCTAGTAATAGCCAACCTGCTCTAACTGCACTTAGTGGTTCTGTTGTGACCAATTGCAACTTGATCATGTTGCTATATTGTGCTTAATTTGGTGTCTTCCATGTACCCTTCTCTGTTTTTTATTTTTCTCTTTTCTACCGAACATCCATTCTCACATATTCCATCATTTCTTGCATCTCATGGAAGACCATTTAGAGTACAGGGGGTTGATCTCTCCTCATCCTACTCGTCATGACAGCTATATGTCGTCTTCCCTCCGCCAAGTCAAGCGATACATCAACGAGACTCTGGCATCTGCCCTTGACGAACTATCCACACCAGATGGTCGACCAGCCATAACACTTAAACGAAGTTCTAGGAACGTGTCACTGTTTATCAATCCCACAAGTAGAGCTCTTGAAAGCAATGGAACAGACACATATATTACCTATTCCTGGCCCGGCGCAAACACGTTCGAAGCATGGAAATTTAGTATATGCATTGTTTCATTGACAACACTACCACGGGTCTATATACTGACGATTATGACAATAGCCGTTGCCTTTCGAGTTCTTGCAGTTGTTGCAGATGCTATTGACACAGGTTTAGTAGTGTCCAAAAGGTCTGCCATTTGCACCAAGCTTCCTGCAATCTCTGATGCCTAAGCAGAGACATATACTACAGCGATCCGGCATGCTTTGGGACACAGAGAATTGTTGACACAATCGTTGACGATCTGGCCCACACCATTGGAGTCGACAGATCCGCATTGAATGTTGTATGTGAGCTTCCTTTACGATGACTATACTTGAATTGATCCTGTCGGTCTAAAGCCTTCGGGCAATGCAACAGGAAGCGGCTGCGAAAGGACTCGTGACAGGCTATTGTAGCCTTCTAACCAAGATTGGGGAGACCATGGATGTTCAATTGCCTGCCAAGGTATACAAATCTGAAGGATAAAAGATACTCCGCTCCCTATGTCAAAAGGTCCCAACTAATCCGGGTAGGACTGTCTGGTACCAAATTTACATGAGAACGGTGAAATTGACATCTCAGATGCAAGCTGGGTCTTGATCATCGAGAAAGAGGTGCTACCATTGCCATAGGATCTCATTACGGACACTCATTCAGTACACAGGCCATCTACCGCAGACTTGCAAGAAGTCAATATCATACTAGAGCGGCCGCAGGAAAAGGGATCCTCATTACTGTAAGCCCTCCTTAACCTGCATAACTGGGTAAGTAATCAACAACGACTAGGGGAAAGGCTACCCGGATCTCTCAACTAGAGCCTTCACACGAAAGATATATGAGAACAGCCGTAGATCAGACAAAGCCCTGCATTTCTATGGTCTAGTTGACAGCGACCCCGACGGCATGGCTATTATGTCAACATACAAGTACGGCTCAATGGCACATACCAACCAGAATGGAAGGTTAAATATTCCTTGTCTCTGGTGGTTAGGCCTCCGAACGTCAGATGTCGTATCTGGAGCACCGAGCAACGACGACGGGGCTTTGATTAGATTGACAGTAAGGGACAGAAAGAAGATCATGAGTATGTTGTCGAACAACCCTGTATGGGCAGCCGAAGGACCCGAGCTGGAATGGCGTGCAGAGCTACAGCAGATGCTCATGTTGAACCTGAAAGCTGAAATCGAGATACTTTATGATCGGGACGAAGGACTGGAAGAATGGATTGATCAAAAGATGGCAGGTTTCTCCCCACCGGATAACTAGGGACGACATTACCCATATATATGTATAATTCAAACAAGCTATTTGCTTTCTATCAGCTCTGTCGAAGAAGACCCACAAGGATAAGGAAAGAGCGAAAACAGGCCCCAATAGAAGCGCCTTAAACAGTAAGAATGTACCATAAACGCCATGGCCCCACCACCAACCAAAGACAGATGCATGCATCCATACCAAGCTATGCCATGCGCCAGCGAGAGGGCTACAAGCACAAGTTCGGTACAATGAAAAGGTACCATGTCTCTCCATCATATTCCAACTCAGCAAATAGGAGAACACACCTACAGTCCCAAACCCTTCCGTACCTCATCACGAACCTTGCGCTCATAGTCGCTCCTCCGTTCTCTCCACATCTTTGCCGCCTCAATATTGGCAGGGCTCTCGTCATTTGGCTCAGCAAGCATACTCATGACCGAGATAAGAATCTTCTCAACGCTCTGGATAGGTGACCACCGCTCCGACGCATGCTCATAGTGGTTCGGATCATCACCGGGAGGATGAAGAATGGAAATACAAACGGTTCCGTTGGGATACACTGTCCGATCGCAAAACATAATTAGCCAAGCTCCAAATCTCCTTTTAACCACACCCGCCATCATAGATAAGAACATGGGAAAGTACCGTTAGGATGCCAAACTCCTCCGCCCACAAACTTCATCGTCGGCGGACTCAACGGATAATCTTTCGGAAACTTCAACTCGGCAGCAAAAACACCACCTTCAAAAGGTGTGCCTTGTGGACCTTCGATCAGGGCTTCCCAATGGAACATGTCATCTTCAGTGACGGGGCCGGCGGTGATGCCATCTGGCGGGTTGGTGGAGAGGTTCTTGTACTCGTGGAAAAGACGTTTTTGCGCGACAGTAGACATGGTTGCTCTCTAATTCTGTTGTAAGGATATAAGTAAACGAAAAGTAGAAGAACACAAGCTCGTGGACCAATGAATTGTTTGTCGTTGGATTATTCGCAGTGAGGCGGTTTTGCGGAGACAACGGAGTGGGGTTAAAGTGCGGTCTTTATAGTGAAGATTATGGACTGAAGATAATCTATAGTTTTTTTGCCCCTTTTCTATTCGGATCAATTGCGGTAGCAATTTGAAGCGATAACAACCCTTCCGGTTCAACCACAGCGCAAGGTGATAGAAAGGGAAAACGAAGTTGCCACTGGACAGAAGGTAAAACGATGGCTGATGCCCCAGGCCGCACATGTTATTGCCGCTGCTTATCACCGAGGGTTCGGCCCGCATTTATGCTTGTATTGATCGGCATTGCTGCATCATCAAAACGAAGAGAGGGGGAAGAAAAGGAAAAAGAGAAAGCCTAAATCCATGTTCATGTCCCAACTATAATACAAATGTATATCTCTATACCACGCAAACAGCGCTTCTCATATTTAACTCCTGTAAACCTGTAATCGCCGCCCCAGAGTAAACGCCTTGCAAAACAGGATTAAAACCAATCATAATCATCACCGTCTCCTCCGTCGGTATCGTCTGCCGCCCATGGATCCTCTTGACTCTGGGCCCAAGGATCTTGTGGTTCATCAGCCCAGACATCACCATAAGGGCCTGTTTGACTGGAGGTAGGTGAGTGCTGGTCTTCTGGGAGCGCTTGTTGATCTAGTGGAGCGGACTGCGACTGATGCTCTCCCGTCATGCCTCGAGACATCGCATCATATCCGGCCATCGCTCCAGCACCGGCAGCACCTGCAGCTGCACCTTCGGCCAATCCTCCAGCTGCACCGGCCCGACCGAGAGTTCCCGCGGCCGCTTCACCCACAGCCCCAGCTTCGCCGGCAGCGGCACCACTAGCCGCAGCCTCTCCGCCAACGCCGGGGATCCAGATAGGCATGAAACCAAATCCACCAGTACCACTATGGCGACTGAAATAGTCGAAGTCAATGCTTACTGCAGTAGCCAACATGACTGCACGCTGGTCGAGCGTCATGCCGGTAACATTATTGTTTTGCGCAGGTACCTGTTCAGGGTTAAAGGCCGCCGAGTCCATTCGTAGAGCATAGACACCAGTGTCTGTAAAGAGTTCGCGAGCGAAACCCGCAAAGTTACGGTTGACGGATCCGATAAGTTGGTCATTGGCCGAGCGAAGGGAAAAGTCCCACGACAGGAATGGCTCATCAACGTAGGCGAATTGATTAAACTCGCCCATAGCTTGACCGCCACTTGCCGTTTGAGTTAATTGCATCTGCTGGGCGTCAGAGAGACCGGACTGCAAAAGCGGTCGGGATACAGTGCCCATATCTGTCGTGCGGCTCGGGGAGTGATGGTAGGTGAACAGGTTGTATTTCCGCCGTAATGGTGCCCACTGCTGTTGGGCCTCTCCGATCACGCGCATGTCGTCCAGCCCTAGTGACGACACCCGGGCATTGGAATCTCCTGTGGCCTGGATAAGCGAGCCCGGCTGAACGTTTTGGAGAGAGGTTGAAGAGGAGTAGGCATTTCTAGCAACATCAAGAGGGTCGTACACGCGGATACGGGAATTAATCCACGAGAATGGTCGATGAAACTAGATAACATCAGCGCAACACTAGAAGCGAAGAGTGTTATTTCAAAGCTCACGCGCAAAACTTCATTCTCGTGCCTGTCAAAGACGTGCGTCACAAAACTCCTATGGGTTCGGAACCACTGTCGAGCCATCATGTTGGTCATTCCTCGCTCCTGCTCCGCCATGTACCCGATATGATGCCCGTTCGCATCCATAATTACATATTTGTTGGCTTGCTCAAACCCACTGCGAAGAAAAGCGCCAAGTTAGCCGGTAGATTTCCGGCGTTTTGCGTAAGCCGGAACACCCACATCATGACATTCATGAGCTCCAGTTGCCGCTGCACAACTAGGCCAGAATTTGCCAATATACCCAATGCAGGGTGGTTTTCCTTTAATACTCCACGAGGATCTTCTGGTATATGGACCGGGGAGAGCAGAGTGTTGTGAGCGGGGTCATAGTTCGGATTTAAGGAACTGGCATCATTTGCAGCTGAACTCGATTGTTCCGGTTCTTTTGAGGATAGAATTTCCCTTCTGATGGGCTCTGGTCTCCGTATTGAATTCCGGGGGCCACGAGAGCTAATTCGCCCTCTGGTGAATGAACTCGACAGCGCTCGGCCGGGGGCTTTAAGCCAACGCACCGGCTGTAGTTGGAGTCTAGCACTCCACATACCTGGCGTAAAGATAGCGACTAGTATAGAGTAAATTGATTTGGAGTAAAGAGAGACTATTTCTGCAGAGCACCGCAAAGGACGATGGGATGTTGTTGAGATAGTGGAACGAAATAGTAGGCGGAGACCATGACGAACTTGTCAATGGACTTAAGCGGAGATAAGGATAGGCAGAATCAACCAGAAAGACTAGTACTTACATTTACATACTTCTACAGGTATGTAATGGGGTACGGAGTACCTACTCCATACTAGGAGCAACGGAATCATTTCCACGGAATTAGAAAAGAACCCGCTTCGGAAGTATAAGTCATGTAACTTGACTAGTCAATCCCGGCGTGCGCATCCTCACTGTAAGCACCAATGAGAGTTTACAAATGCTATACAATCTATATCGTATAAAGACACCAATATCAACTCGCGATTTGCATTAAGACAAATTTGAACCGATATCACAAAAAGTTAATATATATAAAGGGTAGTCCAATCGCATACTAAATTATGGATCACAGGACACCCTTCCGAGCCAACTCGATCTTGCGCGCCGCTTCGCCGGGTTGGAATCCTCCCTTTGAGATGCAGATAGCACTTCCTTCGCCAAGTTCGATCTTATCTTCGTTGTAGGGGTGTGCGCATGGGCAATGATGAGGAAAATGCACGCAAGCAAGAGTACCAGGACATAGATATTTGTCGCATTGAGCTGTAAGCGTGGAACCTGTTAGCCATTATCCAGACAGTATGAAATAGCGCGCAAGGAGTCATAATCAAGTACCTGACTCCCACATCTTTTGATACCGTGAGCTATCACTGGGCTCATTTTGAGCAGCTTGCTGCTGATGTTCTTGACGTCCGCCGCCAAACATGTGCTCGAAGAACTGGAACTGAGCGTGGGCCATGGAGGCCAGGAGGAGCAAAGCTCCAAGGGTCCGGATCCAGGTATGCAGCATTGCGATTAGAGCCCAATATATGAGTATCCGAAGTTATTAGCGGAAGAGATATTATCCCTTTCCCAATAAGCAACATATCACTGTTTAAAGTAACTTGTGAAATTTGTATGCAATAAAAGCCAACTCACACAAACGCACGTGACCTGCCAAGGCCCAGGCTGGCCGCCGAAGAAAAAGTCACCGTAAGGAACCGCGAGCAACTCTGTCCAACATTCAGGAACATTGGGGAGTCGCCCGTCCCTTACAAATCAACATGTTACAACAAAGACTAATGGCGCCCCTCCGGGTGCTAGAGAGAGCAATTGTGCCATCGCTCCGCTCATCACAGCCAATCTCTCGACCACCGCCACCATCAATACTCTCACGAACCAACACCTCCGCATCGACACCATTCTTGAACCGCCTCCTCCCCTTCTCTCAAGTCCGTCATGCCTCCCATGCTACCCAGGGTACGGCGAATCGACATTCCCGTGACCCCGCCGGAAAGCGTCTTGGTGCGAAACGCACCACCGGTGAATACGTCGTTCCAGGCTGTATCATTTTCCGTCAACGTGGAACGAAATGGTTTCCAGGCGAGAATTGCGCACTGGGCAGGGATCATACCATCTATGCCACCGAGGCAGGATATGTGAGATACTACTTGGATCCCGAACGGCACCCCGACCGGAAGTACATCGGCGTCTGCTTTGAGAAGGACGGCAAATTGCCTACGCCTCGGAATGCCCCGACCAGACGGAAACTGAACAGGGTCGCTGTCCCTCGCCTCGATGACGCCCCTACGCCGATTGCTGGACAGTCGGATCTGGTTGCTACTATTGACAATGGTACTATGGTGTCTAGCGTGGAGGCCGTGAACGCCGGGTCAGGCTCCCAGCTGCGTCCGGGTTATATGTACCGTGAGGCGAACTGGCAGATTGGTCGAGCAGCTGAGAAGGCCGGGATAACAGCGAAGCCGTACAACCCCAAGAATCGTTGGCTGGCGTGGAGGAAGAGACAGGCTAGAGCCGAGCGAGCTGCCCAGATGAAGAGTCTCAAGAACAAGAAAAAGGCCTCAAAGAAGGGCAAGGGTGGCCGCTAATGATCATAGCCAACACTTCCGCCCATGTTCCTATGTCTCCGTATATCCCAAATGGTGTCGCACGGTATCGGGTTCAAAGGTGCTTTTGTACTATAGAGAAATGTCTACATCCATTAGTTTGTTATTCAGTGTATTATGTATGGGATTTACTCTTGAGATATGTAAGGCAATTGGGTTCAAATTCATTAAGACCTTATCCAAAACAAGTGCCGGAGACACACTGGGGTATAATTGCTATTATAAATGCTTTGACATCAAGTCCTTAACAAAGCTGCATTTTCTCGTCACATGAACCACCGAAAATTAGAGTGTGTTAATCAATCAACCTCCCCAGGATTAAGCTTTGACAGACGAATTCGTTGCCCACAATCCTGACATTGGTGCTCAGACCAAGGTCACTGCCACTTATTGACTCGGTTAATTCATTCCTTTTTCGCTTTCTTGACCTCTGGGTGGGATAAGCCTTTTGGCTGCCAGGGACAGAGGCTCCAAGGATTATGGCTATGGCAGAGGCTTTTTCATCATTATCCACATATATCCAATCCCATTCACATCCAGTTCCAGCTGCACCCTGGTCAAGGACCGCCCGAGCTGACTTAATATCAGGTACACGTTCGACTTTGGAAGCACCTAACGCATATGTTAAAAAGAGATACGCTTTTCTTCGCTCTTCATCAGCTTTCCCGCGGCCCATCACGACTAGCACTGACTGCCCATGCAATAGATTGGGCCGGGCAGCAATGGTTTCAGGCAGGCGTGCTTGCATAGCAGGATAAGGATGCAATAATCTTGACTTCGTCGCTCCGTGGAGATACGAGGACTCCCCAGCAGGAAGCAAATACATCTCCCAATCCATAACCTGGCGTTGAGCTACGCAGTCCTCTATCCAGCGGTCCGAGAGACAAGGAAGGTTGAGAGCTAGTGCCTGCATGTACTTTGGCCGGCGAGAATGCTTGTCAGCTATCAAGCAGGCAAAGCCCACATCTTCGGCGCCGCCAGTGAGACGGAACTGGTTGTTGTTGTTGTTGTTGTTGTTGTTGTTGTTGTTGTTCGTGGCAGGGTTTGGTGATTTCGACGGCGTAACAACTGGACGGCTTGATGGTAGATCAAACAGCTCGTTGAAGCCATCATGAAGAATGCGTCCATCATTATCCAATATCATCCGCGTAATCCGAGTCTTTGCTTCATCATTCTCCCCATAAGACACAGCAAATACCATTCCAGCAAATATACCGTTTGAATAACGGATACTGCGGGATAATCGAGTGCTGGGTGAAGCTGGTGTGGTGTGTCGATCGGACGGTGTTTGGAGCCTACTCTCTGACTGTGTATGTACAGAGCTGTAGCTATAGGTCCGACCTTTGAGTTGGTTCCAGAGGATGGTATCCAGGTATATGCGGGATATTGGGACTTTGACGCTATTCTCAGGAACTGCAAGCCCTTCACGTGTAAGGCTCTTGCGCTGCTTTTGTCCTAAAACGACAGTTGAATGGCCGTATACATCTGTCATACGGATAATGCCATTGGATGCATCGTTTTCAAGATCTTTCATGGTCAATTTATCCTCGAAATCTCGGATAATGTGAGTCACCTTTGGCACATTGGGCATATCGACCTTCACAGCGTCTCCAACCCGTAGCTCGAGCCGTTTCACAGCTCCAATGGGGACTTCAACGGGAGCACTATCTTCGAATTTGACTAAATAACGAGACTGTGAAGTCCCCAATGGTCTACCAAAACAGGTTGCAGGGTAAAATGCGCGTTTTGTTCCACTCCAGGCCGCAAGAACCTGATTTGGTGCAATTTCGACATTGCTATCAGTGACAGAGTCCTCTCTAGCGGTGCTGTTCTCGATGAGGTCCTCTGATGGCTCGTCTCGAGAAACTTCAACATTTTGTTCCGTGGGGAATGATGTGGCTTCTAAACAGTTCTGATCAGCGACAAGCTGTGCATGAGTACTCTCCTCAGACTTATGAGCCTCCTTGGCCTTCTGCTCGAGAATACGAGGAAGACCGAACAGCCGCGCGCGCTCCTTCCGTGAAACATGATAGTGGGGAGAATCATCAACGTCCCATACTGTTTCCGCTCGCCTGGAAGGTCGTGATCGTTTCTCAAACGTTCCCTTAGGATTAGTCAATGATTGTTCCGGCTTGGGGTCCCGGGCCGGGATCGTTTCATTTTCCTTTGGGGGAGCAAAGTAAGTGGCGGTACGGGGTGTAATAGGAAGCACTGGGTCAGAGGCGAAGACATTTTGCCCATCATTTCCACGACGTCTCTTTCTTGGTGGAACTGGAGACAGTGCGACAGCAGATCTGAATTCTCGATCGTCGGCGGATAAGATGTTAATATCAACATCGAAGTTTCCGGTCCCGATTTGAGGCGAAGCATCAGCTGCAATCTCTGTCAATGCTCTACGCTGTCTTCCACTTGGACTAGATAGGATTTTGGAACTGTAGAAGCTCTTCACTGGCGACGAGCTATTCGAATTGACTGGTTGGGAATGATGTCCTCGTTCAAGTGTGGACGAGTAAAGAGGAGGGAGGTCGTCATCTTCTTGATCCATTGCTTCATTGTTCACGTCATTTGCCCAGCTTTGATTAAATAATCGATTAGGGCTCGTTTCTGGGATAGCTGTCGCTGGCACCACATCACCAAAGCTCTTCGGACGCTGAACAGGTGTTTCAGCCACGCGAGAGGGCATCGAAGATGACTTCTCCTTGATATCGGATGCCGGTACTTTGTCGCCTAATTCTATAGATTTATGCACAGTTGAATTGCTAGATAGCATTACGCTAGTTTCCTGGGCAATGGACTTCCTCGGTGGATGTTCGTGAGAGCCATGTGAGCTAGTCGAGCTCGATCTGCATCGAGCTACTAGACGGTCGTCATCCAGTTGAAACGAGACTCGACTTCTTTGGGATGCTGAGGGAGGAGTTGACTGTATACGGAGTTGTTTCGCAGGAGACACAAGCTTCTCTGGAGAATGCTTTGTGCAAATGTGTGAGCCGAAAGCCTGGGTCTGGTTCTCATTCCACATTTCAGCATTATTTTTTCCGTGAGTTTCCTCATCCTGGGGACCCGGCGACCGTTGAGAGTCCTTCACAATGTATACTTGGGATGAGCTGTTGGTACCATCTGGTTGTTCATCACCAGCACCATGAGGAGGCAAGTGGAACTCTGCAGCATCCTGTAGTGACCTTCTGCGGCTAGGAGATGGGGCTCCATCAAGAGCAAGTGCTTGAGAGAGACGATCATGGGCACTGGTCGCGGCAGCCAGCGGGGTTGTAGAGGGATCATTATGATTTTCCTTATCCTCTTCAGTTGAAGGATTTGGGTCTTGAGGCCGACACATCCGTTGACAAAACTCATCCTCCTGTTCCGTTTCTTCTTCACTGGTTGCGCCTGCTGCAGCGTTTCCTTGGTGCTCGATTCTGGGCGTAGTAGATTTTATTGCATCTGCCCGATCTCGAGAGTCTGGCTGTCTGCTAGGTGACTTGCTCATTGTATCTGCTTTCTTGTGACTTGCTGGTCTTGGGGGAGCCGAAAGACCGGCTAATTGTTCCCTAGTTACCTCATCGATGTTTCTCTGTCGCCTTATGCGCTCCACGAAGCTGGGTTCTTTATCAAACTCGCCGTCGCTTTGATCTTCCGAGTATATATGGTCTGCAGAGCGCGTCATCCTCTCTCGTAGGATTATATCCCTCTGCGCCTGCGATTCTTGCATGGTGATATAATTGAGATGTGGCTCTGAGGAATCCCGGGGAAAGGTTGCCGCAACGTTATTTAACGGCGAGGACAGAGCTGTAGCAAGCGAGCGATTTTGAATGGGAAGATTAGGTGAAGGCCGGTCAGACATTGGATCCGATTGTTGGCCATGAACAAGGGGAGAGGAAGGGGCCTGGGTTGCTTTGAATACTTGGCTTAAGGCCATGACACCGCCGCTTGATTCAAGCTCCATCGCGAGAGGGTTCCTCGACGCTGTGGGTGTCACTGTTGCAAGACCATCGATACGCCCTGTTTTCACTGCTGTCGCCGGAGTCTTCGATACAAAGCGCTGGGACTCGGGAAAGAGATTTGGCTGATAGTGCACCGGAGATGACTCCCCGAGCTTGAAACTGCTCTGATCCTCGTTATCATCGCCATTGGTTGCATCGGTGTTTGGCCCGTCAAATCCAGCCAGCAAATCCACATGGCCAATATCACCTTCATGCAGCGTCCTCAAAGTTGCATTATCGGCAAGGTTATTGTCCAAGCCATTATCGGCAGCTTCTTGGTTCTGTCTTATAAGGTCGTCATAAACCGACTGCGAGATAACTTGGGTGTCCGAAGGCACTGTATCTGCAGAGCTCATCTTCTTAGAAGGGTGCAACCCAGCGGCAGGGTCTTGTCTTCTTTGTTCAAAGGACAATCGAGGGGCGTTTGTCAAGCTTTTAGCATGTTGTTCCTGAAAGGGCGACTCGGGACGACTCGACGGGGATTTCCGGGAGACCTCGTGGCCAGTAGATGACTGACGACCATTAGAGATTTGAGAGTAGTGCTCTTCGACGATGTTGTTCTGGGGGATAATCCTAAGAAGCTCGGGCCCGGGTATTAGCGACTGGGATTGTGCAGGTTCCTAGCAGGTGATTGGTGTTAGAGCAATCGAGATCACAGCGCCACCAGTGTGACCACTCACTCGCCCCAACGCGACGCGTTGCAACTGTGGGATATTGATACTATCATCCTGGGTCTCCATGATTCCTTCAACCAGTAGATTATTAGACACGGTGTTAGCGGTAATCTATCCTCTGAAGCCTTTAAATGCGCCCATCGCCGTCACATGCCTGGGCAATTCGAATGACAGGATGTTCTCGACCTCCGGAACCAAAAGAGCGCGAAACGCGTCGCTCACGTGACTAATAATTAATATTGCCGTTATAGGACTAGGTCGACTTGGAGTCACTCAATAAATTTTTATTGGTGTTTTACTTTGATGTACATGGCGGAAATCAGTGTAAATTGATTTACATAGGATTACATGGCCAATGGTGAGTTCCTCCGGCTACCGCTCGGCCGAGGAGATCGGTCATTCTCAGATGGATAAGTTGTATAATACATGCAAACAAAGGAGGACACCACGCTAGTCCCGAGTCCGGTTTGGGACCCATCGCCTGATCAACATCTCTCGTACTGTATAACGAGCAAGAAGAGCACCGATATCCTCTGAGGAGACATTGGTTTCTCCGAACATGGGTGGTGGGACTTCCACATAGCAGACTACCAAGCTCTTCTTCACCTGAGCTTGCACTCGGTTAACGCAATGGAGCCACCACCAGCTGCGCGCCTGTCTCCTGGTACAATGAGCCTTCCTTTCCTCGGTCTCGGACCAGTAAGGGTGCTCAAATGATGGTATGACCACAACTGCAAACTCTGCATGCGAGAAGACAGGCCCACGATTATAGAGGAGGTAGTCTACTCCAAATTTCACTCCGGACCGCACAACCCATCCAAGGGATCGAAAGTGGTGATACACAATGTAGGATATCATGAAAGGGTCGTCCGGTTCTAAATTAGCTGAACGATCACGAGGAGGGCAGTGAGAATGCTGACAGAACCGAGACAGTAGAGAAGGGGGGGACAAAACGGCATTTCGTTTGCCATCGACGATCTGTAGAGCGCCAAGGCCGTATACCAGAAAGAAAGCCTCCTCGTTAGATAGTTGAAGGTGTTCTTCATTGTTCAGTGAAGGCTTATCCTCCATTCCATGCTCGTCAACTGCCGAATTGGGCGCACACACGACAGTCGATTCGGAAACAAACTCCTTTGCTTGAACGACCGGAGAGAACCGTACAGTTTTGCTCCCATTGGAGGGAGAGATATCAGGGGCGTCGGGTGTATATGCTCCCTCCATTTGTGCTACCGAACGTTGTGACTCAGACAATTTGGCTTCCCTAGCTTTCCTCAGGGAAAACTTCTCTGTAGCAGGAAGTATGCCACTAGTGACACCATCTGCGGTTAGTGGCAGAGCCGACTGGTCAATCGATGTGTCGCCAGCTTCCCTCGCGGCAGCTTCCGCCATGAGTCTCTGTTCGATAGCTAGTTTCTCCATCCTTGCCCTCTCTAGTTTTAACTCGCGACGCTCGGTTCTTCGCTGACGTGTAACCTCTTCACTGGTAACGCCACCGAGTAATCCTCTCCTCTTCTTCTCCCGTTCCAACCAGCTAGGCTCACTTCGACTCAGACTTCCTTTACCGAAGAAGCCCATCTCCCACAATGCTCGGATGGCTTTTGCATCTGTAACATGGACGGATGATGTCTCGGAATCAAAGTAGGCCGAGTAGACTTCATGGTGCGGGGGAGCAATCAAGTATGTCAGATACGAGAGCAGCACGCTGACGATGGACAGGGGGTTATGTGGTATTAAAGGAGGAAGAGGATGCACACTGAGGGGAAGAGGGAAACGATGAATTTCTCTGTAGTTGGGCCTAGAGAACCGGCCAGGACGACCTTGGGGGGCATTCTTGTTTGTGGACTCGGACTTCACAGCGGCAGCTGCAGCCTCGGAGGCAGGACTGGGCATTGGATTGGATTGAGTCATAACTAAAGTAAAAGAAAAAAAAAAAGTTGTATTGATAGTATACTACATAAGGGAAGAGTCAGCATGGAACTCTTCTTTACGAGACGATGCAAAAGATTTGACGTTGGTTGTTCTCCTCAGATACCGTTGTAGTCAATTAAACCACTTCATCGACAACAGCGAAGAAATCAAGGTGCCATTGCCTAGGTTTAGGTATATTGGTGTCATCACCGGAGATCAACTGCAAGTCTTGCTTCCGACTGAAGTTGCATTTGCTTACCAGAAAAAGCTTTTTTTCTGGATGTGACGGACGCGGTCACGGACAGGTTGTTACCAAGAGCCGTGAAGAACTAAATACAATTGACAAGTAGCAAGAGATATCCAAACATCGTCATATAGCGACGTCACGATGGATGCTCATCATCATCCCAATTCTCTTGTTTTTGCCCTAACGTCAAAACTGGTGGCTTGCAAGAGAGAAAAGAAAAAAATCCGCTTAGACTGTGATTGTGAACCGCTTAATAAAGGCCAGGGTGACTAAGCACATCAAGTGGCCCGTGCGCATCATGTCCAGCAAAAAAAAAATGGGTTCTGGTGATTGCGGGAGGACTTCACAGACAGTGAAATCCTTTCCAGAACTTATACTTCCTCGCCAGTAACCGACCAAACAACTCTATTCAAGTAAGTTAAATTTTACAAAATCCGATTAGTATGAACACCGCTGACCACTGTTTCACTAGGATGCATCTTATGGTACGCTCCCACAAATGCAACGCCCCTACACCACCCTGCAATAGATGATCATTGGAGTTCGAGCACATCTAGCAGAAACTAATACTATCTTTAATAGTACACTCTGGACGCGGAGGGAAAGCGGGTGTATACCCTCAAGAAAGTTACCCCTGAGGGAAAGGTTACCAAGAGCGCTCATCCTGCTCGGTAAGGGTTCATTTGATCGATATCGAGGATACTGTGGTTAACAATGGGAAAGCTTCTCGCCCGATGACAAGTACTCTCGCCACCGTGTGACCTTGAAGAGGAGATTTGGTCTCCTCCTAACCCAGCAGAAGGGTATGAAAATGCTCGCTTCCGAGGGTCAACTTTGATCAACGGCTAACTTCTCTTGTCAGATTTGCAAACCTCTGAGCTGTAGAGTGCGAAATCATGGGATAAACCAGGTTGTTTTATAGGTGCTGTTTGGAAATCATGTTCTTTTGGCGAATGGTGTTACGTGCGGACATCTAAATGAGACGTTTTCGGGGGGCCTCTTTAATGCCTACCACTTGCATGAGGGATTCCAAAAAGTAATGCTCATACTCGGTCATAATAGTCCAGCCTCTCGTATAGAGAAGACAACTTTTATCTATACCCTTATATACGCCCCATGTTCTCTATGAACCGTCACGAATCGGCCATCGTCATAACCCATGCAGCGTAGGAAAAGACAAGTAATCGTAGAACTTTTGTTGTTGCCGAACTCCAATCCAATATCCATGCGAAAAGTGCAGCGGAGAATAATTACCGCTTCCTTGAATTCACATTCTTACCAGCGCCAACTTTGACCCGACCACCATGCTTGCTTCGCTCTCCGGTCAGAATTCCGGGGAGATAGTCCTCATCCATAAGGTCCCGTTCCTTCCGAAGTCTTCGGCTTTCTTCGGCGGTAGCTCTGACATACTCTTTCTGGTCTTCGGCGAGAACAAGTTCGGTTCCCCAGCCACCTTTACCTCCGCCTCCTTTCCACTTTCCACTAGAGTTTCCGTGGGTGGGCTTGGGAATACTGAATACATTTCCTCGGTTATTCCATTGCATGTTTTTCTTCAGATGCATCTTGAACTGCCCATTGGCATCGGTGGTGCAAGAGACACGAGTAAGGGTGTCTTTTCCGCACCGTGGGCAGAATTGTTTGTTCATGTCCTTGGTCGTGAAGAAACAAGCGTGACAACGTTTAATGAAGGACTTAAGATGGCGAATTCTCTGTAAGGTTGTCGTCGAAAGCAGGTTCAGGTTCATCTGGAGTAACACGTTTTGACACTAAATCATAGTCAGTCACGACTTATAGGTGGCATACATGGAAATGGGATGCTCTTACGGCAAAATCAGTCGTCATCGTCGCGACTTGCATGACCTTGGGCTCCGGTGTTGCCGACGCAGAGATACCCTCATCGCGAGCTTGTTTCTTCTTCAGATTTGAAGGAGTGATCCATTCTCCGCCATCCGAGTCAGCGGCTTCGTCGTCCTCTTCCTGGGACTCTTCAGGGGTGGATTGTTCGGCTGGCTTGGTTTCTTCAGCAGCAGCGGCTTCATCCTGTGACTTCTCATCCCGTTTCTCTAGAGCCGTGTTCTTCAGACCTTCCGCAACCGCATCAACCTCGGGACTTTCGGTCTTCTCCTCTATCTGGCTAGACTCATCTGCCATCTCGGGGTTTTTTGCCTCCTCCTTAACGGGTGGCTTGCCATTCACCTGTTTCTGTCCGGGGACGCTGCGCAGTCGCCAATCGCCACCGTTCCTTTCACACTCTACTTCATATGCAAGCGCCAAAACCTCAATATCAGTTCTACTCAGAACGGCCCTATCGCCAGTCTTCTTGGCGAATTCGCTCAATACACTAACACTCTTTGGGGTCGGAGTCCGCTGTTTTAAGAATGGCAGGTACATAGTCTCAACTCTGAGTCGGGCATCGGGATCACGAATTTCACTGACCACCGATGGAGTGATAAGAAGTTCCTCGCATTGTGCGAGAAGGGTGGATAACGGCGGGGTATTCTTCAGGATAGGGCCAGCATCGAGGACGATGGTATGGACGGGCTTGGGCGGCGATGTCGTGTCCGCCATTTTTGGTGATCCGATATACTAGTCTTCCAGCGACAGAGAGAATAGCACGTGCGAATGAGATCTATAGGACGTTGTGGTCAGTTGGTTCTCAAACGTTGCCGCCAAAGTGGGTTGAATTGATTTAATTTCGCTGGAATTTTAGCTGGTCTGTGCACTATCCTTATCTTAGCGCGTGGGTTTATCAGCAGCCAACATCATTGGATCCACCAGATACGGTACAGTATGTACCTAACAGCAGTAGTACTAAGTAGTACCAGTAGGTATGTACCAGTACTCCTTAGTAGTAGGTAACAGTACGGAGTATGTACATACATACTAGTATAAAACATTTGTCAGGTGGGTTCTGATGTATAGTACCTGGTACGGAGTACAGGTCGATGGATTACGAAGTACATGCATATCCGCTGTCCCCAGGAAAAAGACCAAAGGAAAGTTTTCAAGGAATATAGTTTAAAGATGAAAATTTAACTCGTACAATTCTCTGCAGAAAAAAAAACCCCTTCGGAAATAATGCATCATGCAAGTTTGAGACATGGATCATTCGTCGCTATGCCACCATAGTTGACATGTCACGGGGGGCGGTCACGACTCACGATGTACGCAACAAAGAAGCCCATTGCATGAAAGTAACAACAGGATACTATTGCTACTCGACCCAGTACAAATTCTGATAGCTAAACTCAGATTAAACCTCTATCGGCGCAACCGTTAAGCTCGCCCTAAGATCACCAGGTATATGAATTAGCTTCGACCTGTGGTCGGCCGTCAAGAAAGAAAGAGTACGACCAGGATCTTGATTCTGGCTGACACTCGATCTGGACCGTTCGGTGGATTGATTGAACCATGGCTGGGCTGGTATCTTAGGGAAGAAAAAAAAAAAAAAAGCCCCTGTCAATGAAGGTACGAGTCTTCATCTAAACATGCAATCGATCAGCGATGAGAGGAGAAATTGACAGGTAGAAAAGAGGCTCTCTCCGATTTAGATATACTTGCCATTATGTATCCCCAGGACTCAAAAGGACTTATAGATCCAACCTCGGAATGTAACTATGTACATAAAATGGCAAACACTAACGTACTATAGTCACCGGTGGGCTGTTGTTCGACCTGGCTTCAATTGATGTGGAGGGGGCGAGTTGATCCTCGTAATTGGCGTCGACTATATGTAACCTTCTCTATAGCGCGCGCCAGTAACAAACAATCTAGATAATGCCTCGATCTGCATTCGGAAAAAAAAAATTCTCAAAGAAAAATTAAAAGAGAAAAACTAGGCAGGACGTAGCGAGTCCAGCCGACGGGGCAAAGTGATTTTTTTTTCTTCTCTTCTTATTTTTCTTCCCCACCTCCTCCCCCTTCTCTTATTTTCTCTTGGGAAGCAATCGACCACGTTCTCGTGGGTTGGGCTTCCCCTACCCATCGAGGATCGAAGGCTTGGCCCACCAAGTACTCCGTACTCCGTACCTAGAGTCGGTATCATGCCATACAGTATATCCAATTGTCGGAGTCATGGATATAATCGCTCGCCTTGTTATTGGTACAATTTCAGGACGAAACAGGACCTACATCATATCAGGCCAGCGAAGAAATGCTCTACTTGGCCGAACTGTACTGCATCAGTAGTATATATATATATAATATATACCTGCAATCCGGATGCTGGATGGCCCAAAGTCAATCAAACAGCAATCAAAAGGTTCTGACGATACAGATCTATAGTCCTGCGGGATAAGCAATCAATAAAGTCCACGCATTATGCTTTCATGCGGGCGTACATGTAGAAAGCCTACGGTAGGATACCGGGATGTGACAAGGAACCGAACGGCGGAAATATCACTCAGTCTTTCGGCAACCGACGGTAGGCAGGACATATCGTATAGCAAGCTGTGTCACCTGGGCACGCATAAACCCTTTTTTCCAGCATATATTTGCGTAGTTCATGGATATTTTTATGTTACAACATTTGGATGGGTTACTGCCTAATGGTCAAGAAAAAGCGGAGGGAAGAGAGGACAAGAAAAGAGATTACTAGGGACCAACCGATAACAAGGTCTCCAAGGTCAGGCCACAAGTAGTACTGCATCCTGCATACTTAGTCGTACATGAATATACATCCATGTCGCTGCGCTACTAGTGCCATCGGACATGCATGGTCTGGTCTACAAAGGTACGGTAGTACTTTACGTAGCACAACAGAAATAATATCCCAAAAAGAACAAGGAGGATGGTCAGATGCAATCTCGACGGCATCAAAGCTAAATGAGTCTCCTGAAGGGTTAAATTCTGACATAACTAGGGGGTGGGTGCTATGATGCTCATGGTCAACGCTACCGGATTGGAAGTCCGGGGAACCTGAATCAGAGACGCGAAACAGAAAGGAAGAGAAAGAATAGTACAATTATGTCAACGTGCAGATTCTTCAACGAGCTAGCTAAGAATTGCTTGGTTTGATCTATATTAATGATTCAATAATCATAATAAGGGAGGGGAAAGAAAAGAAGAAAACAAAACAAATAATTATAATATCCAGCTGCAATTGACGGGTGAATATATAAATAGCTAGACCAGGAACCTGATTGGGTGCCTCTTGCAGTCTCGCACAGACTCCTGCAGATGGACTTATGTGATAGATTAACTCCACTGCATTGTCCTATTCTTATATATTCCATACTACCAGGATATACTAGGTATCTACGTAGGATTTCGTAGCTTTGTTAATCTTTTTTGGGGTGCCCTACCCTGTCGGTAGTATCGAGCCAACCCATATCCATTAGGGCAAACATCTCACATGTGCTCTTGGGGATGGAATAATGAGAGGTATTAATATCCCGGCTATCGATATCTCTGGATTAATGGTTGTCACTGGTAACTGTCAAAATCTTTAGTGGAAGCTTAAGCATACCAGTAGTCCATTATTCTCGGCGCCACGAGTAAAACCACGCTGAGGTTCTAATAAAGCAAATCTAGATCTACAGTGTCAACGCACCTCAGCATTAAGTTCAATGAGCCCAACGCTTACCTGAAAGAGACGAAGAGTCTCGCTAGAGGCTTCCAATTATAGGGGCCTCTTAGCCCAGTAGAGTTGACGCTATTATTTTCGGACTTGAACTGTTGTGCCCAAAGCTGCAATCCGATTTTTCAAGGACGATAGTACACAACTAAGCCCATAAAAGCGAGAGACGAAAGGCCTCAAACTCTACAGTCGATAATTGCGAATACATCGCATTATGAAACGATATTATTGTGAAAACTCTTCGTTTTAGTATTGTGGTGTGGGGAAACTTTGTGAGGTATCAACTCCATTGACGCACACTCCACACTCACGGGCAACCACCGTTCCATCGTACCAACAACACGATAATCGCATGGCGACTAATTCTGACTATCCGTGCTTCTGCATATGGAAGTTAAGATCCAGCTGTACGGTACTTTACACCCTCCCCTGCATGTGCGTTATTCAATGTGGCTATGTCACTCGCGGAACCCCCGTTCCCTTTCAAAGACCATGAAAGGGAATTTGACTTATCGTATTTTCCCGAACTGGCCCGGTCGAGTTCCTTTAGGACATGCGTTTTTCACCGGGACTCCTCAAAAAGATGAAAGCATAATAAGAGCCGCTGAGCTCTCCTGGGTCCAGGGGTTATAATGGAAGGGTATACATGCATCCCTTGCTCGAAGACCCTACCAAGTATAGCCTTGCCCTAACTGGATACTCCTTCCCAGGGCGAGAGGAACAGTGATGTCAGGAACGGTCTTGTGTAAATTAGAGCTTGTGAAGCTTGGAAGAATCAACCAGGAAAGAAAAGGCTAAAATATTAAAATAAGACAAAATAAAATAAAATAAAACGCTGCAACCTGCTTGGGGTGTGCGCCGCGAGGAAATTATCCCTGACAGTTCCGGATGCAGCCCCCTAGGGCATAAATCCTGTTCGTCGCCACGATCGTGCAACCCTCAGACCGGGGTAGAGCTCGCTGTATACATCACGACAGAAACTGTCAGACATATAGCTGTGACTACTTTCTTTCGTTGGTGCGTAGGTTAAGATCGAGTACAAAGTACCTCTTTCTGCGCAAATCATGACTGTCACTGCATATGCACAGGGTTGAACGTTTCTGGAAGGTTTGGATACGTCGCTGTTCCATCATCCACATCCTTTCTGACTGGACCGGCTTATTTCCTGGACTAGTTGCTACTGTCACTGTCGATCCGTTTAAACCCATTATCGAGTCGAGTCCAAAGGGCTGGAACTCGCCGCTATCCTTATGTTGCAGGGGCCCTCCTTAGCTCCACAACCCAGATTAAGGCTTCAAGCCATGAAAAGTAAAGGAGAAAAAAAAATTAAAGAGAGAAAGAAAGAAAGGAAAAGGAAAACTCTATCTATGGACGTGCCAACGTCAAAGGCTACTACAGTAACTTCCTCCTATGATTAGCTTATTCGATCTCTCCCTTACTTTCCTGTCTTCTCCCCTTTGTCCTCATGAGACTCTAGCCCTAGTCCCTGTCACTGCCTTAGCGTCAGACCCGCAAACCTGGAGAAGCAAATGAGACAAGGAGAGTCTCCATGGACAAGGTGCTTTATCTGGGTCTCGGGTGACGTTTATATTTCAACCCATTCCTCAACTAGCTGCCCGTGGACTTTTCGCCTCTTAGATGTACCACCGAGTACTACGGCGTACATGAGGGCCATTGCGGCCTGTGTTATGGTTGACTGACTTCGGTTGTCACACGAACTGCTAGCCTTCGAATATATATTGAGATTCTAATCGTGACGGGACTTTTTTTTTTTTTTTTTTTTCTTCTCTCAATATTTACCCCACTGCTGAGACAAGGCTGTAAAGATACTATTTTTTTTTTTTTGCTACAATGAGTACGAGCATTCAACACATCGTGCACCCCCGGGGTGACGATAAGTCCTTCCTTTCTAGTGGAGGCAAGAGTGGAATGGCAATCAGCATTGCATTCACCAGCTTAGCGACCATTTTCGTTTTTGCCCGAGTTTACACGCGTGCCGGCATAATGAAGCGCATGGAGTCGAACGATTACATGGTCATGATCGCTCTGGTAAGCTATCACTATGGTTCGGTTGACACTCACACAAGAGTTTCCCAGCGCTAACGTGCCATCCCAGGCATTCTCCTATGTCTTCATGGCCTTTTATATCATAGAAGCATTGAACGGAATGGGTATGCATGGCGCTGATATCCCACCCCCCATTCTCCTTAAGCAGATGAAAGTGAGTAGAGACATAATTGCAGCTTTCAACAGCTGCAGCAGATCAAGACTGACATGACTCCCATCTCTCCAGGCGTTCTGGATTACCATCCCATTCTACAATGCCGCCCTTCTATGCGCCAAAGCTTCGATACTTCTGCAGTACTTCCGCGTCTTCCCTACTAGACGCATGCGTCTCATCACCTGGGTCATGTTAGGTATACTCGGCATCTACGGGTCCTGGGCAGTTCTGAGTGGCTTTCTCAATTGTATCCCTGTGGCAAAATTCTGGGACAAGACACTTGAAGGGTACTGCTTGGATGAAAAAGGGCTGTGGTTCTCAAATGCCTCGATGCATATCACCACCGATCTTGTTATTCTTATCATTCCTATCCCGGCCCTGTCGAAACTAGATCTTCCCAAGAGACAGAAGATCGCGTTGATCACGGTTTTTGCACTAGGCGGATTGTAAGCCCACCTATCTTCCATCATCGGTACCTAAGCGGCAATATCTAACAGCTGTCCTAGTGTATGCATCACCAGCATCTGTCGTTTGGTCGCCCTCAAAAAGATCTCCGATTCGACAGATCCAACCTGTACGTCTCCCCATCAAGCCACTACCCAGAAGCCGAGGAGACCATAGATCCTAACAAAAATACTAGTTGACAACGTCGGCGCCGCCTCTTGGTCCGCCATCGAATGCAACGTAGGGATTATCTGCGCCTGCCTCCCCACACTTCGACCTCTTGTATCCCGCATCGTGCCCCATCTCCTATCGACCCTAAGCAGCCGTAACCGAAGCTACGGCAACAGACGATTCTCGCACGGACGACCCCCGACATACTGGGGCGGTGGTGCAGGAATAGGAACAGTTTCAACCACCATCACTGCGATGGATGATCTCGAATTTGGAAGCCACTGTGCCGATTCAGATAGGGTTCTGACACTTGTCCCTGAGGCGGACATTCACGGCAAGGAGAAGCTCGTGTTGAAGGAAACGAAGTGTATGGAAGATGCTGCTGAAAGGGTGCGGGCCACAGCAGGGTCATCCATTTCACCCTGATGGGGCTTCTGTGAGGAGTGAGACTTCTTAACGCGAGAAAGAGGCATTCAATAGAGATATCCCATGCGTTCGTGCCTTTTTCTCTCTTTTCTTTTCTTCTCTTTTACGATTTTTATCTTCTTGTCGCAGGCGCTTTGATATCTCTTGCTCTTCTTTATGCTCTATCGAGTCTATACTTAGCCTTGTGTTGCTTTATTCTGTTCCTTTTGTATATATTCAAGTTTACCCATTCCTTAATAGATTACCGAGCAAAATACAAAGCATGGCTTGAATGTGCAATGGACTGCGCAGAGAAGTATTCGAGGTGAGTAAAACAAAGGAAAATACATGTATCCTGAGACATGATTGCATTGGAAACTGAACAGTTCTAAAGAATGTATATATAGATATAGGTACTACAGATCCAACATTGGAATCCCAGCCAGTGCATACTTATCGATGGAAACATTTCCAAATATTCCATAAGAGAGCATCAGAAATCTGCGAATTCCTTGTCCACCTCCTCGAAATAGTCGAAAAAGCCCTTGAACAGCTTCACACCTAATCCCGGATCCAAGCTACCGGTAGTCGCACGGATACTGTGCATACTCAACTGCGGGATTCCTACATCAATGGCCCTCATGCCAATGCGAGAACTGGTCATGGGTCCAATAGTCCCGCCACTACGGGAGTCATTACGGATCTGGAAGACCTGCAAGGTCGAGCCACAACGATTAGCGACACGTTTGATGAACCCGTAGCTCACACTGTCTGTTGTCATATGACCGTTAGAATCGGCCGAGACGGCCACGCCGACGTTCAGACGGGGAGCATGGTTCTCAAGGTAGACATTAAGGAAGTTCGGGTTGACCGCATGAATGACGTCCGAAGACACGAAGAAGCTGTTCGCCACAGTTTGAGACAGCACGTTGGGACCGTAATTGGGCGAAAAGGCCTCCGTAATACGTTCTATGACGCTGCTCATGAAGTTGGATCGCGCTCCCTGGCGAAGCAGGCTCCCAATTTCCTCGTCGTCAAACATACCGACCATCTTGATAGAGCTAGTTGAAGTACTGTCGGGAGAGGCAAGCAGAGCTTCCTGGGCGGCATAACAGCAGAGCTTATCGTCAATGCGACCAGCAAAAATCAGGTCCTTGTCCAGACCACCAACTTGTGCTGGTTGACTGTCATACAGCTCCAGCTCCCAGCTGATAATCGAGTTGAAGTCTGTGATACCAAGTTCCTTGGATATGACTTTGACAAGCTTTTCTGGTTGCGTGGCTGCAAACGTACCGGGCTTGATCCCGCTACCCTGGTCCGTCTTGGATAAGACTTGCTGCTGGAAAAGATCGGAATTGTCAACGCCAATGATAGGCACCATTTGAGTCTCTTTGTTGAAGGGGCCTTGCGAGGGAGCTCCGAAATGTGGTGCCAGGGTTGGGATCCGAGCAATGGGCCAGTCCAATTTGACTAATTTGGACTCAACTCTCCCGGTATTGCAGTCTTGGACCAAAACACGGCCACCGATTGAGAGATCGCGATCCCACCATGTGTCACTCAGAGCGCCTGCGTAGGGCGCGACTCCGAGTTGACGAAAGCCAGCCTTGTTAGGCAGTTTGGACACGGGCTTCAATTTCGCGGTGAGTGCATCAATATGACCTGCAACAATGGCCATTCCATTGCCACTTTTATAATCTCTTCCAATTGAGAATGAGATGAAAGCACTACCATTTCGAGTGACGTAGTACTTCCCACCCTTCTCTAGCTTGGAGTTCCAGGTCTCGCGCTCGGGAAGGCGCTTGTATCCCTGGCTTTCGAGCTGCTTGGTAAAACCGTCAACTGCATGAAAGATCGTCGGATTTGCTGTCATAAATTCGCAGTATGGTTTCGTGTAATCCTCCGGGGCGACGGGGCCAGTCCTCGCCACTGGGGTCGCAATGGTGGCTGGGGAGGGCTCAGGAAGCTGGGCCGACAGGCGATAAGCCATGGCAGAATCACGGAGATCAAGGACACTCCTTTTGGTCATGTCGAAGGCTAGGAGTTGAGATTCCGTAGTTTAGAAGCTAGATATCGCGTCGGAATGCGGTTTGAGAGGATCGGTACCAAGGGAAAGGAGGGAGCAAGGAGTATGGGAGGGCTTTGAAGAGGGATGAAGGAGGAGGGAGCAGCTGAGCTGGAGCTAATTGCGGTCACGCCTTATCGGGGAAGCTGATAAACGATCCAGGAACCAAACAAACCAAATCTCAGACACGCCGATCCGCCAAGACGGCAGTTTTACGTCACATGCTCAATAAATGATGCAATTGGATGCATGCGTTGTATAAAGATAACGACTAGTATCCATCTACTCCGCAGACTGAAAAACTTTTGAGATGATGGGGAATTCAAAGCGCAGAGTATAAAACAGCTACACTCAAAGAAACCGACGCCAAGAAGCGAACATGGTATGTATACTATTTAGCCTGCAGTAATTGAATCAACTCTATCGTCTCTTAACTGCTCGAACCAACATACGCATTCCAGTCTACAACGCCACCCGCACATTCCTCAGTAATTGCTGGGCCCGTGGTTGTTACAACCTCCCGGTTACCTCGCACGATAGAGATTCTGACAGGTCCTGTCTGCCCCTTGAAGGAGAAAGATCCATGATTGACGCCAGGTACGGCATCAAGTACAGAATGTGGACCTGATCCAATTTGGACATGGACCTCGCTAGGCTCAGTGACGAATGCGCTAACGAACACCTTGTCCTGAGAGAGTTCATGGGGTTTCATTTCTGGCTGACCAATGCCGGGGTTGTTACCGGTTGTGCCGTCGGCGCTACCCGACTGCCCAGGGTTCAATCGATACCAGTACACAATCTTGTCTGCATAGGATATGGGGTACTTCTGATGGAGGGAAGTGCTGGCTGGGTTACTGTGGTGGTTCGCGATGTTCCGTCTGTACCCGTCGATATAATGAGGCAGAAAAGTTCGCCATGCATCATGAGGGTGATTAGCGACGTATCGCGAAGCCCCTTCAGGCACTCCAGCCTTGTAGATTGGGCCGATGTAATGCGTCTCTCCATAGTCATTCCAACTCAAGATCTGGTAAATATAAGCCTATGGAAATCGCAGATAATCATGAAAGGTGACCATACCTGGACAAGAGGCGGTTGCAATTCAATGACCTGTTTCCAACGATAGTGCCATAGATCATCTCCACGCCAAAGCCAATTCTTTCTCCACCGCGGGAGATTCGTGTAGAACCAGGGAGCGACGGGCATCATATATGGCTTCCCTGAAAGGGCTTTCATCCACTCCAGATCGTTTGTCACCTTCATGTCTTCTGCACCAACTGGCCAAGCATCCCAGCTAAAAGCACCATCGATTTCATTTAAAACACCGCGTATACCGGCTGGTCCCTTACTCGTCCAGCAAGGGATGAATAAACAACCTGTAGCGGCCTTGATATTCGGCCAGTCACCCGTTTTGTCGACACCTTCAAATGTCGATACCAGTGGCTTCCCCTTGTAGTAGAACTGCGCCTTTCGATTCTTATAAGAATTGACGATAGTGATAACTCGATCTGCCGGCCAGGGTCCACCTGACAGGTAGTCAAACGAAATGAATAGGGAAAAATTTCCAATCTTTTCAGCAGCGTCATATGCTTTTTGAAGGGCTCCATCGGTGTGATGGTCTTGCGGTGCAACGTTCAATGCAAACCCATCAATGTGGGCTTTCTGCGCCTCTACAATGTCCGACTCCCACTGATCTGACGTCATGTAATACGCATTGCCAATCTAGTATCCGTAAGCACAGCACATCCTTTTGTGACGAGGAAGCTTTTCTCTTACGATGAAGTGGGCGAAGACATTATGCGAGTCAGGCAGCGTGGGGACGCCCTGCGGCGGATGTTGAGCAATAACGGGTGGCACTGCTAGGGAAAAGATAATTTGTGATGAGCCTCCTAGCCTTGATGTGAAACACTAACAGGTCCAGTTTGTGCTGAGATTTCCAGTCAAATTTTATAAACTAACATCTGAGAAACACAAGTCGTAGATGTCCATCCGTATTTTTGAGCAACGTGCATGGTAGGAAAGAAAATACTTGGGAGCAAAAGCATGAGGATGTTACATCAAGTCAAAGAAACCGTAGTTTTGGAGACGCTGTAGTGTAGAACAGCATAGGAGAGATGCAATTGGGCTGGCCTCTCTTCTGGGGAATGACGGGGGTGCAAGCGGAAATTCACTGACCTTGTATGATTGGGGGTTGCTGCTGGTGGTGATGATGATGGTGACGGAGTTTCTCCGGGGTTTGGACATGGCCGAGAATACGATCGAGATGGTGTTTCATTGTGGAACTTGACAGTGGAGCACCACGTGGCTGCGAGAAATCTCAGAAGAAGAGTGAGAAATCAAAGATGGGCACTTCAACAATACTGTATGCCGAACAAATTCAAATGCTATGCAAAAGCTTGAGATTTTCCAAGCACCAGTGAGGGGCTAATGGCATTTTAAAAAGGACAAGGACCCCTCTCATCTGACCGTACAGGACCTTCTCGGGGACCAAAGAACAACATAGATATCGCCACGGAGCATGGGCAGATAGGATATGGTCTATCGGGTAGACACACATACCGACATGCATCCATTTAGGTCTTGACTGGACGGATTTCCCCTTTCGTCTTGGCACTGAATTGACCAGTTGTTCCACTCACATGACACACAGTTTCTTGGGCATTGGAGACAGATAGCCTTTTTTTTTTTTTTTTTTTTTTTGGGCAACGCTTTTCTGATCTATCACTAGCTCTATGCGATCGGATGGTTATCATGCATGAAGCCCAGCTTCCTTTCTCTCACCGACCAACGCTCAGCCTCGAGTGGGTTTGCAATTGGCGTCGTCAGCTTCAAGGTAGGTCCAACCACAGCGCGGTGTGAAACTCACGCTTGAAAAAATGATGTAAAACAAAGATTGCCGTAAATTGGTCCCATTGCTGAAAAATATCATTATTAGCCCAGTCCTTTGAGAAGCCATAGGAAATGGCTATGGCTATGGTTGGGCGTTCCAAGATTTTTGCCCCAGGCCGACTCATAGTGATGTCAGTCCTGATAATGTACTCAACCACTCTTGAAATGCCACCTTTTAATCCACGCGAGCACCGTCCTCAATCAGAGCCGGAGGTTAATCTGAGAGGTCTTTTAACTATTTCAATAGCTCAAAATGGCCGTATCACAAGCTGCAAATATCGTGGAAAAGGTGGTTGGACATAGTGATAATGCCACCGTCACAACCGATGTGAGTAATTATAATAAGGGAGCTTATGGGCAGGAAATAGGAGAGAAGATCAAGGCCACGACATGGCAGGGAAAGAACAGTGTCCAAATCGGTACGTATTGAAACATAACCGAGAAAAGGCCAGCCTAACAGGTCAGCAGTCGAAATGCCAAAACCAAGAGTTGTGGATGAAGGCGATGTGATAGTCAAGGTAACTGGTAGCACAATTTGTGGAAGTGACCTTCATCTATACCATGGTATGAATTCGCTCGAGCGGCTATTGATGAATGTGCCGGCTCATTCTTTGGTTTAGGTGTCATTCCCCAATTAGAGAAGGGCGATGTTCTCGGCCATGAATTCTGTGGTGTTGTCGAAAGCGTGGGACCAACTGTGAAGAAGGTTAAGACTGGAGATCGCGTTGTTGCAGCTTTCCCAATTGCTTGTGGAGAATGCAGAAACTGTAAGGAGCAATTGACGTCAGCCTGTGAACGGACGAATGAGAACTCCATTACGAATGCGATGTATGGTAAACGGACAGCAGGTACGTTACTTGTATGCGAAAGTCTCAAGTCAGACGAAGCTTATCCTTGCCACCCTAGGAATTTTCGGTTATAGTCATTTTACTGGGGGCTTCGCGGGAGGCCAAGCAGAGTACGTTCGCGTGCCTTACGGCGATGTTAATCTACTGCAGCTCCCAGCGGACGTTCCAGATGAGAAAGGCCTCTTCCTTTCAGATGTCCTGGCAACCGCGTATCATTGCGTTGTTGATACGGGTGTGAAGAAAGGTGATGTTGTAGCCATTTGGGGCGGAGGCCCAATCGGCCAGATGGCTGTGGAATACAGCTTTAGCCAGGGGGCCACTCGTGTCATCCTTATCGATGGAGGAGAGGGAGCATGGAGGTTGAATTTTGTCAAGAGCAAGATACCAAAGCTTGAGACAATAGATTTCAGCAACCTACCAAGGGGAGAATCAATCACCTCCCAGCTGAAAAAGATGGTATCTGGAGGGCCAGATGTGGCCCTAGAATGTGCCGCGGGAGAGTACGCTAAAGGATGGGCACATTACTTCGAGATGCTACTGGGAATTGAGACAGACACCTCGGAAATTTTGAATGAGATGATCACTGCTGTCCGGCCGTTTGGACGAATCGGTGTAACCGGTGTCTATGCTGGCTACGTAAGTAAAACCACCGTATTCTGTAGCTTTGCCCTCCCTTATTGACCAATCGCTATACAGACGAACCATTTCAATATTGGTGCTCTCATGCAAACTGGTATCCGGTTTATTGGCAACGGCCAGGCACCAGTCCAGAAATACTGGGAACACCTCTTGGAACTCATACGGCGACAAGAGATTAATCCATTGGACATGGTAACCCACCGTGTCCCATTGGAGAATATGCCGGAATTGTACGCGGCGTTTGAGAGACGAGACAAAGGTATGCAGAAGGTTTATGTGCAGACCAGGTTCTCATCACCTCCGGCGGAAGGATCACCACAGCTGACCGAGCTTTGAACGCATAATTCTACGATTACTTGGATTTTTATATACGAAGATTGGCATACATGTTATCCCAACACACCAGAAGGGGGGGAGAGAAGAAAACGAAAAAGAAAAAAAAAGAAAAGAAAAATTTTCGTGCTATAAGATTGGCATTTAATCGGCGAGGATCGGCAGAAGGTAACTCGTCCAGCCAATGTCAACAAGTATAGTGCAGGAAATGTACGTGGAGTTCTTTCAGCTTTCCCGCAAATAGTAATCAAGCCCGAGTGTAGAGCATGTTTAATGGATCTAGAATGTAAAGACTATAGGTCCCTAATGCTGGCTTCAATGCCCTATAAGCATAATTTATCACATGAGGCAATAGCTCGCCTATTCCACGTTTTTATATTTCCCGCACTCTTTTTTTTTTTTTTTTTTTCCTTTCATTTTCCAAAGGGACCCAGAGGAAGCATATTACCATGCACAATTGCCTACGGAAGTCGGTCAATCAGGTTATCCTTCGTGAATAAATACCACAGCAGTTTCGGTCCGTGTTTCGCCCGTTTGATTCCGTTGATCGGCATCAAAAACCGAACAGGCCGCAGGTTAATTGAGAAGGCAGACAACTGTGGTTGGGATTTGAAATCCATGATATTAGTAAAACCAAGCAACAATTTTTCCTTTCGTCTCCTCTGTAAAACTTTGGTCCCAGCCAGCTATGCTAAACAAGGTTAACAGGATTCATCCGTTCAAGAGATCGTCGATGGATGGTTTAGTGTATTACGGCATCAGATAGCCCAATTTGGTAAAGCCGGGATCAGATAAGATCAGATGATGGAGGGATATGAAGTGCCGAATGGAAAGCATTACCATTATAGGTTGCTTTTCTACGGGAAGAAAATGACAGAAGCAAAATAGTATTTCTTTTAATTTCTATTTTCGTTTTTCTCTCATAGAGAAAAGAGCAGCGAAGTACTCTGCAGGACTATCTCAGTCCGAGATATTGTTGTTTTTTTCTTGTAATTCGAATATTCCCATAGCTCTTCGACACTTGAACCGATAAAAAAGTTAAACCCAAAGCTCGCTCAACCGAACTAGAAGATTATAAATTATATTATTGATTCTTGATGATAGAATGATAATCTATCGTAGCAGTCTGCTGTGTTGTATCATGTGGGTTTGAGGAGAGAGAGGAGAGAGAGGAGGAAAAAAATAAAAATAAAACAGGTAGAAAAAAAGAGCAAAAAGAGGCAAGGATGCTCGCGGTCACCGCGGGTGAGCAGATTCCACACTGGTGCCGAAAAGAGTATCTATGACTAGTATGTACTCCGTACTTCGTACTTCGTACCCACCATATCCACCTCATGGTTTGGAAGGAAGAGAAAATTTGAAGTTCCATGGGTTTGAGGATAGAGTCGGAATTGACTAAGTCACCACTTCTGATCATGCTCGCAAGCATAAATATGAGATTTTTTTGTCTTTTCCATAATACTAGTAGTTAATATCAATATATTAGGTGACCCTGTGTCAGAGGGTGTTGTTCCTTGCGTATACCTACTACAGCATACGCGGTACATTTCACTCTAGATTCACTGCAGGGCAGGAGGAGGCTTGGGTTCATACCCTGATAGGTGCAAACCCCAACGTCCCCATTGATTGATAACCAAGGCGCAGATATGGGTCAACGAATAAGAAACCCAAGCGAGTAAGTGACTCCACCTCTCGCCGAAATCGGTGAGACCGCACGATAATCTAATCTGATCCGATCACCTTTTTCCAGTCCTGTTTCCCCCCTCCTCTTCCTCCTCGGCTTCTTTCTTTCCTTTCCCTAATTTTCATCTTGAGTCTCTCTCGTTCATTTTTATACCACCGAGAGATTTTATGCTCTGGGGAATTGGAACTCGGGGAGAATTGCTTCAAAATTGCACTTCTCACAGCTCACCAATCCATCGTCTCGCTTACTGGCTGCAGGGGCGCACTTCCGCTCTTCCGGCCGTAGCGATCAAGTGACACCACCTGTTGGTCCGTGGACTCTCTTTCCCTACACTGTCCAACCTTCACCTTATCTTCTACACCCGCACCCGGGGACATGGCCCGCTGACTTCTACCCAGAATTCCTCTTGAAGTAAAGAGGCAATCCTAAATAAAATGGCAACTCCCGCACCATCAATAGCCCCTGCGCCCACTCCAGCTCCGTTGGCTCCCGCAATTGCCGCCAAGCCAACCATTTCACCGTCTCCCGGACCGGGTACACCCGGATCCGTCACCTCCAAAGAATGGGTTATACCACCACGTCCCAAGCCTGGCCGGAAGCCTGCCACAGATACGCCGCCTACTAAACGTAAGGCGCAGAATCGCGCGGCCCAAAGAGCGTTCAGGGAACGAAGAGCCGCCCGCGTTAATGAGCTTGAAGACCAAATTAAGAAAATCGAAGAAGAGCACGATATTCATGTGGCAGCGTTCAAAGAGCAAATTTCAAATTTGTCTCATGAAGTCGAACAGTGCCGGAATGAAATGACATGGTGGCGCGACCGATGCCATGCTCTGGAGAAGGAAGTCTCGGTAGAGAGAAGCGCGAAGGAAGCCCTTGTTAAAGAGTTTCGGTCGTCGCTCTCAGATAAGAATGCCCCTGCTGGTAGGGCACCTTTGACTCGTGTGTCTGCCAGAAAATCCATCTCTGGACGAGCTACAAATGAAAGGTCTTCGCCGAGCAACGCCAATAGCGGTAGTGACCATGATGAGCGGGAGGAAGTGCCACTGGGCTGCCCTAGTTGTTCTTCAACACATTGCCAGTGCATTGAAGATGCATTTGCAATGCCGGGCGTTGAGTCATTGCAGTCTAAGTGTCTTAGCACCACTGGACAAGGGCGTGCCGAGCCTGAGATAAAGCCCGACCCGGAGGAGATGGAAATCGACTTTACCACACGGTTTGCTGCTCCCCAACCACAGGAAGACAATGCCACGGCTGTTTCATCCCCTGCGGTTGATCCGTGCGGCTTTTGCCAGGATGGAACCCCATGTATTTGTGCGGAAATGGCAGCCCAGGAAGAACAGCGTCGACAGTCCTTCGAGAATAACCGTCTTGCACCAATTCAGAACCTGTCTCAATTCACACCCCCTCCCTCCGATGGTGACGTTCGCTCTGAAGTCACTCTGCCGCCCATTAGCCAGGCAACCAACCCCTGTGCGAATGGCCCTGGCACCTGCGCCCAATGTCTTGCGGATCCGAAGAGTACCCTTTTTTGCAAGACGCTGGCGGCCTCCCGCTCCGCCAGCGTTGCCTCCTCCGGATGTTGCGGCGGTAAGGGCACCGATGGTGGGTGTTGCCAGTCACGCAGTTCCAATCCTCCGCGTGCTACTGCCGCCAAATCGACATCTGGTAGATCTATGACGCCATCACTGACACTCTCTTGTGCCGATGCCTTCACGACACTGTCACGACACCCGAATTTCTCCCGTGCCAGTGATGAAATTTCTACGTGGCTTCCTAAGCTTCATACATTGCCGAATCCGAAGGATGTTGCATCACCCGATCGATGCTCCTCGAGGGCGGCACTCGAGGTCGAGGCAGCGAGCGTAATGGGCGTCTTGCGCTACTTTGATCGGAGGTTTGCCGACAAATAGGCCGCCCGCCCAAATACGTTCATGAATCTATGCCATATATTTCGTTTAATTCTTTTTCCTTCTTTATGATACCCAAACCTGACTCGTGTCTGAGTTTGTATTATACAACACCTCTTTTTTTTTTTTTTTTTTTTTTTTTTGGGGGGCCGGGATGCATTTCAGCTTCTAATATCTTCGATTTTGAGGTTTTCTTTAGGCCTCCGTGACGCGCACCGAGGGAGCTTAAAGAAGAGAAAAACAAAAAGAAGCAAGGGCTATTTCTTGCTTCCCTTAGCGCTTACGTTGAAAACAGAGCGGATGGGTGGATCGGCATGGTATAGGATGGAATGGGATGAATACAATTCACTCCAATGATTAGACGGGTGAATGACTGGCGTTTTTCTACTTACTTTCCATTCTGGGTTGATTTCGGATGACCCCAAAATAAAATTCAGGACGAACATGACCCAAAAGAACATTATGTACGGGTTGAGCCGCGGCTCAGAAGATAACAATTGTTTCGTTCATTAGAGAAAATTCTACTGGTTTGGGAAATTAAGCTGGAGTCATTTTAGATAGATGGAAAGGGTATTTCTGGGTGGCGATCTGATTGGATTAATATATCTACCGACCGACATACGAGGTGTATTTTCATCGGTATGGAGATTCCTTGAAACATATGGAACGGTTTAATTGCCACTGCTGTCTGAAATGAAAGGCTCTGTATAGGGAGATGAGATGGCTGGATGTACCATGACGCTAATGTTGGACGAGTGATATACATATTCCCTATGTTAAACGGTAGGAATAAAAGGGAAAGGAGGTTCGAAGACCTATCAGAAAGCATGTCGCCGCCGTTATCTACAAAATAAACACAAAGAGGTCCAACGCCTTCAACCCTTTTGCGCCAGCTAGGTGGGCAAAATAGTGTAGGGCGTAGAGGCAATGGAGAATTGATTAGGGGCAGGACAAGGATGAATAACGAAGAAGGGGAGTGGGTATGAGAACAAGGTAAACAGTGGGCTAAGTTGGGAGAACTGGGAGTGTTAGATGCATGAAAGTTCAACAGATGTGGTTTGATCAAAAGCGGCCTCCACTGGGCATCGCTCCATCCTCCCCGACGGCACCAGCGTTTCCAAGGAAGCTGGCGCCCCAGATGCCAGCAATACCCCACATCCCAATTCGCCAGCCGCGATAGAGCCCATGGATTCCCTGGCCTTGCCGTTTCCTCAGCGCAATGGGCTTGTTGAATAAGGCCTGCGCCCTCTCAGCCTCTGGGTTCGGTTGAACACCCTCCTCGTAGACAATACCCCACATCGTTCCGACAATACCCCTATATGTACGGGGTGTCGGAACGATGGTTTCGACCTCTGGGGCTTCAGTGACAGCCTCTGAAGGCTTCACAGAACGCAGCCCACTGGTAGACTGTTGGCGGAGGCTTGGCGACGTGAAAGTAGCGATCTGTGCTCGACGCAGCACAGTTTCCAAAGGGAACCGGATTGCCAGTTCCAAGCCGGACCCCATGAAGGTAAACAAGTTCCACATGGATGGGTTGAGGATGGGGTCAAGGGACAGGTACGATTTCAGGAAGAGCGGAGTGGTGGTCGTTATGAAGTTCGGCAAACTGGAATGGAGGATTGTGATTGGGACTAGATGAGGGGGTACCGTGCAGTTGGGAGTTGGGATTTGCCGAATGGCTCGTATAAGGGAGCGGGGTCCATGAGTGACGGGCGTGAGAATGAGGAGTGTACGGGCTGTATCAATCGGGGAGAGGATCAGTGCAGACAAGGATGTAGAGATGAATGACAGGACCAAGGTGGCAATTGGAGAGGTCGAAGTCAGAATGTCCGCGGTCATGGAGGACGAAATATCATCCTCTGGTAGTCCCACAATAGCTGACAGGAGACTGCGAATGAACGTGTTCAATGTTGGGAGGAGTAGAGAGTAAATAAATGTGGCATTGGTTGCTTTCCATGGGGATGTTGGTCCACTGGTGGTCCACAGCTGGGAAAGTACATCCATCAGGGAGCTTGGGTTTTTTATTTTCAAAGCGTTCCGGGACGGTGGGGTTGAGGTTTGAATGTAGCCGCTTCGATCAGTGATATGGCGCCGAAGTCTTCGAGATCGTGAGTTTGACGGCGACGAGACTGCAGGCGCTGTCGATGTGAAGTAACTGCTCTCATCGTCGGAAGATAGTGCATCCTAATTGACCCATTGCAACATTAGCCACCACGTAGAATGTTTTCCCCTCTGGTCCCTCTAGGGTTCCACATAGGACTTACAACTCCCTCTTCTTCTTCTTCTTCTTCTTCTTCTTCTCCTCCTCCCCCCTCCTCGTCATATGGATCGTTCCGGGCACCCGAACTTTGCCTCCGATGGCCATCCATAAGCCACTGTCCATCCTGACTGTCCGGCACGACATAGGCCTGTAGAATGGTTTTCGCGACGTCAAACGGTTGTGCAGTTAAAAGACTGGTATATTTCCAAAGTGCACGGTCCAGGGCATCTCTGATCCAGCTTGATACAGAGGGGGAGTTCTCCAAATAGTCCGAGTAGTCCAAGTCGGGCAGTAGGTCGCGGGCAGAGCTTCCAAAAACATGGGCCGATGACGCATCTGGAGGGGATGAAGTGGCGTTGGAAGCCTCCAGGCCCATGGAGGGGGGGGAGTAATAAGGACGCAGAGGATTGAGTCCTTCACGAGAAGATGACATCGTTGTGAGTATATGGAGATGAACGTCTTCTTCTTGTAAAGTGGAAAGGGCGGGTATTCTTTGTCGGAGTTTTTGGATTGTCCTAAAATAAATTAATTTACCCGTTTGAGGTCCAAGGCGGAGAGCGAAAAAGGTCAAAAAAGGTTAAGTTGGAAGCAGCGAATGATTATGTCCGAATTTCCCGCCTTCTCCTCGGAGTTACTCTTTTTTTCTCCTCCACAGAGTCAATCGATCTTCAATTGAAACGTCCCTCTCTCAGACTTTATTTCTCTAAAGTCCCCCTGCCTTTCGGCAATTTACTCTTTTGGAAACTCTTCACTATACTTTCTTTTTCTTCTTTTTTATAATCCTCTATAAACCCCCGGCACATAATCTCTAAACATGTCGTTCTGGAGAGAAACTTTCCTTAATTTGCGTCATGCCGTCCCGAAGACTGTCCCCGGAGATCGCGCATGTCGCGCCCAATCGAAACGCTTTCTTACATATTCCTCACAGAGCCCTCGAGTGGCTGCCTCCAACCAGTACTCATTGCACGCTAAGATACCCGGGTTTACTGTGAGTCAACGGCGGTCACGGAACGGATTGAACCCAGAATGCCGAAGCTTTTCTGTCACCGCGGGTGTCCAGCATGGCCACATCACACCTCCGAAGCCTGGAGAAGAGTAAGTCATGACCTAGCTATGATGCTATCTCATGGAGCATGCGCTGATGTGACTCGTTGCAGGCTCAACATCTCTTTCATTGACAAGGATGGTGAGAAGTACGACTTCCAGGTATCCGAGGGAGACAATTTGTTGGATATTGCGCAGGCCAATGACCTTGAGATGGAAGGTTCGGATCCCCTTTGGACACGGTGCAATGTTCAGGTCTGCTTACTGACTGGTTTTCCCTGCATCAGGAGCTTGCGGCGGTTCATGCGCCTGCTCGACATGCCATGTCATCGTGGAGGACCCCGACGTGTTCGACAAGATGGAAGAGCCATCCGACGACGAGAACGATATGCTGGATTTGGCATTCGGACTGACAGAGACCTCTCGGCTGGGATGTCAGGTTATCATGAGCAAGGAGCTTGACGGACTAGTTGTCCGTCTGCCCTCTATGACCAGGAACTTGCAGGCGAGTGACTTTGAGCCAAAGAAATGAAGCCCGCAGGGACAATGTGCCCTGTTGTGATGGTATCTGTTTGGAGGATTCATACCGCGTTCAAGCGATACGGTGAATCAGCATTATAGGACGAATTAGCAAAACGCCGGAGGCCACTGGTTGTAACGGTATATTGTACTATTGGGTATTCTCATCTCCATTCTATTTTGAAAGAGTCTGTAAATAGGAATAACTTTTAATCCAAACGTGCAATCAAACAAAATAAAAGAAAATCCCCCAACGCCTAAGAGATGCCTGGTACTCAACATATACAGAATCCCCGTTCAGGCCTCTTCAATATTCAAAGTCTTGCCCTTCTTTCCACTAATCAGCTCGAGGAATCCTTGTTTGCTAACCTCATTGACGGCCTTCTCTCGTTCGCCAATACCGATGGTACCCTTCTTCCTCTCGCCTCTGGCCGCTTCTTCTCCGCGAACTTGGGCTGCTCGAACAGCATTGAAAAGTTTCACCACACCACGTTGAGCGATCTTTCGGAGACGCTTCTCTTCCTCAGCCACAGCGCCAGCCTCCCCTCGTTCGATTCCCAGAACATCACGAATCCGACCGCGATCTAATTCTTCCTGCTTCTCGGCACGCAATTTAGCTCGTGCTTGCTTGTCCAATTTCTCGTCGGCAAAATCTGTGCTGGCTTGCGTGGCTATTTTACTGCGTGACAGAACAGGATCCGCCCGGGCAGAGGAAGGTAGTTTTGTCGCCAAAATCTTAGAGATAGAGGTAGAGAACGCCGAAGGATCGTTCCGTTTGGGGACAGCTCTGTGGTCCGTAGTTGAGGTCGGCATAGAGACATCAGAGTCGTAATCATCATCCTCATCCTCAGCGCCAGAAGATGCGTCTGAGCCCGAAGCGTCATGCTTTTCATCCTTCTTATTGTCACTCTCAGCCGACTCGTCGCTGTTGTCGTCGTCGCTGCTCTCTTTCTCCTTTCTGTTCTTCGAAGCAATTGGGGATTTTGTCTGCTTCTTCGGCTTCTTTACTTCGACCTCATCCTCGTCGGAATCTGCTAGACTGACAGCTTTAAAATCGGCTGGTTCGTCATCTTCCGCCTCATCGGAACTGCTGTGGTATTCGCGCTGCTTCCTAAACTTCTTTTGAGGCCGACCAGTTTTGCCTTGCAGACCTTCCAAGACCTTGCGCTTCTTTGCTGTAGTGGATAGAGGCATGATAATTAAGGTAACGTCTAAATTTCAACGGTAGTAATTTTTTCGTGTTGATGTATGAATTGGTCGGTCTTTTTTTCTTTTTCTTCCTTTTTTTTTTTTTCTTGTAAGTCTCGAATACATTCAAAGGCGGAAGGAACAATGATGTCTCTAATTGGCTGACCGCCCGCTCCAGACTCTCCGCACTGGAAATCATTGAGATTAGTGGCCTCTGACATTCTACCTCTCGATCAAGCATTGCCATTCTTCATTCTGATCACCTAACTTCCGTACACGCTGTTCCTTGTTGTTTATAGTGTGATACCTACATTTATCTTTTAAGATATTTTCAGCCATGGTCCTTCAGGATCTCGGGCGGCGTATCAACGCCGCCGTCAATGACCTAACTAGGTCCAACAATCTAGACGAGAAGGTGGGCTGCCAATACGTGTACTCAATGTTCAAGTAGGTTTCGCGCAGCTGACACCTGTAAGGCTTTTGATGAAATGTTAAAAGAGATCTGCGCCGCACTATTATCGGCCGACGTAAACGTCCGTCTCGTCCAGTCACTTCGGAAATCTATTAAGTCTAGCGTCAACTTCGCCTCTTTGCCCTCCGCCGTCAATAAGAAGAGGTTGATTCAGAAAGCGGTCTTCGACGAATTAGTTGCTCTGGTCAATCCACATGCAGAGCCGTTCCGACCCAAGAAGGGCCGGTCTAATGTGATTATGTTCGTTGGTCTACAGGGTGCCGGTAAGACGACAACGTGTACGAAGCTGGCTAGACATTATCAGATGCGGGGCTTCAAAACTGCACTTGTCTGTGCGGATACCTTCCGTGCCGGTGCATTCGATCAGCTGAAACAGAATGCGACCAAGGCCAAGATTCCTTACTATGGAAGTTTGACGCAGACCGACCCCGCAGTGGTGGCGGCTGAGGGTGTGGCTAAATTCAAGAAGGAGCGGTTTGAGATCATCATCGTGGATACTAGCGGTCGTCACAAGCAGGAGGAGGAACTTTTCACAGAAATGACGCAGATTCAGACTGCTGTCACCCCGGACCAGACTATCTTGGTCCTCGACAGTACGATCGGTCAGGCGGCCGAAGCCCAGTCGGCGGCCTTCAAGGCAACAGCTGATTTTGGTGCCATCATTATCACGAAGACGGACGGTCATGCTGCTGGAGGTGGTGCTATTTCCGCTGTAGCAGCTACACATACTCCCATTATCTTCCTCGGCACAGGTGAACATATGATGGACCTTGAACGATTCGAGCCGAAAGCTTTCATCCAGAAGCTACTGGGCATGGGCGATATGGCAGGATTGGTCGAGCACGTCCAAGCCGTGACCAAGGACTCAGCAGCAGCCAAGGAGACGTACAAGCACATCTCGGAAGGTATCTATACGGTGCGCGATTTCCGAGAGAACATTTCCTCAATCATGAAAATGGGTCCCCTGTCAAAACTTTCTGGCATGATCCCTGGCTTGTCCAATCTCACTGCTGGGCTGGATGACGAAGATGGCTCTCTTAAACTCCGCCGCATGATCTATATTTTTGACAGCATGACTACGGCAGAGCTTGACAGCGATGGTAAGGTTTTCGTGGAGCAGCCCAGCCGTATGGTCCGCATCGCTTGTGGTAGCGGCACGACCGTGCGCGAGGTCGAAGACCTTCTGTCGCAGCACCGCATGATGGCCGGTATGGCCAAGCGCGTCGGTGGCCAGAAGAAGCAGATGCAACGAGCCCAGAATATGCTTAAGGGTGGCAACAAAGAACAACAGCTCGCGGCGATGCAGAAACGCATGGCCTCCATGGGTGGCGCAGGTGGCGCAGGTTTCCCTGGAATGCCTGGTATGGGCGACATGGCCAAGATGATGCAAATGCTCCAGGGACAAGGCGGCGGCGGCGGTGGCGGCGGCCTGCCAGGCCTTGGAGGTATGGATCTACAAGGAATGATGAGCCAAATGAGCGGATTGATGGGCGGAGGACGCGGTAGAGGACGGTGACTTTTCTTTTCATGTCATTTTTCTTTTCTCTCCTGTATCTATTTGTTAAGTGGTGACACCGCTTAATGGGTCACGATTGATCGATTATACAGCATGTGGATGGTGTTGGGCGCGTATTGCTTTCATTGCCATGGTATAATTTTAACTTCTTCAACGAACGATACTCATATGACGTTTTATACGTCTAAAGGTTGCAATATTGACGGGTATTCTTACCTTACTGTACATTAACATGTTTGCCGTATGAATGGATACATTATCGCCAAGGAAAATTTGACAATCCTATGGTTTTATCTATACCAGTTCCATGTCCATATTCAGTCGAGTCTTTCTGCTGTTCCTGTTCTATCCAAAAGCTTATAGACTTGATCCCTAACCTGGCTAATTAGCTGTCCTTCGAATTCCTCCGCCTGACCGACCACAGCCCTGAGCAGGGTATTCCATCCAACAGTTTCACGGTTGTCCTCAAGGACTTTACCTGGCAGGAGTCGCGGGTGTTTGACAGAGGCCACCGAGGCAACAACATCTTCATACCCGGGGAGTGGGACGCTGAGACTATATTTCCAGGCGACATCGTTGTCAACATAGAGTGAGTAGGTAAGGACGGAACTGGGTACGGTTGCCGTCTTGCCACTGGTGGTGAGTACTGTCTCGTCGCGGATGTCGATATCGATTAATCCGTACTTGGTGTTACCGGTTGGGATGTATTTGACTGTGACATCTTCACTGTCGGTTTGATGGTAGGTCCGGATGGGCAGGTAGAACATACTGAGCGGACCAACACTGAACTCGTGCAGGCCTTCTCCGGCGGTATCGGATAGAAGTTCATCGGGCGTGTAGTCATATGTTGGATCAGGGAACCGGGTCGCCCCAAACTCGTGTCTGTCTCCGCTGAGCAGGATGATACGAATTCCCAGCTCTCGCTCGGCGCGCCACATGGCCTCAAACACTGTGCGACGCTCATCCAAGAATCCACCCCATGTGTCAGTCGTGCCGACGTGCCAGTTTTTGGTAAAGGGAACGCTAGAGGCGACGATCTTCCAGCGCACTTCGGCTGGTTCAGAGCTAGACAGATATGCAAGCAAGGACTGCAGCTGCGCTGAGCCGAGGATGGTAGAGTCCGGTTGGGCGGGCTCCGAGCGATAGGTGCGTGTATCTAACATGAAGAATGACGCTGGGCCGCTGATGAAAGAGAAATAGGTTGTGTTTTCTGGCTTGGCAAAAGGAAATGCCGGGATCGGGGGATTCACACTGACGTGGTAATGGATATAGGGGTCGGCGGCAGCCAAGTAGAGGGCTGTATTGTTGCCCTTCGACCAGTCATTCTCAATCTCATGGTCGTCTAGAGTGTGAATCCACGGCAGGTCGATGGCCGGGTTACCACCATGGGAATACCATGAGGGAGACGAATACACACGACGATATTCACTGCGGTAGTGTGATACAGATGAGCCGAAGCGCTGGGGAACATCGATATAAATGAAGTCACCGAGGAACAACATAAAAGCTGGTCGAAGCAAGGATGGCAATTTACTGACGGTCTCAGTCATCTTCTCAATGCCCTCGATACGCAATGGGTGAGATAGTGGATTGTACGGGAAGTTTGGCTTCATGCAGCTAGATGTCAGAAAGCTAAGCCGGTTGGCAGATTTCGAACCATGAAGAGGCGCGGTGACAAAAGAGCCTGTGCGATTATTGGACAAAGAATACCGGTAGTGCGAGGATGGCTTCAAGTTCTTCAAAGTCACCGAGGTAGTAAAATCCGTCGATTCATCAAGTGCATATATAATGCCTTCTTCCACCCATTTCAAGGGGTCGTCCTGTTCCGCTTCTTGGTAGAAGACCACCAGAGGTAGTTGAGCGGAGTCTGGCTCTCGAACGAGTAAATTCGCTGTAGTTGGAGAGACATAGCCAATGCGAGAGAAGGCAACATCGTTTGCAGGATAGAAAACCACCCCACGGAGTAGAAGGTCGGAGGTGAAGAGCGTAAGGACAAGGTTGATCAGCACTGTCAGCCGGGTCACCAATGGCGATCTGGGGGAGGGCAGTCCCGTCAACAACGTCTTAAGAACGCTATCCTTAGCTAGAGACTCTACAGACCCTGCGCCAATTTTCTGTGAGCAAATCTAGAGTGGGGGGAGTACCATGGGGTAGGAATATACTGACTGGAAGCGGTCCCGGAGCGTTTCAAGTCATGGGGACGATTGGTGGTGGTGGTGGTGGTGCTCTCGTCGGCCGGCCGACTGAGAGAGAAAACTGAAGATAGATACACCACTAGCGAGGTGAAGATTAGAGGTGGGAAATGATGACCGGGGATCTGCACACGAATGAGCAGTCGTTATTTGGTAATCGAACGAACTTGAATGGACGCACCCAGCGAAGAAAGATGAAGGCGGCGAGTCTGAGTATCACGGAGCTCGTGGCCGCGGCAACTCGCGGCAAGGAAACCATAGCTTTGTGGGAACGTTTCAAGCGCGCTATGAGATATTTAGTGTTCCTTAGGCCATGAATTCTTCTCCGTTAAAGCTTTGGAAAAGAAGCTCAGGTGACGTGCCGAAAGGTAGAGAAGAGGACGTGAGAAATAAAGAAATAAAGAAGTCGGAGTTTGGAAAGGAAAACATGCGGTAGTATTAGCGGTATGACGACATAGGACGATTTATCTAATCCACTCGGTCAGTTAACTAACTTAGCTAGTCTCAGGTTACATACTGTACATACACAACAAACACATACTAGTATGTACTAGTACTAACCACCCTATACCCTATCATTCATTCTACATATCTCCGGCATTGAAACAATTTAAACAGCTGTATATAGTTTCATTGACTTTCGTTTGTCTGTTTTATGCTCTCATCCGTAAATCTCTATCGTTGTTGATTCGTCATATCTTGGAGAATGTTCATCAAACCGCTCGCCATAGACCCTGATAAAAAGCCATGACCACATCCTTCATATGCATGCTAAGCGACATCTCCGCCGCCCATTGCCAGGGCTTCTCCCGCTCTCCCGGTTTGGCGTTAAAGTACTCCCAGCCCATAACGCCGCCAAAGTCGGGGAACTGCTCCACCAGCTGGCCTAAGATAGGCCCGATGATCTCCCGAGGAACGTAGCCCTGCGATCCATTGCCGGGATTCGTCAACAATCCGAACACAACGCGTTGCGGCGACCATCCTTGCGCGACGATCGCCGCATACATACGGGGATCATCCGCTGGGCCCCAGCCGTTGTAGAACTGTGTATTATACCAACTAATTTTCGATGCTCGTTGCCGCTCAAGCTCTCGGTAGTCAAACCCGGAAAGGTTACCGATCCCTAGAAGCGCCGCTGCCACTGGGGCCAACGTTATAATGAAGCTGTCTCCCAGGTCCGATTTGAGTCGATCTATAAGTCTAATGATACCTGAAAGCGACATTTCCTCCTCAACGTCTAGATCCAGCCCTTCCAGTTGATGACGCTGAATCATGGCTAGGAGAGGCAAGTAGTACCGTTCGAATTTGTCCTGATCACCGTCCAGACAGCGGAAGGAGCCTTGAGCAGCTCCTCCCAGCATTCCCATGACGCGTACCCCACTCTGTTTCAAGAGAGGCACCTCTGCCCACAGCTCGTCATACATGCTATGGTGGGGAGGATCATCGTTGAGCGTAATATGACCTGGTTCAGCATTCAGATGGAAAGCAGCAATGATGATGTGCGTGATGCCAGTGTTGTTCTGCACTAGCGGTAGCGCGGACACATATTGGCCTCGATCCGGACGAAGTGTCTGGTGATAGCATATTACCCGGTATCGGTCGACTTGCGCGGGTACGGGAGGCATCGTTTCTTAGCTTTAAATGGAGGTTGGAAGTGACTGCGGGTTTGCTGCACTGGTCAGGATCAAGTCCAGCATTTTCGATGAGGAGCAACAGCGGGGTAGTGAGATTACAGACGGTCTCTTAGAGGGGGGGGGCCGCAGTTTAGCCGTCAGGTTTTCTCATTGCTTCGCGACCAGTTTGGACAGGAAAACCAGTGTGAACGCGCCTCGGAGGGTCAATGTTTGAGGAGATAAAATAAGGAGGGGAATCACAAAGGCTAGAATGGGCGGTGATTACAAGAAGTACCGTCTTAAATCCACTCTTCGATGGTCTTGCTAAGGGGTGGCTCTTTACAATACAGTAATTCTGGTACTTGTATTTATTACTCCGTACATACGGAGAAAATTGAATTAATATCAAGGAAGGATACTATTCCTCTACGCTAAACCTAATATGGAGCATAATAAACACCTGATATGGAAACCTGAGGATTCCGGCACTGACCCCGGGCGGGTTCCCTGTATCGCCGCGTCCGTTACATCGACATACTTACTCTATCTGCTGGTTATCGTTATCGAAGTCCACGATATACATGACCCATTCATCCACCCCGTCTGCAGGACCAATAATGTCGCCCTAGCCAATTGATTTTAACTTCTAGCATTCACTCATCCACCGACCGCGACAAACCCCATCATGGACACAACCTCTCACGATACCGTCGGCGCGTCCACCCTCGCAACGCCGCTCTTTATGCCTTCGTCCCCTCCGCACGTTAACCATAGCCCTGAGGGATCCCCCCAGCGTGCGCGAAGCCCTATTTCCCATCGCGCCGGCGACAACATCGACGACGCGCGTTCGCCGACCGGCTCGCTGCCGTCCTCCCGGGCATCATCGCTTGATCGCGCTGCGAAGGAGCTCGACGCTCGCCTGGCAGATTACACGCTTGATTTTGACCAATTTCCCAGTGGTCAGTTAAGTCTTGATGAGCGAAACGACGAACCGTTCGGGGAATCGAAGCTACCCCATGAGGACCAATTGTCGGATGTGGGCGGGCCCGAGGATTTTACGGCCAACCTAGAGAAATATCTCATGGGCGACGACGATACATTTGATCATAAGGACCTGGGAGGAGTTGAGGAAGAAGATGAACCGGCGCGGGAGGAGCAGGAGCCACCGCGACCGCAATCTCCGGAGCAAAAACAGCAGGAACAGCAGAGCTCACAACTGCAGCAGCCTGCTGTGGAGGACGAGGCAGAGCTTGGCGAATACAGCGAATTTGCTCCCGTTGATATGTCTACGCCGTCTCATTTGTTACGTAGGGGTAATGCGTTTTCGAAGGAGGTGACGCAGCTGGAGAACATCGAGGAAGATCCGGACGATGAGCCGGATACGGCGAGGACACCGTCGGTTCGTAGACATAAACCAACTTCCAGCACAGACCAGACGAATATGAAAGACGATTTTCTCAGGCAGATCGCGGAATTGAAACAGGTAGTTCAAGAAAGAGATGAACAACTTGAAAAGAATCACAGACGGGTTTTGGAGGCCGCTTCCGCTGGAGAGCAGATCAAACATCTGCAAGCAGAACTACAGAAGAAGACAGCTCTGCTGGATGAGGCCTATGCAAGCCGCAACGACGATGCGCTCCTGCGTGAACAGATTCAGCTGCTTCAGAAACAAAATGAAGAGAAGGAATCCCTTTTACAGAGGTCCTCGATCAGTGAAACCGGAATCAGTGCCCTTCAGGAGCAGATTGCAGAATTACGAAAAGAGTTTCGGGACCGACAGGCGCCTACGGATATAGACTCCGAAAGACTAGAGACGATCGCGAATTTGCGCCAGCAGTTAAATCTAGCCCAAGAGCAACTCAAAAAACGAGACGCTACGCTGGACGAGACTCTCGCTAAACTGTATGAAGTTACAACAGCCAAGGAACTGCAATTGCGTGAGAAGAATACCGAAACCGATGGACTCAAGGCCCAAATTGATGATCACCTTCTGGAAATCCAGAAGCTTGAAGCGGAGGTAGACCGCGCAAATCGCGAATACCGGACTCTGGAGGATAGGATTGCCACGCTTGAGATCAGAAATCGCCCACTAGAGGAGAAGAACAGTACACTGGAAGCTGATCTAAGTCGCGCGCAGTCGCAAGTCACCGCGCAGGAGAACGCTCTCAAAGCGATGGCAGCGGATCTCCCCTGGGAGACGGGCCGCAACACATACGAAGATATTCTGGAACTGATCAATTCTATGCCGATTCGCTCTGAAGCTGTTCCGAAAGACAGCAGCTCGGGGGAGCTAGAGCTGGAGCAGCTACGTGAGGAATTAACAAAATTACGAACCGAACAAGAACAAGCGTCATCGACGCAAAAGGCGCTAGAAACCCAATTAAAGCGGTCCCAAGAACAAGCTGCAGAGGCCCAATCCCTCATTAACTCGATCGAAGGGGAGAACACCCGTTTGTCGAAACGAGTAGAAGAGCTCAGGTCCAGCTTGGACAAGGCCGGCCGTGAGCTAAACGAGATGCGAGACGAGTACTCCGAAGCCCAGGATACAATCCAGCGTCTCCAGGAAGAAAAGAACACGCAGCAACTCAGCCCTCCACCATCCCCTCCAATCACTCGTCAAAAAGAAACTGCCCTAGAAGAAACCCACCAGGCACAACTACGAAGCCTCCAAACCGCTCATGCCACCGCCATTTCTAATTTGCGCGCTTCTCACGCCGACTCGACCCGTAAATTAAGGAATCTCCTTGCGACCGCTGAAAAGCGCGAGACAAAACTCAAGTCCGAGCTCCAATCCCTGCGCGGCTCACGCTCCACGCAGGAGAACGTGATAGACTCTCTCCGCGCAGAGATCAAGGAACTCAAAACCATCATCAAAGTCAAAGATGAAACAGCCGCAGCACTTGATAAGAAAATTGCTCGGTCCGTCGAGAACCGCGAGAAAGTGTGGGCAGATCGCGTTGATTCTGCCCTCCGACAACGCGACCAATTCGGCAAAGCTTTTCTGTACACAGTGGGTCAGAAAGAGCTTGGAGAGAATAAAGTGAACTTTGACGATAAGGACCGGCCGATACAGGCGTACCAGTACGCGTACGTGAAGAAGAATGGAAGGAAGAAGGCATAAACGGGATCAGTGTGGCGCTTTGCTTTAGGTGATTTCTGGTTGTATTTTTTGGAGTTTCCGGTCCTGGGATTGTGTATGGGATATCTATATCTTTGTTGGGTTTCTATAATGTACAAGAGGGCTTTCGCCAGGGTTTGGTTTCTAGGACATTAACGTTGAGTGGTGTAATCTAGGGTCAATCAAATGAAGAGATCAATTCTTACCTCTATTTCCATCTTCCCTTTCGTGGTATGAATCTCGTGAGTTTATAGGAGCAAAAAAGAAAAAAAAAAAAAAAAAAAAGCCCAAGAACACGAGATGAGAGATATCCGATTTTACAGGACTATCTCTACCCTTACATTAGCCATAGCCCAAGAACAATACAATGATGTCTAGACCACAAGCAAGGTCAGAATTAATTTCATAAATTCTCATCCTAACGATCATCAACTTTAAAGGGAAAGCTGATACATAAACACTTGATATCGGTATATTGCTATTATTTAGACAGGAGAAAAGAAAGTAGCCCACTCAAAAGACATAAGATCAACAAGTTCGTGTCCCATTTTATTTTGTTTTCTCGGGGAATGCCAGTAAGAGCCCCTTTACCTTCTTTTGGCTTTAGCCTGACCTGCAGGCTGTGTTATCGATCATAATGCAGCCATACTCGTACGGTGGGCACCACGATATGTGTTGGCATTAAGAACAATGTCCCGAGTTTCATCCACCGATGCGCCTGATTCACGGATGCTGTCTAGAGCTCCTGTAGACCCGAGACCACCGCAGGTAGTGCTGCGTGGCCTTCGCGTGCTGGGATAATGGATTTCAATATCGCTCCTTCGAGACTGTGAGGATATGCGGCGTGGTTCGTACCGGCCACGGTAGTTGTACCGGCTATGCGGTTGATGATAACTTCTGGTATGTCGGGGTACGTGCGATTGCTCGAACTGATAATGCCGACTTTGCTGTCGTTCCTTAGGTCGCGGGTTATGACGAATCTGACTATCAGGCTCCACCACGGAAGCTCTATGGCTAGCAACTCTATTGACAGGGTGCCACGCCAATGGGTGTGGTGGGACGATTGTATAACTCGGTCGGTGGCGATGGATGGTGCGAGGAATCGGTGCAGTATGAGTTGTGTTAGATCTCTGCACCTTGAGAGGCGCAGGCAGCACGACCTCTGGTGCATCAGATGAGTTCGAGGATGTTGGTCGAGCCAGGGTGCTTGTATGAGGGGTTTGACTATTTGGTGGCCTTTGGGTTTCAGAATCTACAGGTGCAGAAGCCACCACCTTTTTCTCCTCAGTTGAAAAAGCGAGGTGCTGCTCGGGATCACAGTTCCTATTCAGGATGACATTTCCTGTTTGCTTTTCAAGATCTCGATGTGTATTAGAATCGGCGAGAGCGCGAATTTGAGGGTCCGCTGATAAAGGCAATGATAGGGGAAAGGCTTTTGGCAGGTATTTGCGAAGCGACGACAAGGAAGACTTTTGTCTTTTATGGTTGAAAGTCGATGAGTCTTCTTGGCCACTGGGTAATTCTGCAATGGGAGTTTGTATGTGTTCGCTTATAGTTCCGGAGGTTTTGAAAGTGGATGTACGTGAAATTGAATGTAAGTTGGTGTTAATAAGGGCACCGTTGTGTGTTATCGTCGAACCTGATAATGTTTCGGTATTCTCTGATTCAGGGCTCTCGTCAGGCCTCAATGGCTGCTTTTGATGAATCGGTAGAGGGTATTGGAAATTGCGCATGGTAGGTTTCTCGAATGCGTGACCGGTGGACGACGGCCAATATGGGTCGCGGGCGCCGTAGGTAGTACTAGGCCCGGGACAAAGATAAAGAATGCCATCTTTCAGAGTGTCGCTTTCAAGGCTTGAGTTCGAGAAGATACTTTCATCACAGACTGATTGCTGCTGTTTGTATACACCCAGTATTGACACATCATATGGACGCTCGCACAGCTCCCTCGAACAGAAGTAGAGACAAGCAGTTATGCTAGTCAGAAGATTTAGCAAGGGCCAGCAGTAGATACATCAGTCTCATCACTTACAACGATATTATTGAAACTATGACCGCAGTCCGATGAAGAGCACAGCTAACGCCAGTATTCCAAAAGCTACCCTCGGCAGTTTCAGGAAGACACGAAACCTGTTGCGAGATCACTACTAGGCCTGCCACACTAGCTGCTAGCCATATAATAACTGTCACTCGCAAGAGATAAGTGCAGGCGGCACGCAGGATTGTCTTCTGGCCTCCAAAGCCGGGGACTTTGTTATGCTGCCATGCGAGAAGGCTATGAAGAATGACAAGCGGCACGGTGAGAAAAGACTGGAAATGATAGTCAGTACCACACGGTGGAGTTCTTTGGGGGCTTCACTGACAGCTACTAGAGCAAGGATCAAGCTCGGCGTCATTTTTCGGTCGACACGTCCATTCCCATATAGATAGAGTACAAGAGCCCACTCAATGACAGATTCCAGAAGCAAGACATAGAGGGAGATAAAAATGGCGACCTTTGTCCAGGACCCTCCTCTTGTAGAGGCAACCTGCCCATTGGTCATGGTGAATTTCGCCAGTTTAACAAATGAAGCAAGCTGTGTCACAGCCCCCACAACTGTAACCGATGAGCATCCACGGTAAAGGATGACGGAGTATGAATGAACGGTCAGAACTACTCGAGAAGGAAAATAAAAGCTAAGAACAGGAAGGATCGTTTCGAATTGATAGTATTGGATTTATGTGTCTCTTTCTGAGGCTGCAGTTGTATGTATCTCTAGAAATACGAGGCATAAGTGAAGGGCCCGTCAGAGACTAAATGGGAACGTTATCCATGACTTGGGCGCGTCAACGCGGATAGAGTGTGCCAGTGGGAAGGGTTGGAATGCATTGGTAGGAGGCCTGGAACAGAGAGCATGTGGAAGGCGAAATAGTAGGGCTTGCATCTTGCCTGGGACGTCATTCTTTGGAATGTAAACTAGAGGGCCTTTTTCCCCTCAACACTAACATTAACGGGATCAGGGGTGTCAGCAAAGTTAATTGTTGATCCCTATCTGTACAAGAAACCGTTAGTAATCATGTCTTCATACAATGAAGTATCGGACTAGCCCATGAACCCTATTGATCTTCCTTGAATTAGGGTTACGGGGCACATTCCAAGGGGCGATCGCGTGGTGATTAGATCTGTTGAGATATATGAGGAGAAGTAGTGAGACATATACCTTGCCAGAATGTAGGAGAATCAATAGCTCGAAACTGGGATCGTGGGATGTAAATGTTTCAGGGAGAAGGGTTTTTGCAATGAAGGGAGGCGGGAGGGTTAAAAGTATAGAGGGAGTGAGTCGTGACAAGGGAGAGTGTGAGACTCCACGTGATCCAGAAATCCCCTCCAAAAGACACACTCAACCTACAGGGCATCTCCTTCATGGGATGGACTATGTTGCAATGGCTACTTCAGTTCTGTTGATGTCTTGGATCTAGGTATGAAGGATGCAATAGACGCGACACTTGGATAATTCGAAAGCTGTACCAAATCATCGGTAGACCGGAGACCGAGTCCAATGAAGCCAAGATTATCTAGAGATACAGTTTAAGACATAGTTCATAAAGCTATGGGAAGATTGTGAACAGCTAGTCCCACGAGGAATCAAGGGGTAGTGCTCGATGTTCTATCTCACATCTCAGCGCCGACATCTATATACACAACGCATCTACTAGTACTGGTATGCCCCAAGCCTTATCAAACCTCTGTAGCTTGTAGACGCATAACTCCATTGCCCGATGCTTTGTTGTCCGACAATATGCGGGTATCTGCTGTGCTTTCGGGATTTTCCACGCACCCGTCAGCCTTCCGGGTCTTAAGCCGACGAACCAAGGGGTCGATCAATGGCCAACGCCCCTGCTGTTCGCGATACCGCATCATCACGAACCACAAAATAACAGCAAGCCAGTAGAGGTTATATGAGATGACCGAACCATAGGTGGCCGAGTTTTGCCATCCAAGGATGGCGTTGAAGATTCCCCAGCCTCCGCCACCATTCACCAAAGGACTGCAGCAATTCACATGCCACACGCTTTGCCGGATGTCATATGATCCAGGGCCAGCTCCTGTCTCTGAAGCATCGCCACCGATGAGGTTGCTCCAAGTGTTGTTCTCCAAGAACCAGACGCCTCGGGACAGGAGTCCAGCAGCGACCAGGTAGAGCAGACATGTCGAGATGACCATGAATATCTGAAGTGAGGTTTGATTCCCGCCCCTATGAGAAATCGCAAAGATTACTATCAGCATTTAGATTCAATGTGAATGCCGTCCACATCACACTCACCGGTAAATAATATAACCAACCACCACGCCAGCCAAGAGTCCCGTGAATACAGGGAGAGGGAACGCACTTGCGGGGAAGCTGAGACTAACACCCCCGATAAACACCACTGCCTCCAGACCCTCCCGAAGGACCGTAATCAAGGGTAAGATGAACATGAAGTACTTCTGTGACCACTGCTTGATCTTATCTGTCATTCTCCCTTGAGGTTGGGATTTTGCTTCTAATGCCTGGGCCAGCTTGACACGCCATTTCTCCTTCAGTTTATTCACCCGCAGAAGGGCTGCTCCCATAACTGTGATGATGATGGCGGCGACTAAAGCAAAGATGCCTTCCCATAGATCTTCCGTGCTGGCAAAATGATCCTTACCATACCCGTAGAAGGCTCCAATCATACCACCTCCAATGCAGAGGCATATAAACAGCCCGACGGCAACTCCCCACCAGACCTACTGATCGTCAATACTGTCTCTATAGGGTGGGAAGGGAATTAGAAGAGGGTAGTAACCTGTTTGATAAGCCTTTTGTGAGTGACGGCATCAGTGTCCGACCCCAGCGTCTGCTTGATGAAGGCAAGTAATACAGAAACAATGATGCTGGTCTCAACGCATTCTCGAAAGCAGATGAAAAATACTTCGATAAGTTAGTCAAACTAAGTGGTGATTAATCGATAGGGTATAACAAGAAAGAACGCATACTGGGAACTGCAAATACATCGGTTGTCATGTTGAGTGGAAGGTAGAGGATTCAGAAAGAAATAAAAGAGGGATGAAAATCTACAGGAGTCCAAAACACCAGCACAGCCATTGATAAATGAAATTATTAGAGAGAGGAGATCCAAAAGCGTTCCCACCACTGGTATAAATCGGGGAATGTTATCTGATTGATTGATTAAAAGTTAAAATGTTCTCGTGGGGGAAAGGGGAAAAAAAAAAAAATAAAAAAAGAATGTGAACCCATGACAGAGAGAACTCCGTGAAGGGACATGGCGCCAGCGACAGAAAGGTCGTTCCACCCCCACTGTATAGGGTAGAATCCTCGTATCATTGCCTAATGTAAAATGCAAATGCAAATTTTCATCTCGTTTAGATGTCCCTATTGGCCATGAGGGGAAGACGTGGCTTGAGGGAAGGATCAGATAAGTGGGATCAGCAAAAATCTGGAACCCTTACGAGGTAACGAGGGTTAAGCTTCCGCTAAGCCGTGTCTGATCATCGCTTGGCTTTCCATTGAGTGGCCCCATCCGAGGTGGAGGAGGGAAAGATGCTAAGACGATAATGTGCGTTGAGGTTCCATTTCATTTATTATCGGTGATCATCCCTGCACATGAGGGTTCAGACCATGCTCCCCCCCCGGTACCATCCCATCACCAGGTGCCCACACAGTTAGGATAAAAGACGAGAGGTATTTCAAACGAGGAAGAGGAACCTACCCTTTCGAAGAATATATCCGCAAGAATTTCTCTCGTTTCTTATTCTTAACCGCTTGCGAGTGCTCCGTCACAAGTGCGTGCGCTGTTACTCCCCTATCATGGAACTAGAACTAGGGCTTTTCTGGTTGGTGGGTTTCCTTGTCCACATTCTATCAGTCAGTGCCAAGACCCTCAATTATGAATGGAACATCACTTGGGTATCCGCCAATCCAGATGGCTTGCAAGAACGTCCCGTGATTGGTATTAATGGCCAATGGCCACTTCCGGTGCTCAATTTCACTCTCGGCGATCGAGTGGTTGCAAAGGTGTACAACGCTTTGGGCAATGAATCAACCAGCATACATTGGCATGGCTTTTTCCAAAATGGAACCACCCAAATGGATGGTGCTCCGAGCGTAACGCAATGTGATATTGCCCCTGGGTCCACATTTGTTTACAACTTCACTGTAAGTCACTTCAATTGTACGAGCTTCTGCGAGCCCTCGGTTTGACTGGCGGGAGCAGGTATATCAAACGGGCACCTACTGGTACCATTCACATGCTCGAGGCCAGTACCCAGATGGCCTACGACAGGCTCTAGTGATTAGAGGCCCTGATGAGCCTTATTCTGGCCAGTATGATGAGGAGCGTGTGATTACTCTATCGGAGTGGTATCACGACCCGATGCCAACACTGCTGAAGCAGTTTATCAGCGTTACAAATCCCACTGGAGCAGAACCTGTCCCAAAGTCTGCCCTCTTGAATGATACTCAGAATTTAACCGTAGCTGTTGAACCAGGGAAGACTTACCTATTTCGTTTAGTCAATGTGGCAGCCTTTGCAAGTCAGTATTTTTGGATTGAGGACCATACCATGAAAATTGTGGAGGTCGATGGCGTATGGACCGAGCCAGCAGAAGCCAGTATGATCTACATTACAGCGGCGCAACGCTACAGTTTCTTGGTGACAATGAAAGATGACACAAACAAGAACTACGCCATGGTAGGAAGTATGGACACGGTAGGATTCCTTTCATTTATTCATTACTCAATTTCTTATCATTTGGTAGGACCTCTTCGATAAACTCCCTCCGACTCTGAACTACAACGTTACGGGATGGTTAATCTACGACACCAAGGCTGAAAGACCTGCTCCGACTGACATCTCATCATTCGATCCATACGATGACTTTAAACTTGTCCCTGTCGATGGTGAGAAGCTGCTGAGTGACCCTGACTACACAGTCACTCTCGATCTTACCATGGATAACCTGGGGGACGGTGCTAACTAGTAAGTAACTATCAACTCCTTATAATAAGTCACTTTTCATTTTCTAACCAGATATAGTGCCTTCTTTAATGGTATAACATATGTTATGCCTAAAGTGCCAACGCTTTACACGGCTTTGTCCACCGGGTCAGCTGCCACAAATTCCACTGTATATGGTTACAATACCAACGCCTTCATCTTGGATAAAGGCGATATCATCGACCTTGTCCTGAACAACGAAGACACGGGGAAACATCCATTCCATCTTCATGGTCATAATTTCCAAGTTGTCGCTCGCAGCGATGAAGACGCGGGCCATTACGATGCCAACAACCATCCTGCTTTCCCGTCAGTCCCAATGCGGAGGGACACTATTTATGTGAAGCCCACAGGATACTTTGTCATCCGATTTAGAGCTGATAATCCAGGTGACTCTCAATTCCCATTTAGATTCACTAACTGATAGCTAATAAGTGAAAGGTGTATGGATCTTCCACTGTCACATTGAATGGCACATGGATGCCGGCCTTGCGGTCGTCCTGGTTGAAGCGCCATTAGATCTGCAACAGACACTTACAATTCCAGAGGATCACTGGCAGGCATGCGATGCAAGTAATACCTTGAAAAGGGGCAATGCGGCAGGAAACACAGAAGATTTCTACGACCTGACTGGGGCGAATACTTCAGTTTCTCCACTGCCCGTTGGGTTTACGGCCCGAGGCATTGTGGCCTTGGTGTTCAGCTGCATTGCCGCACTTCTAGGTTTAATTAGCATTGTTTGGTATGTGTATTCTCTATATTATATTTTCTCCCAGCCTTATTTTCAACGTCCTTTCACATGTCATCATTCAGGGAGTAGCTTGTTGTGTACTGACGGGTATACTAGGTATGGCATGGCACCGATTACAGTGAAACAATCGCCAACCGATGAGAGAAGGGAAGTGGATAGTAATTAGAATAAGCTATATGTTAGGGATAGAGCATGTAAGGCACGACCCTAGTGCTATATAGTATTTTGGCCGACTTTGGCCAACTGGCATTGAGACTATATGTCAGTTTTGGTTGAGGTTTGAAATCCCACTTTTCAATTACTGTGGTTCAGATATTTATTACTACACTTGAAGAGGCACAGACCTAGCTTGTGCAACTTTCTTTTCAACACTTTTGATCTAACATGAATAATAGTATAATAACCATGTTGGCTCTCGTCGGCTGCTTTGCCCAAGCGGGAGAGTCTAATTCAAACAGCAGCAATACACTCAATCCCCATATTTGTATTCAAGGGTAGCGTCTTAACAGCCACATATCTAATAACATGTCAGCAACAAGCACTGTGCTGATAGCTCCTCAGCTCACATAAGACTTATAGAGATAGAGTGAGCAAGAGGATACGCACGTCCGGCAGGGCTTCACATCACCCCAGTACTGCATATGGATGGAATTCAGCTCGTCCAAGTTATCCATATCAGACAAGAACACATTTCCCTTGAGAACCCTCATGATACCACTGCCTGCGGCTTCAAGGAAATGGGAAAGGTTCTTGATACATTGATGCTGGTGCCTCTCAGTACTATACTCTGGTATCTTGTGGGTGAATATCTCCGTCATCGATCCTGCCGGTTTCAGGGTCCATGGTGACCGCGCCGGAGCAGTAAATGACATCATTGGAGACTATGACTTGGGGGCTTTGTTAGTCAAGATGGGAGTTTTGGAGGCCATGTTGGTATACATGGTCGTGATCACGTGTAGTTTGAAGGTTGAATAGTTTATATGTAAATGAGGAAAATGGGAAATAATATATATATACGAGAGAGAGAGAGAGAAATGCTTAGCTGCTCGTACCTCAATACATACTGCTACCTTGACAAATAAATGTACTTAGTAGTACTATACATACAAGTTACACGCATGCGGGGAAAGCAATGATATACTCCATCTTCACTGCTCCTCCTCCTTACCCCCACGCTGACTTCGTGTACCAATGGCATGCCAGCCAACCCCACTTCACCTCGACTCTCTCCATCATCAGTGGCTGAAAATGCCGATACTCCTTCAGGTTGCGATCTTTATCGTGAGTACACATATCTTCAAGGGCTCAAAAACAATCCCGATCAGGATAATGGCATGGAAACCCCCACGTCCCTTGCGTCGGAATGAAACCGTCGATTCTGGAATGTAACGATCTGCAAGAGGAGGTGCCGAGGCCAATACGTAAGAAGGTAAACAAAAGGGGACCGAATTTCCACTGATCCAGAGATCTGTTCCATCTGAAGTTGCAAACCCCCCCCCCCCTCCAGAGTGGCAACAATACCAACTACACAATATGTCAATCTCGACACTTCAGCCTCCTTACCCTCTCCACCCTTCCGTTAAGGACCTCTTGGATCCCGAATATATTTCCTTCTATAACGAGTATGTCATCAACCAGCAGCAAGTCCATCTGCAACCCGTCGAAGCCTCCCGAACAAGCGGGGTTCTGATCCCTGGCGGGGGTCCGCTCCTCAAGGTCGGAAAGACAGAGGATATCACGATCAAGCGACGCGCGACAGAAGGTTCAGAAATTTTGTTGCGCGCATTCACCCCAGCTGGGGAGACACCAAGCGGAGGGTGGCCAGTGATGCTGTATTTCCACGGGGGTGGATGGGTCCTGGGGAATATCAACACGGAGAATCCGGTTTGCACAAATCTGTGCGTGAGAGGAAACTGCGTCGTAGTTACAGTTGATTACAGGTATATATATATATACACACCAAACTCACCTAACACATCTCATACTCTGTCCAAATTACTTATGCTAACAACGCAAGTAGGCTCGCCCCAGAAAATCCTTTTCCCGCAGCCGTCCATGACTGTTGGGAATCTCTTCTCTGGCTGATTTCTGACGGACCCTCACGACTCTCTATTAACACATCTAAGATGGCGACCGGTGGCTCCTCAGCGGGCGGAAATCTAGCCTCAATCATCACCCACAAAGCCCTAACGCTTTCACCACCCGTCTACTTCCTTGCCCAGCTCCTCTCTGTTCCAGTAACAGATAATACAGCAACAGTCCAGAACAACGAATCCTACAGGCTTTACGAGCACACACCGGCCCTTCCAGCTGCCAAGATGGTGTGGTACCGCGATCACTATCTGCCCAATCATGAGGATCGCACCAATCCCGAAGCAAGCCCCTTGTTCTACGAGGGCGACTGGTCGAAGCTGCCGAGGGCATTGGTCATGGTCGGCGAGTTGGATGTGCTTCGAGTGGAGGGAGAGCAGTATGCGGAGAAACTGAGCAAAGCTGGGGTCGAGGTGGATTTGCAGGTGATGAAGGGCATGCCACATCCATTCTTGGCGATGGATAAGGTGTTGAAAGAAGGGAAGAGGTCGATTACTTTGATGTGTGACCTCTTGAAAGAGGTGTTCTGGTCTTAGTTACATATCTTAGAGTAGCTGTACACGATGGTCACTGTATCTGCAATCTATGGAACTGGTATCCACAAGACACTTCCATACTTTCTGTCGTTCTAAAGGAAGGAAGTACATTACTTTGTGTTGATTCGAGTTATCGTTATATCGGCATATCAAGGCCCCGTCAAGTTCGCCCACAAGGAAGGAGAAGAACAAAAAGAGTTAACGTGAGATGGTAATGATAAGAGTCCCGCCAGTTATTACTCCCAAATGTTCCTCAATCCTGAGCCATCAGGCGGGCGGCTCTACCTATCATTCCCGTCTCCCAAGTAAAGAAGTTCTAATTAGCAACATTCCTGAGATCATTCTCTCTTGAGTACTTTGTCGTACTCATACCTTAAGAGGGCAGCCGCGAGTATTAATACTATAGACCCTAATCTGATGAGCAGGGTTTGTGATATCGAGCCCTAAGTTCCACGCATAATACATAAGGCTGTGTATAAGTGGGGTTGCCTAGCATTGGCAGACAATATCAATCTAGCTCTCAATATTACAGGGGATCTCAGAATGTATCATGGCCATTCGTATTTCTTGGTAAGCTTCCTAGTTCCAATGATATACCACCCGACGCCCCCGCGACCTCAAGAGGGTATCTCTTCCCATGTTCGGATCTAGTCTGTCCAAGTTGACCCCCAAGGGGTTTCAGACTGTGTCTTCCATATTCTCTTTATAGTTGATGTAAGTTGAAGTTCGGCTTTATACTTCACGAGTAACAGGGGTAAGCCGGAGAGTATTATTGCAGATATCTTCCCTTAATCGGACTATTCTGCCTCACAAAAGGAAAGATAGAGAAGAGAGGAGGAGAAATAAACAAACAAATAAATAAAATATGGGGAAAGGGCAAAAGAAAAGGGGGGGGGAGGTTTAGAGAATCAAACTAACTCATAGTGTCTGGTGACTTTACGATCTGATGCGTCGGAACGTGGGTAAATCCAGAAGAAACTTGTTTTATAGAAAACAATCCTGAATACAGCAATCAGACAATAGATTAACGAAGGACGGTAAAACCTATGAGTAGTAGGGAGATCTAGCAGAGAGGAAATGGTATAGCCTATAAAAGTACAGCCCTTAGGAGGACTCATAAAAACGGGAATGGTAACTCGTGAATATATTTCTATGTAATGTATGCCTACAAGAATATAACCTTTCGATCGTAGATTACAGACGGTTTAGACAAAATATTGTTTTGCATGACATGGCATTCCAAAAATCACATCTTGCTAGATACAGTCTATTTCCTTTCACTCAACGAATCATATTATATCGAGCTGTGATCCACCGAGGCCTGAGGCCCGGTTAGATTACGATTACCTAAATTGGCAAGGTGCTATGGAAGCATTGTTGAATTAATAATAATGATGAGGCTCTTTCGACCGAGAACAATGGAATATGGAACCCATAACCGGATAGATCTAATTTCTTACCAGTTCCGGGAGTGGCGAACTTCGATAGCCTCTCCGATATCGTCTACCTAACCCTTCAAATTCCTACTTTGTGGGCTCATTATTATGTTCTTCAAATACGAACGGTGGTCTCGTTCCCCCTCCCCCCTCCATCTCCTTTACTAGTGAGCCCACATATTCTTTCCCAATGGACCAGTGTGCTAATGGAGTGGAAATTGCGGTCATTTGAGTCGGACTAAGGAAGTCAATGAACGCCTCTTTTTGCTCCTAGTCGATAGCGTGAGGCAAAGAAACCGGATAGCGGATGTAACCTTTTCCCACCTTCAAAATAACCCGTTCTCAGCATTCGCAGCTACGCTTTGTTTATATTTACGTATACAGAAATTAGGCTGTGGCTGTCTTGGTGATACTATGTCAACCATGTGTCAAGCCGTGTCAGGTACACTCGGCAGATAACCAGTGTAGATTCTGTCGATCTCGATGATCCGGTCGTGGGTTCCGGACAAGGGCCGGCATTCAATTGACTCCCAGGGAGTTAGCCTCGATGTTGAGTTTTTTTCTCCCCCCACGGCACCAATAGGGGATTTATTCGAACTTGTGAAAACTGGATTGGCATGCTTGATGTCCACCTGACATCAGCCCAGGGCAAGCATCTGGTCATGTTGATTGGTGTGCCTGAGGAGTGGGAAGAATCCCTAGTGGTGAACTAGTCCCGATCAGGCGAGTGCCAACTCCACGCTAGACTAGTTTCAGTAGGACCCATGGAACCTCAGGCTCTCTACCTACTACTAGTAGTTTAGTCAAGGTTAGTAGCTTCGCCTTAGGCCTGTACGGAGTACTTACAGTGTCCAGTATCCGTACTAGTCCGTGATATACCGTCGTGGTCGAATTGGTACCGGGTCGGACTTCCCTGCCACTGCAGCTCAACGTCTGTCTTGCCACTACCAGTACTATACGGACTACTATCACTACTCGAATGCATCCAACCATATGGCCACAGGGTGCACGCGTCGCCGATCTCTTTCATTTCAGGTCATGTTACTATGAGTAAAAGTGTTCCTTATCTCCGCAGCTCTAGATCCTTTCAAGGAAAGATATCATTTCCACTCCGTTGTATGCCTGGTTTGGCCCCTCGACTGCCTAATGTAGGCCCAATGACTGACCGGCCTTAGAAAATTTAGTCCCTGTTAATGCGGCTCTCCGGCGGAACTATGGCCGTCCGCTCGAATCACCATGGGTTCACTATCCAACGGCAATTTCCGGTGTGCATCTTACTCCTCTCTCTGGGACCACTCAGGGCTTTCCATGGTTCGAAGAAGTTAGCGCTCTAATATCGAGCTTCTCGCTAGTACATTCTTTTACTGGAATGGGAAATGCTGCCATCCACCTATCGAATCCGCTAAGGCCTGGGAGCCATGTACATTTCCTGATTTGCCGAGTTTGCATCCTTGGACGCTCCGTTCTGGTACTACCATGCGAATGATGGCTAGGCGTTGGGAGATTGGCTGCTTGCCGTCTCCCCTGAACATTCGCTTATATAGCCTTCTCCCTCATCCATGAATCATCTACGGTCAGTTCTGTGGCTCTGCTCGCGGTAACCCTCCCAGCAGACGTTCGTCTGCGTCCCTTCCTTGTTCTATTCCACGCTCGTTCCATAGCCTCCACTGGTTATTAGTCTGACCGGCAGTCACTCCTTTTTAAAATGGTTTTCAGCAAGAGTCTCGCCGTTGCTGCGGCAGCCTTAGCCGTCTCTCCTTTGGTGCATGCCTTCAACGCCCAGTCGAAGTCCAATGTTGCGGTCTACTATGTATGTAAATCAAACCGGAGAAATTCTCCGGCGTAGCATTTACTGACTGTCTATAGGGCCAAGGATATAACCAGCCGCGCCTCAGTCATTTCTGTCAAGAGTCCGCACTAGATATCATCAACATTGGATTTGTTAATGGATTTCCTGACCAGAGCCCTGCCAATTGGCCTGGCAGTAACTTTGGCAATCAATGTGATGGACTGACCTATGAGATTGGTGGAGTCAAGACCGACTTGCTCTCGGGCTGCCATCAGATCATGGAAGATATCCCGATCTGCCAGGCAGCCGGTAAAAAGGTTCTATTGTCTATAGGAGGTTCTACCCCCGACAATCAGGAACTCCTCTCGACAGAGAGTGCTATTGGATTTGCCGAATTTCTCTGGGCATCCTTCGGCCCCGTGGACGATACTTGGGTGGCATGGGGCGGTCCCCGTCCGTTTGGCAACGTATCCGTCGACGGATTTGACTTCGATATAGAGCACAACGGTGGATTTGGTATGCTTAAACGCTGGCGGCTACGAGGCCCTTTCGAATACGTTTCAAGGACTAACTGATCTTAGGGTATGGAGCTATGGTCACCCGCTTTCGTGAGCTTTTTGCCGGAAAACCTGATCAAAAATTCTACCTGTCCGGGTCCCCTCAATGCCATATACCCGATAAGCAACTGAGCCTCGCAATCGCAACATCCGCATTTGACTTTGTCTGGGTGCAATTTTACAATAATGACGATTGCTCCGCGCGTAACTTCGTTACTGGGGAGGGTTTCAACTTTGACGCTTGGGTCGACATCATCAAGTCTGGCGGTAACCCAGCTGCAAAGCTCTTCGTCGGCCTGCCTGGCAGTGAATCTGCGGCGCTTGACGGGTACTACTTGACTCCCGATGAGGTCAAGCCTTTGGTCAAAAAATACATGAAGCTGTATCCTGATGTATTCGGAGGTATCATGGTTTGGGAGGCGACCCAGTCTGATCGAAACCAGATCAACGGGACCAGCTACGCAGGACACATAAAGAGGATCCTGACTGAACTGGATCCTACGCCTCCCGCTCCGACGACGTCCCTTTCCAGCTCCATCATCGCATCAAGCACTCCCGTTCGGTCGAGTACTCCAGTTATTTCTAGTACACCAACGCCGTCAAGCACTCCTGTTCAGTCCAGCTCGCTAGTCACTTCTTCAACCCCGCTGGCATCTAGCACACCTGGCCATTCAAGCTCTCCTATCGCTTCAACCACTCCCATCCAGTCCAGCACTCCTGTCCAATCGAGTACCCTTATTGTATCCAGCAGCCCTGCTCGGTCCAGCACGCCTGTCCAGTCTAGTACTCCGTTTCGGTCCAGTACTCCAGTTCATTCCAGCATTTCAGCTCACTCAAGCACCCGTATTGTGTCCAGTAGCCCTGTCCGGTCTAGCACTCCTGTCCACTCTAGTGCAACAACTCACTCGAGTACTCCTATCATATCAAGAAGTACTGTTCAGTCTAGTGCTCTGGCTCACTCGAGTACCACTACTGCATCAAGCACACCTGCTTCGTCTAGCCCGCTAGTTCATTCAAGCACCCCTATTCAGTCAAGTCTCCCTCAGTCATCAAGCACAACTGCTCAATCAAGTACCCCAGCCAGTTCTGCAACCATCTCAATGCCTAGTGTTCCTGGTCGGTCGTCTACCCCGGCCACATCTAGGACACAATCAGCATCTGTCATCACCGGTCACTCGAGCTCGCAGATCAGCTCTAAGTCTTCGCTAACATCCGGGATGCTGACAAGATCGAGCTCAGCAGTTGCCTCACGGACAACATCTGCCTCGGCAATCCTGACAGAGACGATTTCGCCAATACCTTCCGGAACACCAATTCATTCTGGGAACACCTTTTCTTCCGCGGAGCTTACCTCGCCGGCCACCTCAACTCCTTCAACCCCGCCGGTCACTTCTGGGGAGCCAAGTCTATCAATCTCAGCAACAGTATCCGAAAACCACTCTTCTATCAAGCCGGGTGTGTCGACAACGTCCAATCCAACTGGTACCCCGGCATCCTCCACTGTACCTGCACCATCTACTGCTTCTACTTCAAACTCCTCAAGTACCTCCACTGTCAATTCAAACCCAACAGGTCAATCCAGCCCTACCAAGTCGCACACTCCTCATAGTGCTACTGCCTCCTCGTCGGCCCAAGCAGCTAACCCAACCACATTAACGGGCTCAGAGCCGGACAACGGAAACGGAACAGTTACTAGCACGATTACTTCCGGAATAGTGACCCCTTCCGTCACACCTACCGGTACTACCTCGGAGCCTCTCACTGTCACGACTGTTATCGTCACCTCGTACATCGATATCTGTCCCACGGGATTCACAACGATCACCACGACTTATACCACGACCTACTGCCCTGGAACAGTATCCGCAACCGCTACAGCCACGAACGCCCCCTCTGAACCGGGGTCACAGACCGCTATCCCTACCCCCCCTGAGGGCTGGACCTCAACCGTGACTGTCTGTACGCACTGTGCACCAACACCAACCACGGTGACTCTTACTCTACCCGTGACTACCACAACTACTGAACCTATCACTGTGCCAGCACAGCAGACCACCGATGTTCTACCTGCTGAGGGCTGGACCACAACAGTTACTGTCTGTACGAAATGCGCATCAACGCCAACTACTTTGACGCTTACTGTACCTGCCACGGGAGCTGGAGCTGGCTCTAACCCCGTCAACCCTACCAGCACCATCCCTGTCGGGCAGACTAGCAGCCCATCCGGACATGAGAGCTCCATTGAACCCATGGTTACGAATACTGTCATCAGCCACAGCCAGAGCCTTTCAAGGACTTCTTCTGCGATTGTTAGAACAGGCAGTGTACATCCGCCGTCCTCAACATTGGCTGTTAGACCCTCGACTAGTGGATCTCGAGTTCCCATGGCTCCTGGCGAGACGCAGGATACTGTGTCACCCATCTTCACAGGTGTTGCATCACAGCCTGCTAGACTAGGCCACGGAGCTGCTGCTCTCATCGCTCTTGTTGTGGCTGTTATCCTTTTGATATGAAGCCTTCCGGTTTTATGATCATGGTCACGCTGAACCAGATGAATGACGATGTAAGATCGCGGGGCCATGGAAACCATGGCCAACGCGTTCTCCTAGCTTGATGTTCACTTCTAATAACCCCCTCTTATTGAATATATTTCTTGTTACATTTCGACTTTCACCATGTGCTTTGTCCAAAGGATGTCGTTCATTGAGCCGTCCAAATAACCAAGTAATATTTCTATTAGATGGACCGAACTTATTTTGATCATTTTGATTCTTAGCAGTCGAATGTCTCCGTTACCGGGAATTGGTACAGAACCAACAAGCTTCCGGCCAAGCCGGGACGATCCGACAGAACCAAAACTGTATTATACACGAAGGCGGTAGGCGCGGTGGAGTCACCATTGTTTACTAGTATGAGGGCCAAGGGGATAAAAGGTTGATCCTTATTGAACAGATGGTACAATGCCGTAAGTTCACTGATGGTATGGAAACATGGGTGTATGTTTGAGACATCCAATTCCAGCACGAGACATAATACTGTACATGCACAAAACCTCGATTCAGTGTCATACAGAACAAGCTGACCCCTAACTAGTACTAGTAGTAGTATCATACTATACAAACCTAAGTACGGAGTACTAATGGTTCCTGTGTACTCTGTACAGTACTAACACTAATCACAATACCACCATGGGAACTATGGGCCTATCTAGCTTAGCTTCAGCTATCGCACTCGTAATCTACATACCATACGATGCTGATCTGTCAGGGTCCAAGCTGAGGCTGGATCTGGGGCGCCAAAGCACCAATCTAAAGACGGAGTCCCGATGGCAGTGCTTAATCCCCTTTTTGCCCTTAATTACCCCTCCTATGTTTCAGCTATTTCTAGAGCATATATCTAGCACCTCCTTTCCTTCTTCTTCTTTCTTTGGAATATTCCACTTTTCCTCTTCTTCTCCATTACACCACCCCCCCAAAAAAACCTTGCTCCTACAAAAAAACAAAAAGAAAAACAAAAACAAAAAAAAAAAGCATAATGGATTTCGTAGCCAAACTCGCCGAAAAGTTCCTCGACAAAGACAAGTCCAGCGGCAGCCAAGAAGGCTACGGCAACCAGGGCGGATACGATGGAGGTAACCAGGGAGGATATGGTGGACAGCAACCCGGAGGCTATGGCGGCGGCTATCCTCAACCGCAACAACATTCAGGCCCTCAAGTGCCTCCCCCATGGGTCGCCCGGTGGGATGGGGAGTCACAGCGATGGTACTACGTGAACGAGCAGACCGGGGAGAGGACCTGGAACCACCCGGGTCAGGGCGATGGCTACGGACAGCCGCAGCCTTCGTATGGTGGCGGTGCGCCTTACGGTGGAGAGCAGTCGTATGGCCAGCAACCTTCGTATGGCTATGGCGAGCCGCGCCAGGGAGATCATTATCAGCAGCAGCAGGAGCCTAAGAAGGATTACTCTGGGGCGAAAATTGCAGGTGCTACAGTTTTGGGTCTTGCTGGTGGAGTGGCAGGAGCGTATGCTGTGCATGAAGCGCGTATGTCTTTTCTTTTTTCTCCCTTTACCGCCATTCTTCTTTCTCCACACCTGATGTTTGTTTTGATTTGCAACGGGGACTGACGCCTACCAGATGAAAGCTGGGAAGAGAACAAGGATGAGTTGAAACAGGATGTCCAGGATTTCCCTGAAAATGCTGCGGAATGGACCGGCGAAAAGGTATGCCTTTGCTTTTTCCTTGTTTTTGTTCTCATGTATTCATATTCAATCGGGCACGTTTGGGTATACTAATACATGCATCAGGTTGGTGAAGCTGAAGCAGGTTGGGATCGCGCCGAGGACCGAGTCGAACAAGGCTGGGATAACGCCGTCGATAAGGTTGAGGACTTCCCAGAAAATGCTGCAGAGTGGACTGGCGAAAAGGTCGGGGCCGTGGAACGATTCGGTGACGATATGCACGATGCATACGAGCGGGGAGAGGATGAGGGCCGCGGTGACGATTGGTAGTTCTGGAAACTGCAGTGTTTTCCTCGGTCGGTTCTTGCAGGGTTAGATTTGGAAGAGATCTTCTTTATCTCGGAGTGGATTGATATTAGTACAACTTGAAGACTGGTTCTGCTCAGATCATTGGACTATTCCTCGTCGGAGGACATGGCACTCCCTAAGTTGCTTTATGTCCACTGCTCTATGCAAACGTTAACAACCGTGGACTCAAACCAAGGCAGTAAGTACTCGTATCCTCTAGGTATGCACCGTAAGATCAAGAGAAGGTAAACCGGAGAGAAACTTCCTCTTGACCATACGCTTCCCCGCACGTGTCCGCCGGACCTCGGTTGCGGAGTGTGCCTCGAGCATCTTTATAATTCAAATATGTGGTACTCGTCACATCGCAGTCCATCTTTTCTTTTACTTTTCTATTAGAAGAACGTGCCGTTTGTGGACTTCAGATCCAAGGGTTGGCCGCGTCACTGTCCGATCAATTCATACAGAATGTCCGCTACACTGCCCCTCGCAGGAATTCGCGTGGTCGAGCTTGCAGGCCTAGCTCCCGGTTGGTCTTGACCGCAACTTATATCTGCCGGTAACATGCCGGTATAACTAATGCGATTACGTGTTTTATTGACCGGGACTTACAGGTCCATTTGCTGGATTATTGCTTGCAGATTACGGGGCGTCCGTGCTGCGTATCGATCGGCCAAATGCCGTGAGCAGCGATCAGTTAACGCGTCGTAAATCATCGATCACCCTGGACCTACGAAACGCAGCATCGCACAGCGTCCTCCTTTCGGTGTTGGCCCAAGCCGATGTCCTTATTGATCCTTACCGCCCCGGCGTCTTAGAACGCCTGGGTCTTTCCCCATCGGAGGTCCTCCTGAAGCATAACTCTCGCTTGATTGTGGCGCGCATGACGGGATTCCGAAGAGACGGTAAATACAAGGACATGGCGGGTCACGATATCAATTACATCGCGGTGTCGGGTGTTCTTTCCATGCTGGGGCGAGCAGGTGAACCCCCTTATGCCCCGGGTAATATTATCGGCGACTTTGCGGGCGGAGGCGCAATGTGTTTCATGGGGATACTGCTTGCTCTGATGTCGCGCACACGCACAGGACGCGGCCAAGTCGTCGAGGCTAACATGGTTGATGGCTCCGCATACCTAGCGGCGATGCCGCGACTGAACCGACAAACACCGCTGTGGAACGGGCCCCGAGGAGAGAACATGTTAGACGGCGGGAGTCCGTTTTATGACACGTATGAGACTAAGGATAAGGGCAAGTATTTCGCCGTTGGAGCGCTAGAACCCCAATTTTATGCTGCGCTCCTCAAGGGACTCGGTTTCGGTTCGGAGGAACTTCCCTCACGGGATAATAGGGAGAATTGGCCGGTTCTCCGAGCGGCGTTTGAGAAGCGATTTAAAGAGAAAACGCGAGCGGAGTGGGAATCTATTTTTGACGGTACTGATGCTTGCGCAACACCTGTATTGGAGCAGGATGAGCTCGAGCAAGGGGGCTTCGAACAACGGCCTGCCGTTCATCTCGTTGATACACCAGCACTGCCCATTGCGACCGACGATGGGGGCTGGACGGGGGGTGGCCTGACACCCGGAGAAGGTGGACAGGAGACGTTGGAGGTCTGGTTAGGATGGAAAGAAGGACGCGAATATGATGTCAGATCCGATGGGGCATTGATGAAGACTGGAGAGGAGGGGAAGGCGAAGCTGTGAGGATGAGACGGATGATAATACGAGACGAACCAGATAGTTACTGAGATACGAAGTGTGGGTTGATTGTATGTCCGCGGTTCGGATGAACTCACGCGCCCGTAGGGCTGAGGCCCCGCGCACTCGATTCGGTAACTGGCCACCCAATAGTCCGACTCGAAATTACTGCTTTTGATCAGTGATGCTGTCATTGACTTTTTCAAGACAATCGGAAGGGCAGTGCATTAAAGTTATACCTAGTAGTAGTAGTAGTTTGATGGGAAAAAAAATGTGGAGAGAGAAAAGGGTAAAAGGTCAAAAAAATATAATAAGCTAAACGTTTGTCGACTGATATCAGCACAACTTTATGTGCCAACACTTTCATCACGTATAAAGCCTGACTTAACTGATCAATCTATGTCCATTCTGCACTAAGAAGGCCAAGAAAAAAAGGAATTAAAAAAAAAAGCACAGAGGTGAGACAGTCCGATTCATGGCGAGCTGAACAACCCATGCCAGTCAGCCGCTGGTTGGAGGAAAATGTTACCGTGCCAATGTATGTAACAACACATGTTAAGTTCGGGGGGCTTGATTCGATACCCGTGTCATGGTCACGTCATTATTGGTTATTTCCGTCCGGAATCGTGCATCCGTCCAAAGATATCATACGCGATAGGTTTCCACTTAGATCAAGGTAACCATCATACTACTACTACCGTATCTTTTCCTAGATAACAGCCAACTTGGAACTTGGAAGCACTGAGGGGGTAAAAATTCTAAATAAATAAAACACACGCAGGAAAAAGAATAAAAAAAAAAAAAAAGGAAAAGGAAAAGTAATCCTTTAAACTAAAACGGTGGCCCCAGCTGACAGGTACGATGGTACATACCATGTACGGTATACAGTAGTGGTACAGGTACCTGGATCATTCTGAGTCCCCTTTCCCCCCTTCCATTTTATGAAGCATTCCTGCCTAGTAACTACTCATCGGTTCGAATTTCAGACGTCTAACAATCTCTATTGCTTCATTTCCCGAGCCTTCCGGATGTTTCACATGTGGAGTATTCTACGTCATTCTTCTGTATGTGCTTTGGTTCTTTTTTTGGGGGGGGGGGGGAGATTTTTCGACTGTTCCTAGCGGGTGACTAAGGGTACTAGTTGGTACGCTGTACCTGTACTATTGTTCCCCTTGATTCCTGCCTGGGAGTACCATGTACCGGCTCGGTACCTAGCGTAATTTTGCCTGGTATGGCCCAATACCTTTTACCAGCACCGTCCCGCCACGTGCGGGTAGTGTGGCGCAGTTCGGCCCTATCTCCTGATGATCTCTGTTGGACCCGCGATACGGTCATTGCGATGGAGCTTTGAAGTTTGAAGAGCCAAGGTCGGTTCTTTGAGCGAGAAACAGCCACCGATGACTGATCCTATGTCTCAGCTTCCTTACCTTTGGTCATCACGGGTGGTCACCAAGGTGTGGATAAGTCGTGGCTGTGCGAGAAAGTTTTACCCCAGTGCATTATTCATTGTCCGTAATTTACCTCCGTATTGCACACCTTTCGTATTCGGTACCGCTGCACACTGGGGCCCGTCACACTTGGTTTTTCCACCTTAAAGTTCTCTCCTCTTCTTTTTCTTCCTCCCCGTCGCAAAGAGCCGAAGCGACCGATCGCTCTTCCAAGTTCTGAATGCGCTGTAATTTATTTCCTGTCTTTCTCCTCTTTCCCCGGCCTTGATAAACGGACCTCCTCCCCCAGCGGGCAACGTGGGATCGGTGCTCCTTTGTGTACAATTGTTGTCATTCAGCTTTGTCTCGAAATTGACCCCTCCGCCATACGATCAATGTCCCCTGCAAGTGTGACTTGGTAAAATTGGGTACCCGCCAAGTGCCAGGCAATCGGTTCTCACAGCATCACTGTTACTACGGAAAAGTAGATCTGACAGCCTCTCCTGGCCTTTCCAACGAGCTCTTCTTCTTTCTTCCCAATCACTGGCATCATTCGCTTGCACCGCTTCCTCCTGCGCCGGTCCCTGTTGCAAGTATCGTACAACAACGGAAGCGCTGGCCGTTCATTGATCCGTTAAGCCCAGGGCGGCTCGGCTTGCCTTATCCCTCAATTAACATTGCACCGCAAGTACGACGCTTCCTATATCCCCTCAGAGTTTTACTCCAAACCAACCCCCCCCCCCCCGGGTAGTGTTGCCCGGTCTCTGCCGCCATTTGTTAGACGGCGTGAATAGCCTCTCCCTTTCTTCCGAGGCCCCTCAGCCTCTTTAAGATACATGGCAGGCGTGCAACTGCGACAACCCACCATGACCGACTATCGATTGCCGCTCCATCAGCCACCCCCTGCTCGGAAGCCGGTTCCTGGGATGCATGCTGGTTATCCATTCCAGTCCTATGATGGGCCTCATAAGCAACAGCTCTCTCCCCATCCATCCCTCGCTCACAATCGGGGCCGGATGCCGTCGGCCAATGCGTCGCCCTATATGGGTCAGCAACAACCGTACTCCAATACCCCTTCGCCCCATCATACCATGACCTCTACTCCTAGTTACCCTCCCTCGAGAAGATTGTCGAGCGCCACAACCTCTACGAGCTCGACTGGCAACGCCGCGGGTCACTCCGCCGCTTCGGATATTCGCAGAAGCACGTCATCCCGTTCTGCTAACTCTCAGTTGGGTTATGTAGCTCTAATGCGGAGGCAGAAGGCCACGGTGTGGTGTGATCGAGCACAGCCGGAGGATCCGCGCCTCCGAGCCCAGAAGCTTGCCGACAAGAAGAGAGCGTACCTTGAAGTCCATGGCGCAGGCGCTGGTGGACGGGCGGGTACCCTTGGGAGCGGTAAAATTAAGCACTCTAAAGGAGGCACTGATTTCTCGCCCTCGAACCTCGTGTCGGCCACTGTTCCCGTACGACTCAGTGCCAATGAAGTGGGGGATGCGGATGAGGATGCACATAGTGATTATGGATTTCCTCATCGTCGCACTGGAAGCGGTCGCAGCTCTTTGGGAAGCAACCATCGTTATCCCAGTGGCTATCAGCGGACGCCCCAGGGCACCATGGGAAGTAACAGTACTCCCCCGAGTGAGAAGACGGATTTGCCAAATGTCACGGAGCATCCGCCGGCGGAGAGCACTGAGGAAAAGAAAGTCAAAGATGACGCCGCCACCACCTATAGCTTCGAGGCCGCAGATGAGGACAATTTTGGGAGCGTAGGGGAGATGGCTGCTCCCAGTGCAGCGACCACGGCGGCCGAAAAGGCGAGGAGGGCGGACGAACTAAGGCGGCGGGGTAGTGTGGACGACCGAACGAGCACGATGACCAATGTCCGACTTTTTGTTGCGAATCCAGACCTCAGTGACTAGTGGCACCTTGTATCGTCATATATCGCATTTATCTCTCGGATCTATACCCACGAAAATACCCAGCTCGGCTGAAGTCCGGCAAGCAGTCCAACTTCATGCAGTTTATGCTATCCTTCGTGTTTTCTTTCTTCACTCTGCTTCCACATTCCATTTTTTGTGTTTCTTATCACCAGGATTGCTTTCGTCGAGTAGTGCTCGAGCCCGGTCTGGATCCCGGGACCCGTACCTCGGTTTTTGTGCTGCGTGCAGGCAGCCTGATGCATTGCGCTTCTTGTTCTGTTTTATTCCCCTCACTGCATGTTTTGGCGCCTATGCTTCTAAAGCATTGGGTTGCGGGCTACTGGTCTTGCATCAGTGACACCTTTGGCGTCTTTTATGGATTTACGAGCAGCTAGTAATAATAATATCGTCTGTACATAGTCTGCAACCTGTGCTATCAGCGATGTATATCGATTCAGTTTGCATGTAGAGTTGCAAAATCCATTATACCATTAACAGTCCAAGTCGAGCTACATCATTAAAACAAACTGAAATCTAGTAGCTGAATGCGAACGTTAAACAATGAACAAGTCTGAAAGCAAAGTAAATGATAGTTAACAGCATCCCCCATCTTACATAATCCCCCCCACACGTGCCCCCCTGACGCGAAGCAGTCGCGCCCGACAATCCAATTAACGCGTTCCCGACTTAACAACCAATCCCTCCGATGACATGCCAGACCGAGGGTCCTATATTCTGTCCCGGAATTGCTTTTCCATTAGACTATCGCTATTGACATATTGTTATTCTAAGAGAGTGAGACTGTACGTTGGTTGAGTCTGAGGGAATTTTGTTATTTTCCTTGTTCCTGGTGAACCGAACCGACCCAACCCAACCCGATTTGTTCGATGTGTGAGAGTACTTTCCACCCTTGATTTCCAGATCCCGGTTCATTTCAACTTCATCTTTAAACCTGTCTTGAGTAGTCATTCCCCGGGTCCATTCCTGAAAAGAGAAAGAGAGAGGGAAGGAAAGCAACGGCAGAAAATGGAGGTCTCGATCGACACAAGCCCAGCCGCCCTTTCTCCCCTCCCGCAGTCTCAATCACAATCGCAACAACCATCATCAACAACGACATCTACAGCAAGCTATCCTGCATCACCAATCGCCCCCAGGAAACGTTCCGTCCAAGATATAGATGCACAGACGGCGCAGACGCCATCGACCGCGGCGGCTGGCCACACCGACACGAAAAAATCCCCAACGTATACCGACAAAGAGAATCAGGAGAATGCCGATCCCTTGAGACAAAGTTCTACATGTGTAACTCCTCCCTCGGAAATGAGCCACGTACTGATTACAAGTGGGGGCGCGAAGCTCGGTGATGAGGCACCGGTACAGAATACGAAGGAGGCTACGCTGGGAAGATCGATTCCCAGTCCGGGATCAACTCATTTGTCTACGGATGCAGGCGCTGGTGCCCCTGCCACTAAGAAGAGGAAGCTGTCTCCTGCGAGTAAGGATGCTAAGCAACAGGAGAAGGAGGCTAAGCAGCAGGAAAAGGAGGCTAAGCAACAGGAGAAAGACGCTAAGGAACGTCAAAGATTAGAAGAAAAGGCAAAGAAAGAAGAGGAGAAGAGAGTGAAGGAAGAAGAGAAGAAAAAGCGGGACGCAGAGCGAGAGGAAGAACGTAAGCGGAAGGAGGAGAAAAGGAAGGCGAAGGAAGAGGAGAAGGCCGCGAAAGAAGAAGAAAAACGGAAAAAGGAGGCAGCCAAAGAGGAGGAGAAGCGAAAAAAGGAAGAGGAGAAATTGAAAAAGGAGAGAGTAAGCTACCTACACCGACAACTCATGCCTTATGTATGGCTGGTCTAACAGTTCACTCGCAGGCTCAACCGAAGCTGAACGCCTTCTTCGCGAAGCCTAAACCTCCTGTGCAGTCCTCGGTCTCAGCGCTTACTGCGTCGCCCAAGAAGTCTGGAAGCGATGGCAGTACAAATGAACCCTCTCATGAAGCGGCCACTATGTCAGATTATCAACGAGCATTCCCTGAATTCTTCCTACAGTCCCACACGAAAGTCGCTCCACCGCATATGTTTCAACGTGATTCAGAGGCCCTTCGATTAATAAGAGAGAAGCTTGATGCGTCCATGAAGTCGCCCAATAACCCGGAAGAAACTCTTGTATTTCGGCCATCGGAAATCTTCAGCTTGATGCCATACAGGCGACGGCGGGGAAGACTACCTGCTTCTGTCAGGGAAATTCTTCTAGAGATGCAAAGCCTGAACGATCAAGCGGGTACGTCGGAGGCTGTACAGCGACAACAGGGTCTCTTAAAGAAGGTTCGAATGAAATCTCTTAAGTTTGGTGAAGATGTCCGACCACCCTATCAGGGAACGTACTCTAAGCACCTTCCCGAATCATCGGCCTATAAGATGATGCGGAACCCTTTCTACCGGGGCTTACCTGAAACGAACTACGACTACGACTCCGAGGCTGAATGGGAGGAGCCGGAAGAAGGCGAGGAACTCGACTCGGAGGAGGAGGAAGAGATGAGCGAAGATGGCGAGGATGACATGGATGGCTTCTTGGACGACGAGGACGACCAGTTGGTCGATGGGAAGAGACGTCTTATCGTTGGCGATTTAGAACCCGTCTGTAGTGGCATTCAATGGCACGATCAGGGTGTGGATCCAGAGTTTAGGGCATACAGGGTCGAGACCATATCAGATGCAGTGTCATTGCCTATTGACCCATTCTCAACGGTGTACTGGCAAAAACCCAAGACATCGGAGCCGCTTCAGACCAGCGGTGCGGGACGGTCATCGCTCCACTCTTTCCTGGGTAACCCATCTTCAGGGAGTGCGTCAACGCAGGACGGCAGCGCACTGCCCCTGTTGGGGCCTGGGAAATCCAGGCGACCCTTCCCACCGGAACTGCTGGCGGAATTCAAGCAAGTTGTGGACGGAAGCGACCTGTCAAAGTTAGGGTTGATTGAAATTCTGAAGAAAAGGTCAGTAAAGCAAAGCCCTTTTAGTTCCGTTTGCCGCTAATGACAACCCCAGGTTTCCGAAGGTTTCTAAGGATGCCTTGAAAGACACGTTGAACAGCATGGCTACTCGGGTGGGACAGAAAGAGGCTGAGAAGAAATGGGTTTGCAAACAGTGATGGTATTGGAGGAGACATGACAGCAAGCGTTCGATGTTCAGAAAGACAACGCATGCCACGGATGGCTGGAGTTCTGGCGTTAAGTTCACCTTGGGTCGTGCCGGGAATAGACTACCCTTGAGGGAAAATCATTGGTTGCAAGTGCTTCAGGTCCTCAAGTACCAGTGGAATTGCATGAACATCTGCAGCCACTGGTTTGTTTGCGATTGATGTGTAATGACGGCGACTGCTTTAGAGGGCCAGTGCAATGGAAACTGGACGTTGATTTTGTACATGGATATACTATACGGAGCTGGGCTATTAACTACTACATGGGACGTTATTTTATTTATCTATTCATTTATTAATATTTTTTTTAAGGAAAAAAAAATTCAATGATATCTCCTGTACATCTACCAGGGGTAAACCCTAACTTGGTCAGACTTTTGAGAAGAAGGTGGGAAAAACTGTAAGGGGAAAAAAAAGTAAAAACGAAAAGAAAAGAACAAGAAAAAGAAAAAAGGGGTGAGAAAATAGAAGATGCTAAAAACAGATTTCATCGAATATGTAGTTCCTTTTCCTCAGCCATAGCTGCAGAGTTGATGGCATAGTCGGTGATCATGCAGTTCTAGACAGGAGCATGCGTGAGTATGAGTTACAACATCCTACTATTGGAGTACAACCATGACTGGGCTCCCTCAAGGCAGCATTGGATTCAGCTGAGGATGTCATCTGGACTAGACTGTTTTAGGGCTAGTCCGGGCGAGTTGTTCAGTGGCGGTTGAACACGTGCCAGCGGGGTTCTGGAGTCATGAGGAGGGATTATTAATACGAAAGTCGCGATGTTTGGTCCTGGTTTTTTTGTTGTTGCTGGGGCATTGATTGCTGTTGATGCCTTTATTTTTTTTTTGGGGGGGTTGTAGGGGGAGAGGTCCAGTCTTTGCTGTCACTGCGGAGTAGCTTCGGCAGTACTAAAATGGATATCTTCCTGGTTGCAAACAGTCGGAGGAATTCCCACTATTCATACCATCTAATGTTCCTTCTGGGAATATGGCACCGTTACTAGTAAACCACTAGTATGTACCTCACCTCTCTTTTATGACGGAGGGGAGAGGGGGAAAGAGAAATTAAGATGCAGTTTCATGCATCCCAACCCCCAGAAACAAGAAATGGACCAGAAAAACCCTCCTAAACTTCAAGGCCAGCAGTAAGGGGTGGTTGGGCAACGAATCATGGGGCACGGAGGGAACCAACCGGAGCCATCATGCATGTATGCAGTGCCAGCGCATCACTGACTGTTTGACTAGGTCTTTTCTGCTTAGGTACTTAGTTTGTACTGGTCCTCAATTAGTTCCAAGTGGTGGTACATTTCTGAACTGTACAAGTCGTCTATCATTCGACTCGGGCGCTTTCGTGTCAATCGTGTTGCGATCGGCCTTTTGGCATTCTGTTCATTTTATTTGGCTCTTTTTTTTTTTTT